GACAAAGTTGGAAACATCAAGGTAAGGCTTTATTTTTGGCAGATTTCTTATTTTTTAAATACCTTTTAATGTTTCAATTGAGATTTGTCTCTAATAGCTTTAATATGTTTAAATACTAACACAATAATGTGATCAAAATCATGTAGTTGGCAAGGTTTGTTATTTATTGATTTATTTAATTTCTTGTGCTCAAGTCTGCTGTTATTTTAAAATATTATTAATGAGGTTTTAAACCTCAAATGTTATTCTTGTTTATCCAGTAGATAACTGACAAACAAAAAATGCATTCAAATTAAGATACAAATTATACCAAACGAAATATATGAAAATTATAACAAAATAAGGAATATAAGAAAAATATACAAATTATATTTTTGTTTGTGCCCGTCTACTACTCAACTGTGCAGTGATGATTCGTTTCACTCCATGGAAAATAAGGATTTAATTAATGCTTCACTGTAATCGTTGTATTATAAAACTCTGTCATATATAATAGCTCATTTTTAATATGTCATTATTTTAAAGATTGTGTCGTGAGCATCTGAATTTTCCTCTGTGCTGATGTGCTTTCATTTTCCTCATCTCACCAGCAGCAAGTTCAGGCAAGGGAGTGTTTAATAAGCAACCCTGGCAATATGCATTTAGATATCAAAGAAAAATATCTTAATATTAAAAAGGAAACATACATTTGATCCTGTCAAGATTTTATCAAGAAAAAATTGCATAATCTGACATAGTGACTTTCGTAACCGACAATAAAAATCGAGTCATCTGACCGGGGCTTTAAGTGTCAGTTTGGTCGACACAATCTCACGACAATTCGTAACTTTTTAATTTAGTGGATAATTCTTACGAATTTGTAAAATCTAATTCGTACAATTTAGTACGATTGGCTCATCCATTTAGGGGTGGGGTTAGGTGCCACACCTCCTTTTTAAAATCCTACAATTTTGTAGACTGAGACTGAACTCGTATGAATTCGTACGAATTAGCAACTAAAATGACAAACAAGAAATTCCTTACATTTTCTCGTAAGATTCAGCTGGTTTGGTTAGTATAATGTCCGTGCTAATTTTTTTTCATTATCTACTCAACTTTTATGTGTCACAAACATTATTAATTATTATTTCTTCTGTTGAACACAAAAGAAGATATTCTGAAAAAGTTTTTAAACTAGTAATCTATGACTTGCATAGTATTTGTTTTTCCTACTGTAGATTACAGCTTTTCATCTTTCTTGAAATCTTTTTTTAAATCTTATGAATTGTAGAGGACCCATAGGGCATGTTTATTCCAATCTTTTTTCTATTTAAAGCGTTTGTCATTGTCCATATTGGCCTTTTACTACAACAGTATCTCTCCACACAATACAGCCTAAAACTGTGATCATTCATGCTCACTGGGCATGTACATATTTTGCCTGCATTTATACTTGCCATCTACCAGTTTTGTACTGTAAATGTTGAAATGAGAGTGGTTTAATGAATCAGGAATGATTACACAATCGTCCAGAAGACCAATCGGAGAGCGATTGTGGATAGCCACACCACCATTTTCGATCCACACCTCATCCTCGTCTATAGTGGTCAAGCATTTCCAAATGAAACATTTTAAAACCTTAGCATTTTCAAAAAGCTATGTTCACAAGAGTCGTAAATGCTGAAGTAACAACACAGTACATAACACAACCATATTACAACATACACATTTTAAAATAAAAACACACTAGTGTGAATGTCTCCTTTAAATTCCCTCTAAGATTATGTGTACTATTATGCAGACTATTTTTTTCCTTCAGCAGCATCCTCCTTGCATTATTGACCATGTTTTGGTTGTTTGTCTTTCAGTATAAGGTGGTTGGAGGCAAAGCCAATGGTGAAAGTGCCCACTCTCCGAATGAGTCGGAACCCGCGCAGGAAAACGCTCCATTTTGAGAGCCCGCCTCTCTCCATCCAAACACTCATCTCATTTCTTTGTGAATCCTGATTACACCCACAACTCAGTTCTCCAAATCCTTGCGTTCCTCCATCCCTCCTTCCTCTGAAACCCCTCCACCTCCTGCTAAGCATGTGCTTGCTCATCTCACTAAACACACACAAACACACAGTACAGGGGACATCTGTGACATGAAATCATCACAGGTTGTACAAAAGATGTTGAATCATTTTGTATTAGAAACTATTTTACACTGCTTTGCATAACGTTTTTACATAACTTTTATCTATCTATCTATATATATATGAATATAAAGGAAAACAGATAACTATATTTAAACTACTGCCAAGCAGCGTTCATCAAACAGCAGAGGGGTACAAATTACACCAAGGAAAAACATTTAAATCCCGAGGGGGGAGGATTATAGGCCAACAAAGACAACAAACTGCAGGTTTCTATGCTGCTGAGCATTCAGTTGAGTTGTTTTTTTACTCTCAGTACAATGTGAAGCACTGCTTTGCTGTACACCTGGTGAATGTCTGACCTATTCAGTCGGCCTTACACTTTCACTCTGTATTGCTTTATTGGTCTCCTGCTGGAAAACAAATCATGTTACATGAATTTATTTTTGATCTTACCTTATCTTTGTTCATTCTTGCTGGCGTTCAGTTATGTTCTTCAGATTGTTGGGAATGTTTTATTTATGCTGTGTTTACTTTACGGAAATCGCTTGCCTTTGCTTTGTGCCATGCTGTTATTAAATGCCATAAGCTCTTTTTGTTTTCCTGTCAGAATGTTTCGCAAACATAATTATCACTTCACAAAGATCACTGGTCAATTGTAAACAAATAAAAAATGCAATTGTTCTCATGTGCACTAACCCAAATTGTAACACAGTCATTCAAATTCCTTTTGTTAGCGGCATTTTTCCCCAACAGACGTAAACACTAGTGTAGTCTGTATGGTAGCACAGTCACTTTTTAACCTGAATGTTATTGGGATATATTTCACTATTATTAGCAAATGTAATCTGTTTTTTTGCTTTGATATTTTTCTCTGTTCTATCCGAGTGTTTTATTTACTATAGGTGTTGGTGGGAGGCCTTGTTTTAGTTTAATACACAGCTGTTGATCACATGCCTCTGTGGATACAAGGGATTACTTATATTTGATTGACTGATGCCAATTTCACATGGCTTTCTCCCGTAGTCCATGTGTTATGCCATAGAATTAGTGGGTGGATGCGACTGTTGATCTGTGAACGTTGAAAAGATGGTGAACATTCAGAGGGAAAGGACTTTTTTGTTCATTTTAGTACATGTCATTTCGGGATTTTATTGTTTGGGGAACAGGCACCATATAGCTTTAAAATAGAGGTCGTTTTCTTTTAACACAACAGTGGTGTAACGCTTCATTTATTTTGTCAGTTGTTTGTATATCAATAAAGCATTCGTTCAAATGGCCTTTGTTTGGGTTGTTTTTGTCATGACGGCACTCTTCCAGCAGGCGGCAGTACGCCTCAACTGACAAGCACAGGATTGATTTTAATCCTTCCCCACAGCAGAGATGCTAAAGCTAGGGGTCACTGGGGCAAAGTTGACTTGTGATAGCTATTGGTTTGTCTCGGTTTTTCTTAAAAGTTGAAGGGGTCAAAGCAAAAAAGGTGTATTAAATACATTATTTTTTATATTTTGGGAAAATTAAGATTTAGTTGGAAACAATTTATTTATTCATATTACTTATTGTGCCCTATCATGCCTGGTAGATTAATATTTAATACTTAGTTCATTGTAACTTTAATTGTTGATTTTTAGCTTAAATCTAGGTTAAATTATTTGACCCAAATTCAATACGGTATGAGAAAGAGGCTAGGCAACTTGTATATTCAGGTCAGGGCAAGAAACAACATTGTTTTACTGTATTAAAGGGAGTTCACACAAAACTGAAAGTTCTGTCATCATTTACTCACCATTCACTTGCTCCAAGCTGAGTTTCTTTTTCTGAACATAAAAATTTTTATCTTAATAAAAGTTGCAATTTGGTAATCAGTGAAATTGTATTTGTTTTTGTGACCATACAGGCTTCCTTAATTTTTCAAAATATCTTGTTTTATGTGTTCAATAGAAAAAGTCACTCATTAAGGTTTTGAACCACTTGACTGTGAGTAAATTTAGTGTGTGGGGTGAACTATCCCTTTTAGTTTCATTTTATATAATGATGACCTTGAAATGTGTTACATATTTAATTACAACTTTGATAAAATTATCCAGAGCATGGCATAATTCTTTGCTAAATTGCTCATTACTAATGGATCCCAGAATAAGAATTAGGTTACCTTATTTTATATAGGGACCTCTTGGTCTTGCTTTAGCACTGTTTTAACTTATCTTAATATTCGATTACATTTTTAAAATCTTCTAAAAATATACATATTTAAATTATCTTGTCTGCATCCATCCTCTCTTATGGCTAAAAGCAAAAGTATAGTAGCCTATTATCTTTCACAACAAGATTATCACCAAGAAAACTGATTTTATTCTTCAAACACAGACTAACAGAAGTGCTGCTGCTATCGCTATATTACAGTCAGTTTTTGTAACAAATTTGAATTATTATTTTGCAATGAAAACTAACAAAACAGACGTTCCCTGACCGGGAATCGAACCCGGGCCGCGGCGGTGAGAGCGCCGAATCCTAACCACTAGACCACCAGGGAGCTGCTTCATTAGAGATCACGTTTAGTTTTCAATACAAACTACCAAAACACATACTAATTTCTGTAATGTTTTGATTCATTACGTGTATTAATTAATAGTTTCACGATGTATTGCGTACAGATTGTGTTACAAAACCAAAATATTGGGCGGCCTGTCATTGTTTCAGAAAATAGAGCTCAACCCTCCCGTCCTGGTTTTCTCTGGTTTGATCCGGTTCCGAGCTGTGAGGGTTTATATAGAGGAGTGAAGCCACGCCCCCTTTAGCTTCAGCTTGCGAGCGACGTCACCTCTCTATATAAATTCCAGCCATCTGAATGTTTTTGTTAGACAGCATTGCAGTAGATATTTCCGGACGTGGAAGGTCTTATCCATCCAAACCTTTTCAAATGGGCCCCGTCGCCTAGCGTTTTCTCCCCAGAGCCTCCGACTGAATCGAGCAGGGTGCTTTAATAACATCGGCACGAGCGGCAAAGAAGGTGAGGCTGAGGTCTGGACTTCATATTTTTTGAAGGGTGGTCGTTTGTTTGGGTTAGATAGTGTGAGGAGAGTAGCCTTACAACTCGAGAAAACTGCATTAACCACCATTAACATCATGCATCTTGATGTAGAATTGCAGCAATGCGATACGTTCATGATTTTAGGGCAAAAAATGCTGTTTCGTGAAATGCATGGCTAATCTGCAGCTGTTGTTATTCCCATGAGGGTTAACTTCCCCGTGTAGCCTCCAAAAAAAAAAACATGCTGTGGGCAACACTTTTTTAATGATTGTCTCGTGTGACACATGTCAGTTTGGTTAAACATTTAGTTGACACTAACTGTAATGAGCAAGCCTTACAAAAACACTATCTAACCAAAAGATCATAATTAAGTAATACAACATTTTAAATGCCTTCTTTTGAATCCATTATAAGCCATTTTAACCACACCAGGGTTTAATTAAATAATTGTTTTGATTCAGTTTTGATTGGCTAAATGTTCAGTCATGTATAACCAAATGTCTTCTTACTCTCTTCACAGGGTTTCCATCTAAGTCACGATTTACACAAGTCTGTAAAATGGCAGCCATCCCAGCTAGTGGTTCTCTTGTTGCCACTCACGACTACTACAGAAGTAAGTAGCTTTTGCGAGTGCTTTATTCTGTCAATTTCATACATCTTCTGAATGGTTGATGTTCCTTCTCAGGGCGCATCGGCTCTACATCCAGTAGCAGCTCATGTGGCAGTTCGGAGTATAGTGGGGAGGTTATTCCACATCATCCAGGTGAGTTGCGTCACATTTTGCCCTCTTTAAATCAATACTTCTCTTCAACAGTTTTGGCAATCGCAAAAAGACATTTCATACACATTCAATAAAACCCATTGCCTATTCTGCCCCTACATTTATCTGTTGAAATGCTCTTACTCAACTGTTCAGTACAGGGAAATGATTAAGTCCCCTCATTGAATTCACAGAATGAACTTGCTTAGTCATCAAACAGGGCTCGGGTTGGGCTGTATGCATGTCTTTGTTCAGAGATCTTTTAGAAGTGATTGCATTAGTGCTTATGTCACCAAATAATTAATCCATTACAAGACTAAACTGGTGGCTTTGTTCTGACTTGTTTTAATTGTTTCTAATTTAGGATTGCCCAAACAGGATTCAGGCCATTGGTGGTCCAGTTTCTTCTTTGGGAAGCAGAACCTGCCTGGTATGGGAACTGTTGCAGAGGAGGCTCAGCAGAAGTGAGTCACTGGATTGAGTTTCAGCCAGTTTTGGTTGCATGTAACATGAAGGCCGTGCCAAGAGCTGGTTTTAAATGTGGATGCAGTTGCAGATTTTAGCTTTCACTACCGTAGTCATGCCAATTTGCTAGTATTCTGAGTCCCTTGATCTCATTGGTTCTTTGCAGGTCAGGGGTGGTGAGTGTGACCAATGGGCAGGTGACATGTGTTGCCCGGGAGATGGTGATGAGGCAGGCGAGTGAAAGCAGTGATGGAGGAAAGTCGGAGGCGGGGAATTCTTGAATCCAACATCAGATCAGGACATCAACGCTAGGGGACGGACATGGCTCCCTTTTCTTTCTTTCTTTTCTTTTTTTTTCCCCAATCCATGTAATGGGCTGTTTTTAGTACTTATTTTTGTCTTTTTTTATTCACATAATAAGTGTAAGTAAAAACTTGAAAAGATTTTTGTACATTTTTACACGTGTAACCGTTTGTTACTTGTTGTCGTCTTATCCTATGTTTTTCAGCACAATAAATGTCTTAAATGGCCAACCACTACTGTTGTCATTATTATTTTTATTATTTTAAATCCTACATCTCTCTTGTAAATTTAAATAGAAAGACCTATTTAGTAATAACAGGTTGCTAAAAATGTTTTATGAATGTATTTCTGTATAGTGCAGCCACAAATGTTACCTGACAAATTCTGCTATAATGGTTAAATAGATTTTATGACTCCAAAAGCATATCCACATAAATGCAATAATGAAACGTGCTTGGTTTTTAAGAATTTAAATGTTTAACAAAAATAGGAAAGTGGTATTTTAGAAAATATGTATTTTTCTACAGTTTTATTTTCAAAATTAAGTCAATTGATATATATATATATATATATATATATATATATATATATATACATACATATATACACACACACACACACACACACGCACGTCAACATTTGAGGTGGATGTGGTGAAACTTTTATTAAAGTTTTTGAACTATCTATTCTTGTTGGTACTAATTTGAAAACTTGTTTTGATCCTCTTCAAATGTTGACGTGTATGTGTGTGTATTTATGTATTTCAGCTACACTTTTAAAATATCTGTAAATTATTTCCGTACTTTGATTCATGTTTTTTTTCTACTTATGATTTTAAATCAAATCATAGGAGCTTGATCTTTCCTTTTGATGTTGAGAAATGTGACTTTTATTGACATTTTTAATAGTTTGAAGAAAAGGGTTGGTTTGCAAATTACGGATAATGAAATTAAAGTTTAGAATTTATGTGTTTTTGAGGACAGTGATTGCGCATCCATAATTTTGTGGCTCAAAAGTATCAGTTCAGGAATTTTGTTAGAAATATTTGTGCTTTCCATGTTTATTCATATAACTACTATTTATAGCCCTTTATTTTTGATATTTAATCTCTTATTTAAATACACTGTGAACAATAGTGTGGTAAATACTAATATATGTGTATGACCATTATATAATCTGTTAAAACAGAACAGCTCTTGAAATTAATTTTAGCACCAATAGATGATGAGGATGAGATGGCAGGCCCTAAAGTGTATGTAGTAAACTAAGACATGCCATTTCTTAACAGAGAAAAGCAGACTTCATTTGGTAAATAGTTTAATAGGTATATTTACATACACTAGTCTGTCACATCCTGCACCACACAGTTTTTATGACTGGGTTCCACAATTTTGCATTGCAGAAATCCTTGGGTTTGCTGTTTGACCTGTCGTAGGAAAATGTAAACGTGCAAATCATCATGTAGCCTGCTAATTTGTCTTTATTTGAAGTGTGCTCTGTAAAGGCTCCTCCTCTGCCTGTTAATTTCTCATAAAAGAATGATTGGATTATGTAACAAGCACGCTGAAGCTAAATTCAGAACATTAGCGTTCAGTTTGGACTTTGGCAAGGACACAAACAAGACTATTTGATGGTGACTGTTTAGGGCAGAATGTCGTACCTATGAAAAACTGATCTTGAAATATCAGTTCCAGTCATATAGAAATGATGCAAGAAATTGAAAGCAAAATGTACAATGCATCGCCAGCACATTATTATTTCATAGGTAAACAATCCGTGATAGCTAATCTACAGGAAAAAATGTTTGTTTTGATGCTCTTCAGTCATATCAATGTCAGTTTGTTCCCATGTTTGGAGCGGTGGTCCTTCTCTCTTGACGTCAGTTTGACGGATTCAGCCGCAATATTCTTAACCACACTTACCGGTAGTTTGCTAAAGAAAGCCTTGCCCCCTACTCAATATTAAGTTACAGTTGGAAGTCCGTCAACATACTGAAATAAAAGTGGTTTACACTGACTTAATAATGGACAGTTTGGAAGAAGTTTTGTTCAAATAAAGGAGTTTCTGAGGACTATGATTGTGCAAGCATTTCAAGCCAGGTTTGCTGTAAATCATTCAGGCAAAAAAACTACTAACATTTGTAGCTTTAACACAGTTTAAGTGTATATCTATTAGAAAACCGAGGTAATGATATGACCACAATGCAAGGGGAAGTGGCCATTCATTTCTAATTTTCTACTATTCAATGGCCAGGAGTAAATTATTCCAATAATGCTATAGCCACAGCACATACTGTTCAGATGTTTTATTTCGAAATGATTGTCAGGTTTTTGTCCTCAGAAAGCTCAGATTTGTAGGAATAATTTCTTTCACATCTCATCCAGAGTTTTTAGGTTATTTTTTATTGTATTTTTGACAGTTGTAGGCTGTGAAGTACACTAAAAAATATGTGTTAACAGAGTTCCCACACTTCCTGAAAGTGCTGAAAATTACTTGAATTTCAGGTATGTGGATTCAAGGCATGGAAAGTGCTTAAAAATAAACGTAGGTACTTGAAAGTGCTTGAATTAAATGAAAAACAATTTGTTCATGGTTTTATTTCAACAATTTATTTAATTTTCAAAAACGTTACAAAAAAAACTGAGACATTCTTAAATTAAAATTCTTTATTCTAAATCTTGTACAATAACACTGACAAATAATGCACATTAGATCAATATTTTAGAAACCGCTTTTGAATATTACCAGTATTCAATTCATCAGATTTTATTAAAGTTGTTTGAACATGACTGTTTAAATGGTTAATTTTTTCTTTTAAAATTACTCTGACATTTTTAACACAAATGATAAGTCTAAGTGAAGTATTAAGTAGAGTTGGGGTACCAATTATAACGTTGCTGTATAAATTTAACAGTGTTTTTAAAAGTGCTTGACTATGCTGTTCATGAAAGTGTGCAAACCCTATATTTTGTGCTTCACAAGTCTTTTCTGTTCATTTACAGTTGATTATTGTGTTATGGGAGTTTCTGCTGTCCATTTTTGATGTTAAAAATTGAACGCTACATTTATCCAGTGATTTTTATTGACATTTTAGTAGTTTGAGACAAGATATAAAGAAATCAGGTTTGTAAAATAACAGCAAATGTACTGTCAGCTTATTACCAGGTTTTTGTACTGTAATTTACAACACCAACCATTTACTTCAAACTATTGAAAACAATAAAAGTACATTTTTCAACATCAAAAGCTTTTGGATCAAGGTCCCATAATGTGGTTCAAAATCATAGTGAAGTGGAAAAAACATGAATCACAAAGCACCGAAGACAATTTACAGATATTTCAAGTGTAACTGAAATCATTCAGTGATGTGGAACTGTAATGCGGTCAAATTCCGCCTGGAACTACTGTAGCCATGCATTTCCATTGCATGCCTTATGTCTATCAGCTAATCAGAATCAAGAATTCATCAACCTAGTAGTATAAAATTATTTATATGATGAGAACATAGAAAGTTATTCTATACATTTCACCAGCATAAACCACGCCACACTTTGAGCTAGACTTTATTGTAGGGATGAAAGAGATGGTAAGGAACAGTGGGATGAAGGGGAAGAAAGAGTATAAATAGTGAACAGGTAGGTTGATCGGGCATGCCCAGAGACTTAAAGTAGAGGTACCGTCTCTGTAATATTTTAGTAGAGTAATTGGACCCCCCGATTCAACCTAGGAGTGAAGAGAGGGTTATAGGATTGTTAAAAGAAAGTGAGGAAATAAAGGGAGGAAGGGTGGGTTTGAGAAAACGAGAAGAACAGTGGAAGAGGGCTAGTTTGCCTTAAATAAGTTTTAGCGAGTAGGTGATTGGTTAAGGAGACTAAGTGGGGCGTGGTTCCGCTGCTAAACTTTTGTTGACGCATTAACTCCATTTGATTAATTTCTCTACTGGAATACTGTTAGAACCCCCGAAAACCATAAAACACTGTATATTTCATTTGTATCTTAGCTCTATTATTTAAATTTAAATAAACTTTAATATTTTATTTTATCGTTCAATTAAAATGATTATAAGATTTTTGTCAAATAAAAGATTTTTCTAGAGTAATCTACCATAATTTTGTGGCTCTAAAGTTTTGATTCAGGATTTTTTTTCGGAAATATCTGTGTGCTTTTCATGTTTATTCGATAATTAATTATGTTCTTTGTTTCCTTTTTTCACCATGGGGATGTACATCCTCAAGTCATCTAGAGATTGTGACCTGCGAAGAGATTATAAGATGAGACGAGGACTTCTAGAGGTAGAGTTGCTGAAGTTTGCCTTGCGCGCTTGCATTTTTTTTAGAAACTTCTTTGGTTTAGTGCGTCAATCTTGTCAATGCTATTGTTCAAAAAAGCTAATGATTCGCACTCAAGTAATTGCTTCATACGGTTTTTATTTTTTCTTTCTCTTACATTCTATGGGTGATTAAAAGACACAGGATGTAAGAAAAGAAAGAATAAAAACAGTATGAAGCAATTACTTGACTACTAGAGGTATCCATAATCCAGGACCAGGCCGTATTCTGAGCAGATGCTGTAGCGGTCATTGATGAGTGGAGAGCATAAGACTGATTCCTGAAAGATCCAAATGACCGATGAGTCTCTACATTGATCCCGTTGGCCAGCCTGAACACCCGCTGGTGACCTACTCACACCTGCAGCTTATCCACGATGGACATTCAGCGCTCTCCAGCCTCCAGCGCCTAGACCGCAGCTCTGCACATGAAGTTTGGCCAGAGGAGAAATTGTCTGAGCCTGGTTTCTCTCAGTTTTTGTTTTTCTTCACTTTCGTCAATTGGTAAAGTTTTGTTCCTCACCACTGGTTTGCTTGGTTTGGGATTTGTGGAGCTGCGCATCGATAGATTTGCTCTTCAGTGTTTGGACTTTCAGCAGTGAAAATTAAACCACATTGAACTAAACTGAACTCTGAAAACTGGACTGACACTGTTTCAGTTTACTAAAACTTCTATATGAAGCTACTTTGACACAATCTACATTGTAAAAGCACTATAGAAATAAAGATGAATTGAATTTTATTTTTATACGTTTCTAATTTGTTATTTATATTTTAAGATACACTTCCCTGCAGAATCATCGTAGTCAGTCTAAAATGATTCATTCTTTCCAAACAGAGAAATCATTTGGTGAACGTCAAAGAGCAGTAAATCTGACTATTGCAATGTCATTTTTTTTTTCAATATCGTGAAGCCCTAGTTTCTGTAAACCAAAACAGATAGAATAGTGAGCCAATCAACATGAACATAAGCAGTGTGGGTGGCAGACCAAACACAAAGTGGATATGGAAAACAGTCTATATGGAAAATTGCTGGGTGGAGATGACGCTGTACAGCTTTGTTCCAGTGTGTACATGGATTTTTCAGGTCACTAAGCAGCGATGGTTGGCTAGATACATGGAAAAGCCTCTTTGCAGTGTGCTGACTCTGCTCTTTTTTCAGACATGATTTCCCTTTTGTTTGCAGCAACTGGTTTTAACTAAGAGGCTGTGACAGGTCCTGTGATCGCTAGTTCACTGGGAAGATTTTCAGCAGATAGTTTACCTCAGATCTTTTTGAAAATTGAAGCCAGAGATGTGGCAGTGCAAACCAACAATGTAAGTCACTCAGCAAACACTTTTAATACGGTTAAAGAGGTTTAATGTGTATTAATTATATTATAAACCTTTCCATTTCTGTTGGGAATGCAGTGCACTCTTGAGCTTTTGAATGGGCCGGTATTTAACTTTCCTGTTATTTTGCATCTGGTGCAGACAGAAAAACAGCTTGTCACTGGAATCTTGTTGTGTTACATGTTGCCAGGGCACAGTGTTATGCGATTTGATGCTTGCAGTGCATACTTTAGTGTACATACTCAGAGGCTTTTGCAGGTCAGGGGTGTCAAACTCCATTCCTGGAGGGCCACAGCTCTGCAGTTTAGTTTCAATTCTGCTTCAAAACACTAAGCTGGAGGCTTTAAACAAACCTGAAGGACTCAATTACTTGGATCAAGTGTGTTTAATTAGGGTTAAAGCTAATCTGTACAGAGCTGTGGCCCTTTAGGAATTTGACACCTGTGGCCTAGTAATAGCAGGTAATAAACATTTCAATAATGTTCAGTCGTTTGCACAGAACAATTGCTTCACTTCATAAGACCTACAGAATGTCTGGGAAGGCAATTTACAGGAAATGTTCATTTTTTGAATGAACTATACCTTTAACTCAATTAAATTTGAAAGTATAAATATATAAATAAATATATTTATCTTTTTTTGTGTGTTTTTTTTTTAAATAACAATACTAAATTCTAGCTGAATCAATCTTTCTGTTGATGTATGGGTTATTATGGTAGGACAATATTTAGTTGAAATACAACTATTTGAATAACTGGAATCTGCAGGTTCACTAATAATTTACACCTTTAAAGTTGTTAACAATGCAGGTTATTAATCAAAAATTAAAAAATTAAGTTTTAATATATTTAGTTCAAATTTTACAAAATACCTTCATGGAAGATTTAACTTTTTGCGCAAAATTTTATAGTACATTAAACTTGAAAGTGCTAAAACTGTAGCTTCTTTTTTCCATAATAAGTGAGTCACCTCGGAGCAGAGCGGCAGATGACACACAACAACAATCGCTTCATCTTATCTTGAGTTTGGAAGCGGGTGCCTGGTGTTTTGGAACACACACGTGTGAGTCAGTTCTGGGAGGTAATTACACAAATTCATTCTGATAATGGACTTTTGCTCGGATATTTAGATTATAATAAACACAGCAATCACCACATCTGCATGCTGAAACAAAATGTCATATTTTTCATGTGAATCAAGGCATTTATTCAGTAATTGTGTTTCCATTGTACAGAAATATTTTCATCTAAAAAAACATTCTGACTCAACTGACTGCACATATAGCTTTAGGTTTTGATGTAAATATCAGAATGTATGTAAAATTGCTTATTTTTTATGCAATATCCTTAAAGCTCAAACATACAGTAGGTGGATGAAAACAGTTATTGTACCCCAATTCAAAATAATTAGGTAAAATATTACCCAGCACAAATTCCCCCCTTTTCCTGCCTTTTTCCTAATGCTTCTTTAATTTTAAACTGCAATAACTTTCCATATAAATCTCACTGTATATCAAATAAATGCAGCATTAATCAGTATAAAACATTTAATGACCCAAAGTTTCTGAACAGTAGCATAAGCTATAACATTATAGCAAATAAGGCCTTACACTACCTGACAAATGTTTTGTCTTCAATTCCAGTTGTAAGAGCAACAAATATTAACTTGACTTCTAGTCGGTCATTTGGAAAAGCGGCAGAAGGTAGATTATTTTTCATGAATCATCTGTTGAACTGCATCCCAATCATCACAAATACTGCAGAAGTATACTGCATCCCACATGGACCCAAGATTCTTACAGAAATCAGTCAAGTTTGGTGAAGGAAAAATCATGGTTTGGGGTTACATTCAGTATGGCAGCATGCTAGAGATCTACAGAGTGGATGGCAACATCAACTGCCTGAGGTATCAAGACATTTGTGCTGCCCATTCCATTACAAACCACAGGAGAGGGCAAATTCTTCAGCAGCGCTCCTCATACTTCAGCCTCTACATCAAAGTTCCTGAAAGCACAGAAGGTCAAAGTGCTCCACGATTGGACAGCTTAGTGACCAGACATGAACATTTTTGAGCATGTCTGGGTTAAGATCGAGGCATTGAATCCAAAGAATTACTCTGGGAGTCCTGCAAGAACGCTTTCTTTGTCAATAAGTTATTAGAGTCATTTCAGAGATGTATGTATGCAGTCCTCCAAGCTCCTTAGAGTCATACATAATTTAAATTATTTTCCCACGGCACCATGACTTTATATTCTTATTGTACAGTATTTCTGTTAACCGACAAGACTTTTGTCTAAGCAAAGTCAGACCTCACTGTCCTAATTAAATGACTAAAAATCAAGGCATAATCATATTTCATTTTGGTAAAACAAGCATAATCTAGAGGCCTTTGTCTTTCATATAAACCACTTCTGATACCAAATGATTAACTGGAAGTCAAGTTATTATTTGTTGTTCCTTAAACGTGGATAAGCAACAAGACTTTTGTCAGTAGTGAAGATCTTTAAACACTCTTTAGCCTTAAGTTAAACAAGTTTTAAACAAATAGTATCACTAAAGCAGCATATTCAAATGTGCGTGTACAGCAAAGCACAGTTTTTTCAGCTCTCTGCAGCTTTTTTGCAGGTGTCTACTTGACCACACGATCAGCAGGACGTTTGGAAGAGTTTCCGCTAGATGCCGGGTTCCTTAAAACCACATTGATTGTCCAGCCGTTGCTCAAAGGTTTGGAAAAATCTGTATTAAGACAAGGAGACATTAATAAAGTGAGATAATTGTAAGAAGAGCTAAATATAAGATTGTACCATACCTTGGTGTTTGGATTTGGTCACCCAGACAGTCAGTTGTCTTTGCTTTGGTTCCATTAAGTTATCAGAAAGATTTTCGACAGCCTTCATTTTGTCTGTCGGACAGATGCCTGCAAACAGAAACAGAATCATAATACAGAGAGAAATACACAGAATCTGAAGAAAAACTAGATAAACTGAGTCTGACCTCTGAGTAAATCCTCTTAGGCATGCATTTCATTAAAAAAAAGAGTGAATTGCAGAAATAAAAAAGAAAATCAAAACGTGTAATCCCTGCTGAAATGGCAATTTATTCAGGATTAAGAGTTTTTAATAAAACATACAGCTTTGGAGATATAAAATGTGGAGACTTTTTAGTTCTTCTGGCTTTATTTGGGTTTGAGTAAAATGCTAATATTTGTCAATGTATGTATACATTTTTTTTGTAAATAAAATAAACATATTGTCCATTAGATCATATTTTTTTTCTTTCAAACCAGACTGTTGGCCAGATCATAATTAACAGAAGTTTTTATTTGATGTTATTGATAATCAGGTAAATGGCGTAGTCTAAAGATTAAACATAAACATATAACAATGGCACCTTTTTGTTAATTTTTGCACGCATAAATTATATTTTTTATATTTATTTTTACATTGGGAAAAATCGCATCCGTAGTTTACAGAATAAAACTAAATAATTCTGTTTCACTCATATAAATCAAGAGAAATTGAGAATTTCTAAGTGGTCTATTAAAGGCACTGTGTGGTATTTTAACCACTAGAGGGTGCATATTCACAACAAACAAAGACATTGCTTTACTTCTGCAGAAATCATGTTGGATGGATGACCTAGAGTAGTCAAGACTTATTGTCATAGTAGTATAAAGCAGAGTCCAACTGAAAGCTGTCCAACTGAAAGACCGCTGCTGCAATTGTTGATGAGAGACGAGCACGACAAGCAGTGTTTTCCCCATATTACATGTGTTTTAAGGAACTGTTATAATGCTGCTCAGTGCAGATTAATAAAATGCACAACATATTAAAGCATCTTTGGGATTTTTGTTTTCTATAACCAAACTGAAAGTTGAGGATTTATGACCTCATTAGCATGGTGACAGAATATGGACCAATTACTAGATAAAATTGCTTATTTTTCGAGAGGGGTCGGGATGCAGACCTGGTGCAGTGCAATCTGAGCTGCATTCAATGCTTTTTAAAGGGCTCACCTAACCCCACCCCTAACCCTACCCATCACAGTGACCTCACTCGCTCCATTTGAGTGCATTGTGTCTGACATTGCATCGCTGAGTGATGCAATCTCAGCTTGCATCATAAAGGCATCATAAAGGATCATAAATCCAGATACTATTGGATTTTTCTGGATTTTAACATTCACCAAAATATTAGGGACAATATAAGTACTAAAGTCAGCAAAATATGTAACTTCTAGTGGTTTTTAGATGTTTTGAACAGAAACAATTGATAAGACTTTATTTTGGTCCCTATTTCAAATTTTGTTGACTAAAAGTTGAATTGCAACAACATGCCAATTATTTCTCTTTTGAGTATTAGTAGACTCTGCTTAATATGTGTTGATACTGCCCTTTCAACAGACATTAACTGACTATATGAAACTTTGCAAGTACATGTCAACTAACACTAACCCTAACCCCAACCTAACAGTCTACTTATAATCTATTGAAAACTAGTTGGAACAAATTCAACAAAATGCGTTAAAGTAAATAAAATGATACCAAAAAATCTTATATATTGTCCCTTTAACCTTTCCATTTAAACAATGAATTTAGGTCTATTTCTGTCAATTCTCAAAACGAGCAATGTTTTTATTTGTTTAACCGATTCGTCAATGTCTACGTCGTCTGATAAAGCTAAAATTGGAACAGTGTGTGCTGTAGATGCAGGTTCAAGTTCATTCATGAGAATGCTCAGCAAACAGCAGTCAGAATAACACGTGTTCAGCGGCTGGTTAAACAGCAGAGAGCTAAAAATAGAGCTGCACTTACTCCGATAAAACTCATTCCGAGCGAGCAGACACACGGGGGCATTCACAGTGGTCATGGTCAGCTTTTACGTGTAAATATGGCAGAACCGAATGCTTGGAAAGTGGAGTGTTCTTTGGAACCTGGAAGAAACATATAGCAAAGAATGAGCCGTTGAGGACACTGCTGAATGAGATTTATTTGTTTTATGGTTGGGGAATAAATATTCTCATCAGAGCGACATAAACATGGAACAAAATAATTTCTGGGAAAATACTGGTCAAAGTCTAAGCCTTTTTGGAAAACCAAAAACTGTTATCGTGGTTTAAATAAAGACAGGACTTATTGACTCCACATAAAATAAACATGTTGTTGTAGACAGGTGAATCATAGGTGTGTCAAAAGTCAAAGAAAAACCCTTTGTCCCAGTTTTACTCAAATTGTGAACTGAATTGTTTTATGTGGTTGTGGTTTTTAGGGTTGTGGTTATGTGGTTTTAGGGTTGTGGAAGCCACAATTTTAATGCCAAAGCACGACTTTTACACATACACCAGAGTATGCAGTGCCTAAAATTTGCAAACAGTACATGTTATGCATTTCTCTCCCTCTCATCCGTAATAATCATTATATACATCATTATAATAATGTATAAGTAAAGTTCCCAAAAGCGATTAACTGGTCCAGAATTTTTTCATAGTAAAAAAATGTATGAAACACTATTAAATATACACAAAGAAGTAAACTTTAAAAGGCTACATGCTCCTATACAGTATATGCATGAGTAATGTTTATTCATAAACTAATTTAGAGAAGATCATGTGCTTATAATTGATCTAAGCTGCTCCTGCATTAGCTAAAACATGATTCACCAATCAGATGATTCCAGTTATCTTCATCTTGAAGAATACCCCCTTCCACCCCTTCTCCTTCACCTTTCCCTTTATAGGATGGCACGGTGGCCCAGTGGTTAACACCGTTGCATCACAGCAAGGGTTTAAGCCTTAAACAAGCCAGTTGACATTTCTGTGTGGAGTTTACATGTTCTCCCCGGGGTCTTGTGGGTTTCCCTCGCATTCTCCAGTTTCCTCCCAGCCCAAAGACATGCATCTAAAGTAAATTGACACTATAGTCAAGCTCTTAACCAGCAGTATATCTCTATACAGCAATTCCTAATTTGTCATTAGTGCTAAGTAAGGGGGGGGTTCTCAAGACATATCTGAGCTCAAACTCCCCTCTCTTGCCCTGCTAACGGGAGGGAGCCCCAGGCTCGAGGATCTCATGAGCTTAGGGCTCTCTCCCAGGACAGCATGCCAAACTCACTTTAAAATAAATCATCAACTAAGTGTGAACTCTTTAATCTAGAATTTCAATGAAAAATGTAAGCATGCATTTGGGTTTTTCATATGTTTGCTTTTGATTAACCACAGACAGCCATTTCTGAAATATACTGTTTTTGAACAAATGTTTAAGTGATTGATTCAGTGACTCACTAGATTAATTCTTGGATGAACCAGTCATTTTACTCTTCAAATGAGTGATAATTTCTGTAAATAATATTGTTTCAGACGAATACTTCTGCATATTATATCACACCTTACTAGCAAGTGTTTTTGACAGACAAACAGTAAATATTTAATGGAAAATGTGTTTCCTGTCACTTTGTTTCACAAGCTTTTTTTTTTTTTCAATCGCTGAAATGACATTTACACAACATATAATGTTTTTAACAAAGCATGTGCAAATGAAGCAGGTGATTGGCTGGTTGTTGTGCATCAAGTTATAGTACCACAGGACAGTCATTTACATTTATTCCTTTAGCTGACTCTTTTATCCAAAGCAGCTTACAAATGAGAATAAAAGAAGCACTTTAAATCATCAGAGAGCAGCAATATATAATGCTATTGCAAGCAATGCTATATCTGTGTGAAGCACACTCAGATTTGTACACTAAGAATTGCACAGTTCGAAAAAGTGGGTCTTTGCCAACAATCGCATGGCAATTCCTAACTTTTTGATTTAGTGGCTAATTTGTAAGAATTTCTACATTCTCATTTGTACAAATTCGTACAATTTGCTTATCCTCCAATGATGGGTTTAAGGGCAGGGTTGGGTGCCTCCTTTTTAAAATCGTACATTTTCGTATGACTGAACTCATACAAATTTGTATAAGTCACCCACTAAACTGACAAAATGTAAAATATTTGTGTTTTCTTGTGAGATTAGGCTGGCTTTGTCCCACATCCCAAGAGAAGTATGCATTGTCTTGTATTAATATAATCCCTGAAATACCACAAAACAAAAATGTAGTATATAAAAGAGCTATTGGTATTTTTAAATATTCATTTGTGCTGACATCATGCTTTAAGATTAAAGAATAAAGATTCCCAGTGACCTAGTTGGGGACTATTTTCATGTGCTGCATAATATCATTGCGCCTGCTGCAGACATGAAGCAGCAACAAAATCCCTTGATTATTATGCCAGAATGAGAGTATAGTTGCTAGACATATTGACCTAGCAGCTTTTCATTTTCTGAGGGTCTTGACACACAATGTGTAACTACAGAGAGGTTAAGCTTTATAGGAAAATGATTAAAACCTCTCTTTTTTGAGTGAGATGCTAATGGTCCAATCCGATTCATAGATTTATGCTAAGCTAAGAGATAATTGCTTCTGTCAGACCAGGATATAAGCTGAATGGATTCAAAAATGATTACGCACAACTGTTTAACTCTAGGTGACTTCTCAGGCCCAATCCCAATTCTACCCCTAAGGCCTTTCCCTTTATCCAGGCCCTACCCCTCATTTTGCGCGTTCCCGTAAAGAGGGTTGGGGTGTCCCATTTCTCCTTAGCTTGAAGGCGTAGGGCAGGGGTACTCAACCATGTTCCTGGAGATCTACCTTCCTGCAGATTTCAGCTCCAACCCTAATCAAACACACCTGAACTAATTAATTAGGACCTGAACAGTTCTTGATAATTATAGGCAGGTGTGTTTGATCAGGGTTGGAGCTGAAATCTGCAGGAAGGTAGATCTCCAGGAACAGAGTTAAGCAGCTTTGCCCTAGGGTTAAGGGTAAGGGGTGAATACCCCATTCGAACCACACTCAAAACCAAGGGATTAGAAAATAAGAAAATTTCCCAGAATACACCAGCCACAACAGCAGGATCGCAGCACCCAGATGTAAGGAGATCCACAAATTAGTACTTTTTGTCATTATTATGAATTTTTTACCACAGACAAGCACGTTTTAATACATTCACTACCGCGTTCATGTTTTACCGTCATGCTTAAAGACCCAAACCCACCCCTACTAAATTTTCAATCTATAATCCATAAACATAACTCCTATATAGCAGTTCCCCAACATTCTGACTCTCTATGACACTGGAATACCCTGTCAGAAAAGTCTAGTGGCTGTTATTGGGCTTTTTACAGTGTCGGCTATAATGTTAAGATTGTTGTGGTGTGTTTACATAGATGAATATGGCCACGGTGTAAATGCACAGTATATTTACGATCTTATTGCCATATTAGATCGTTAGAATAACATAATAGTGATTTCCTAAAGATAAATACCAAAATATAGCACTACTGGAATAACTACAGCAGTCCCGATTGTTTTCAATTTCAAAGCCCTTCCCCATCACACTTGGTTTTGGGGGCCAAGGGGAAGGGGTACAAAAATAGAATTGGTATTGAGCCAAAATGAACCTATTTGTAAAAAAAAAATTAAGCATTTATTTCAAGGCAGGGTTTAGAAGGACAATAAACATTTTGAACAAACTGGTTGAAAGAATGATTCAGAGACTCAATTATCAAGTCATTTTAAACAAGTCTTTTACATAATTTCTGATGTATTGATGCAATTGAAAGTGAAAAATGGTTGTGATGTGATTGATTGTTGCTGGTGAAAGTTTACACAGGCTAATTTCTGTCATTTGTCATGATAATAGTTTGACAGCTCTTTGTCACTTCATCTACAGAGTGTTTTGTTGTATACAAGGAATGTCTTTCCGTCTCTAAAAATAAAATCACTACCTCTGCTCTAACAGTAAGTGAACACAGCATGCAGTCATAGCTAAGGGCTGCTAATTATGGGAATGAACTTTGCTCTATATAACCAGCCACAAGCGTATATCGTTTGATCTCATCCATAATGGTGGCCTTGTTTTGATTCAGAAGACAATGCTTTTCAACAGAATTGCAGTCTTCTGCTTGGTCTTTTTTTTTACTTTAACAGGCTTTTTGGCTAGGGCTCTGTTAAGAGCAAAACTAGTTCTGAGCACTAATCCTTCGACATCAAATTGATCTTGAGCACAAAAGCCTTTGTTTAAAGAAGGGTAATCCACCGTGACATAATGCCAGTGTGAGCAGAGTTTCATCAGAAGAGTCTGATAGTGTTAAAGAGTCAAACGGTGAGGGATTAAAGGAAAACTCAATGTTGTTTGATCTCATTTTAAGGATGGTGAAAGGTTAGTACATGCACAGAAATGACTGGGATTGAGCGTAGAATTTCACTCTACTAAAAAAGAGCTGCGTCAGCCCTCTGGGCATTTTACAAAGACAAAAAGAATTGATGTATGTGGTGGCAGAGAAAGAGAAGGAGAAACAAAGATGAAAACATATCTGGACAAATAAAACTACCAGTTAGTATCTGAAAACAACTCAACACAATTAAAAAGCCCTGGACCAAAGTATGCTTTCTCACAGAGCTGCTTGGTTAGTTATGTCAACATATAAGACATATCTAGGTCAGTGTATATATATACATGCATTCACACACACACACACACACGTGTGAGACGTCTGCTTTATGTTAAGCGTTTAGCATTCCTTCAAGTCTAAAAACAGTAACATTGCCGTTCATATATCTGGCATGTGAAAGTCCATGCATTATGTCTTGATGTTATCTTTGAGTGGACCTTGCCTTTGCTGTCTGTCATGTGTAAAAATCCTTAAAGTCCAGCGGCAGAATATATGTTCCAGAAAAAACTTTTTTGAGTCTCATGTAGAAGGGAAAGCCAGTGAAATGGCTGAGCATATCCAAACGCAGATGAGACGGACCATAGCTTTATATCGAACCCCTCCTTTGCTCCAGGCTAAAGGACTGACAAGCAATTCGCTAAGGAAGTAAAGGTCCCACCCTGAGAAACACCCCTTTGTTTTCGTGATCATTTGAATACGACATGGGAAATGAAGGAATATACAGGATTACACTCCGATACAATATTTTCCAGTTTCTGCAAATTCATCAATAGAAATGAACATGCTAAAATGGTTGTTTTAAACCAAAGTGGGGTACGATATAGAGCAAATCAATGGGTGTTTTTTTTATTTTTTATTCCTTTTTAAGAGTGTACTGGTTTTAAAAGGCACCTATTATGCAAAAACATATCTATGAAGCATATTTTGAACAGAAATGTGTACACTTATTGCTGCTTGTTCAAGCTACCTGTTGAAAATGAGCTGAAACAACACAATTCTTGTCATTTATTTGGCTAATGAATTTGTTTTATGTTCAGTCCACTTACATTTGTAAACCATTAAGTTAACTTAATTATTTTGTGTTGGGACAACATGAAGAAATTGTGTTGGTTCAACTACCTAATTAGGGGATTTCTAATTCCCAGCATGCTTTGTGTGGGATTGAATTAAGAGGTAAATGTTGACAATAAAAGTAATCTTAGGTGTTTAAAGTTAATAGAAAGACTTGTTAGAGTTTAATTTTAGGATAATTTTAGTTTTAAGATAATATTTAGCTTTTAAGAATTAGAAGAGTTTCATGTAATGCTTTAAGTTTTGAGATTATCACCTTGCAGAAGCCCCCATGCTTTAGGTGTTGGCAGCTTAACTAGTAAAAATGCAGTTTGTTGTTTTGCTCAGTGAGCAATAACTATCCTAAAATGAGTTCTGAGATCAGTCTCAATAAACTGTATGTGTAACTCATAAAATACGCTAAAAAGGCTCTTTTTTGATAACTTTGAATTAAACTTTAAAATTTACGACACATAATAGACATTCATTATATTATCAGACATTTGAGTTTAAGTTACATAAGAATAATTGGACCAATTAGTTGGTGTTTAACAAATTTATTGGATGGAAATCTTGTCCTCAATTACATTGACTTTATCCAGTGAGTTTTTTTTTTTTTTTTTTATGGTATAGTATGTACATAGCCATATCAGAGTGGTGTAAACACATCACCTGTTTTATTTCCTACAATAAGCCAGAATCCAAAACTCAGCGATTTTAAGGCCAGCCACATAGTGATGTAGCAGTGCAGTTATCCTTTCCCACCAATACTGATTGACAGACATGTATTATCATGCCTCAAGGCAGGATTTGCAAAGAAATTGGGATAAAAAAAGATAGATCTATGCAAACTGTCTAGCTTCACCACAAGAATAAGTGGAACACTGTATTAAAATTTTCAAATCATTCTCATGTAAATCAAGACAGTAAAATCGCTGTGTAATTTATTGCCACTCGAATCACCACAGTGAACTATAAATCAAGAGTTTAGATTCAAAAACCTTTAAGTGTCATCTAAAATTTTCTTTTACAATGAGATTTTTTTTCAGCCTCATATGTTTATGTTCAGTTGTTTCATGTTAAAGGGAATAAAAACAACCTATTCTTTACCATAAAAGTGAAATTACTGAACCCAGACACAGGAGCCTGAATAAAAGCTCATTTTCAGATGGCACTTTTGCATCTGAACTCCTAAAATGATTATGCTTTATAAACATACAGCAACAAAAGTCCCAGTTTGTGAACATTAACTCTTGTTTATTTTGTACACTAGCTTCAACAGATATCTATAAAGCATATACAGTATGTATGTTTATTCTGTGTAGGTATTCTGTCACATTTGGCACAAGTATGTGCACAACAGTGCATCATATTAAACATACATTTACATTTGAAGGCATCAGCGCAAAATGGCAAAAAATCCCTATTATTAAAATTAAAAAAATTACAATGTTCAACAGGGTGTAATAAATGATCTGAGAGGTAATTCAAACTGAAACTTACATCTTGTAAAAAATTGTCACAGTTGGAGCCCTTTAAACGGAATTTATTGGATAAAAGGTTGATTATTATTATTAACTATGATTTAAAAAAAAAAAATTAATCCCATCAGTCACAATTGAAACAGTATCAGTCTCACATGACCAGATCAGTTTGCAAACTTTCAGCTTGGACATCTAGAAGATTAAAGAGGCGGGAGTTTGTTAATGCATGTAGTATATACGTAGACATGGGACGATAACCGGTTTCAAGGTTTACCACGGTTTGGAAAATTCATAACTTTCTGTTATACCATTCCTAAGGTATAAATACACTTTTGTTTTTTACGACTAGCTATTTTAGTTTTGGGCTGCACGGTGGTGCAGTGGGTGGCACAGCAAGAAGGTCACTGGTTTGAGCCTCGGCTGGGTCTATTGGCGTTTCTTTGTGGAGTTTGCATGTTCTCCCTGTGCTTGCATGGGTTTCCTCCGGGTGCTCCGGTTTCCCCCACAAGTCCATGAACATGGTACAGGTGAATTGGGTAAGCTTAATTGTCCGTAGTGTCTGTGTGTGAATGAGTGTGCATGGATGTTTCCCGGTGATGGGTTGCAACTGGAAGGGCTACATAAAACATATGCTGGAGAAGTTGACGGTTCATTCCGCTGTGTCGACCCCGGATTAATAAAGGGACTAAGCCGCAAAGAAAATGAATGAATGAATAATTTCATTTTTTTTAGGGCAACAGTATCTCCAGCAAAACGACCCTCCAAATCAAAAGCTACTGGTCAGCCCACGATTCAGCAAGCATCTGAAAAACAAGTCACTTATACACCAACATCCAGCATGCTATAGACCTGACTAGTGGCTTAATTTATATACAAAGAAAAGAAAGATATCCAAAGATGCCTTCTCAAGTTGTAAACTAAAAATCTGTGTTTTTGAAACTCATAAAGATCAGAAGTCAATGATTTATTTTAATTATTTATTTTAATTATTTTAAAATAAGTTTAAAAATAAGTTTAAAAATAAAAAGGGCAAAAATATTTCAAGTGTTTTTTAAAATCAAAATATATTGTGTTCAAAAGGGGGAAAGGAGTTTTTTTACCCAGAAATTTAAAAAGGACTGATTTTAGAGCAGTAATCACAATAATTTTTTCCAAGCTTATCATACCGTCACAATCTTATACCCGCCCATGCCTAGTAGTATAATGTGTATTGAACTGAAATTAAGTAATGGACTAACTTTTATGTTAATCCATTAATGTATCTATAGATTCTTGCATTTCTACAATATTGTGCATGTTGCAGAGTCCAGCTCAGGTCTAGAGCAAACCCTGCAAGCCATCAATCAACTTTGACCTATATTCTCTGTGCTGGGAAGAAAAACAAAACTGCTTCAGGCATGCGTCATGTGTCAGGCCTGTGAATGAGTGATGTGATGAACAGGAGGAGCTATTGGGGTGAAGCATGCACATCTTCTGTCTAGCATTTTAAAGGTCATTCTGTCTAAAGGTGAAGGTTGAGCAGAGTAAAATGGGGTAAATGAGATATAGGCACAGAGTACTGAGTAAACAAAGCCTTTTTGTACATTTGCCCTATGAGATATGCTAAATTAGGTCAATTTCGGGTTTGAAATGTTTTCACAATAAGGATGTGGTGAAAGGACACCCCACAACTGCTTTACTATATCACTTTACTATATTTAAAGTGTGCTGTTATGGGATTAATATCACTTTACAAACTTATGAATTGAATCTGAAGTTATTTCACCCATAAAGATTTCAGCAAATGAATAATGTTAAGCATAAGGCTGAAATATACAGAGAATGTGTCCACTTGCCAAAAAATGTCCATTGGAAAAATGCATTATTTTGGCAGTATTTGTGTAAATGTGCTAATATTGGCTAATATTTAAGGGGTAGTACCTCATGCCATTTTAAACTTATGTGATACAAAAGAAAACAAGATATTATGAAGGTTGTTTGTAATCTGTGCTGCACTTTAAAGGCAAAGTGCTGTAACTACACACTAACTACTACAATAAAACTTGAAAAAAAAAAAAACTAACTTGTTTTACACAAGGGTGTTAAATGTTAATGGATTAGTTAGCCTGATAAAATTTATGTCATTATTTGCATGTTTTGCTGAAAAAAATAAAATGAAAAAGAATCTGGTCATTTATAATTATTTTGTAAACTCTAGAACCATTAGACTTGCAAAATCTTGGAGGGACTAATTAGTTTTTCTGAAACAGGACTAGGAGAAAGAACAAAGGACCCAAAGTCCACTCACTCCTTGAACTGCAGTATGGAAATGAAAAACAATTGCAAGAAATGTATTATGCAGTTTCCACTGAATGGCAGCTCAGTGATCAGCACTGTCACCTCAAAGCAAGAAGGCCCCTGGTTTGAGTACCGACTGGGCCAGACATTTGGAGTCTGCATGTTCTCCCAGTGTTGCTCCAGTTTCCCCCTCAGTCCAAAGACATGCGCTATAGCTAATTTAGTTAAAACAAATTGGCACTAGTGTATGAGTGCAAGAGTGTATGGGTGTTTCCCAGTAATGGATTGCGGCTGGAAGGGCATCTGCTGCGCAAAAAAAATATGCTGGAGTAGTTGGCAGTTCATTCCCTGATAAAACTAGAGAGTTGAGTTGATTTAAACCTATTGGTACCTGGTATTGGTAGATTCTTTTTTTACCCACATATACACATACAAAAGTACATTATAAAATATTACAATTTATTCAGAGGGAGAAAGCTATTCCTGTAACGTTTTGTCCTACTAAAAAGCATCTGAAACCTTCGACCAGAAGGGAGCAGGATAAACTCATCAGACAGAGGATAAGAGCTAAAGTTACTAATGTTCTGGGCAATCAGTAAAAGCTGCCTATTATACAGGGATTCAGTACTCAGCTGTGACACCAATCCACCCGCTGGACCACCTAATAACCTGGCTCAGTCTATTCCTGCTTTTAAAAGACAGACTTCCAAACCATGCCCCAAGAGCGAAGGATATAATAGACTCAATAAAAGCACAATAGAAAAGAGTAAGGATATTGGGAAACGTGTTAGTTTCCTGAAACAATAAAGGCACTGACGCCCCTTCTTGCACACAGCATCACAGTATGCCTCGAAGTTTAAAAAATGAACAATAATGGTATATTTGTAGTTCTCCACACATTCTAGTTTTTGACCCCTGATAATATTCACCTCAGTTGCAGTATGGTTCCTTCCAAAATCAATAATCAAGTCCTTAGTTTTTGTTGCAATAAGTTTTAGATTTGACTCCTCACACCACTGAACAAAATGAGCGACTATATGCTGAAGGAAAATTAATGAATGAGACGCCACTGAATGCAAACTTTTGCATTCCTGCAAGAAATCTCCCTTCCTAAATTATTAATGAAAACAATAAAGGTAGAAAAGATTGAAGTAGTTGTTGTTACATTGCAACTACTCTTTTAAGTACTGAGTAACAATAAATAACTACATGTACTTATATGGTTGGGTTTTAGAAAGGGTTAGGTTTAGGGTTAGTTACATGTGATTATGTCTAATTTTATTACTGTAGTAATGTGTAATGAAACATTTCCATGAATGTGTAACATCTAAAACTTTTGTCAAAGGCAAAACTTACCGTGAGCAAATGCAAATTCAAACACGATCATAAAAATTCAGGTTTTACTCACTAATTTGCTAAAACATACAATAAGCCAGCAGCTACAGAAGGTTTCATGCATTGCATATTAAATCCCATATTTATATTTTCTTCTTTGGAACTCACGTTCAACAGACTAAGAAGGTGGGTTAAAAATGAAGGGCTTCATTTAGACAGGTTTAAATGAACCTGAAGATGACATCAATGAAACATCAGTCACACTGACTGAACTTACAGCACTGTAAAAGTTTTGGCTTGGTGCCAGAGGTTAGTGGGTGCATGTCTATTTCCGGTTGACCTCAATTGACTGTATAATTATACCAAAATGGGATGCTGCCAACATGGTAGTGTTATTTATAAACCCTCTGGTTAGTTGGGAGGTATATATTGACATCAGAATTGCTGATCATCATTGTCATCATATCAGGAGTCGTGTGGTTAACAGTGTGGGCTTGATGGTATACACCAAGACACAGGCCGGATGACTTATTTTCTCCTATACACAACCAGAGAAGGTTATTGAAGTGCAAAACTGACAGTAGTGAAACATGTAAACAATAACAGCACAAAACATTGCATGAGTAATTCAACATGAATCATTAGTTCAAACTCATGTTGTTATTAATAATAAATTGCTTCACGCAAACAATGACTGCAAATAAGAGCAAAACTCTTGACTCTATGTTTTGCTAGTTTTGTTCAACTTACTGCTACACTGTGAACCATTACTATGCCATTAATTAATAAATAACTGAAATATCAGCTTTTTAAACTGTTTACTTTAAAATCCTATAAAATTTATAATTTTAAAAACTGCTAAACTGTAAACATATGAACTATTCAGGCCGAAAATTTCTGTTGATAACAGTTTCTGTATATTGTGATTTACGAGTGTTTACTGATTTTTATGGTTGTGAATTGCATTATGGGACCTTGATCTCTTCTTTGTCAACTTTTGATGTTGAATATTTAACTCTAGAGTTTAACAAAGTGACTTATAATAACATTTTTGTAGTTTCAAAACAATATAATGTAAATATTAAATAATATATACAGAAATAAGTCTGGTAAATTAACAAAACAATGTACAATATATCACTTTAAACTATTAAAACTATTAAAAATGTTTGTAAAAGTTTCAAGATTAAAAGTTGTTAAAAGCATAAATAAATGAAAAAAAAAACACCTTTTTTTTTAACAGAACTTGTATTTTTTTCCCCCAGATGAAGCCTGTTTAATAATAGATTTAAGTTGTTTAAATTTGGCAGATTTGTTATGATTTAAACAAAATCTACTGCGATTGCTCTGGCAGAGCTTAGTCAAAACATCTGAACCACAGGTCAGTTTGCTTCCAAATGAAGGTGCTGTTGAAATATGAACACAACAGACCAAATCATCTAAACAAACCAAAAACAGGACATGATGTCATCAAATACAACCAAAAAGGACAGAAAATTAATATACCTGTTTTGTTGTGGTTGTTGTTTTGTTCTCTGAGCTACGTTGGCCATTACAGTTGAACAGGTGTTGGAAATGCAACATTGCAGAAGATATTTGTTTGTGTAACGGAGGGATATCTGGTGCTGCTCTGGCTTCTTTATACATCATAAGTCTTCATGTGATCTCAGCTAATGAGAAAATACAAAAGCAGGTAAATAAAACAAGCATTTTCATCCCAGCACACCTTTTTTTTTGTAAATAAATATTCTTATGTAGGCTATCTTAAGATTTAGACTTAAAAATCAGCAAACCAGCACTAACAACTTCTATAATTATATAGAATTCTTCTATAAACTTCTATAATCAAAACCAACAGAACCAAAATAGAACTGTGAACACACTCCAACACTTGAGTGTTACCTAGCATAACCTCGAGCAGGCTGTATGTAAATATTTGACAAAAGTGCAGTTATAGATACTGACCCAGTTTTTTTTCTCTTATAGATTTCCTTATTGGCTAAATAGTTCATAATATATATAAGTTGGATGGAGTAAAAACATGAGTAAACTCTTACTCGAGACTGCTTGCAATAGTTTTGCTAGGTGAAAAATGCTGATACTTTAGGAATTCCAAATAAAAAAATACAATAACATAGAATTTCTCAAGCGAATGGGTTTCATTTTTATTTTTAAAGTAAGGTCAGATTATAGCCGACTTTAAAACAGCTGTATTAGCCTAAAAAGGCTCATGAGTGACTTACAGGAAGCAGATCGATGTGTGGTGAGGCGAGGGGCTATTTTGTGGCGTGCTGCTGGTCACGCACTGACTGCATGAACAGTGGTCTCGTGTAAGACTTTTCATTTCTTCTCAGATGTATTTTACTTTTGTTTAATCCAAGGTAAATGAACAAACCAAAACGGAACAGGACGAAATATAGTTATAATACAAATTTATGTTGTAAATTTCTTCGTGAATGAGCCTAACACGAATGACCCTGCTCAATGATATTTGACAGATGATCCCAGCCTACACCAGCAGCTCTTGTGATTAGTTTAAACAAATAGCTGTTGAAGTTTACAGCTTCAAAAACAGGGGTAGGTTTGTTGTTATAGTAAACGCATCAAGGTCATTTTAAATATTTAAATTTAATTAAATATTTTATTGAAAATTATTGGCCCACATGCTATATCAGTAAATCTGACGAACAAGTTTATAATTAATCATAAGTAGACCAGAATGACACAACTACTGACTGCAAGTTACAGCTAATCGTTGACATTATATTTTATCGCCATCTGCTGGTCACATTTCACATTGATTCTGCTAAACATTCACTACATTTGGCAAAACCCTATATTTTACAGCTGTTAAGACAAGTCTTTGGGCAAAACATGTACACATTCTTATCTATTTCCCCGAAACAGATCCAAGAACATAGGCTATCTGGAATTTGCAGGTGTAATACTAATAAAACATCAAATGATACATTGTGATCAGTTAATTTTTTATTATAAAAGGTCATAAACTTTAGAGGTCATGTACACTAGGATTGTGTCTATTTGGAATAAAAGTTAAAAGTATGAATAACATAATTTTTGTCTAATCTTGCATGCACTTTCTTTCTTAAAAGTCTGGTAATTATGACTGCACTGAAGAATTAGCTTGGGTAAATTGCAAAAATCAACAATGCAGTGCACTATTACAGTTTACAAATTACTCAATATTTAAAATACAAAAATCATCATAAATATACATATCATTTATCATTTTATATATTCTTTGAAATATTAATTTAGCTTCATGTTCACTATGATAATACCATGTTTATATACAACTATCATTCATATTGTGTTGGTTTGTATAGGGTTGTGTATCTGTACAGTATATAATCAGACATTTTTACAAACCTTTTGATGCCCCAGAACTGATCTGATTGACTAAACTGTTAATTACAGATTTAAACATTTATTTCGTGGTCTTCAAATCAGTACAATCTACTCTTTAACATTGTTCATTATAAAATAAAACAGTATATTGCCCAAAACCCCAATAAATTATTCCCTAAGAGCTTCCAAAAAGTGCTTCAAGTGCGCATCCTCATTTTCTGAAAACTGATACGGTGGACTAATTGCCAGTCCATTTAATTCATTGAAGATGATTATATGATGGATCTGTCTTTTAGAAAAGTTTCAGCCAACAGGATGTTGTTATCTGTCTGTGTTAATTTCCCACACTGCTATATTGGCCTTGATAGTTGTCCAGCTCATCCTTCAAAACCTTAAAGTTGGGTCTGTCCACTGACTCTATTCTCCAGCAAGCTCGCATGATGTTGTAAATGGCTTGTGGACACTTGGGTGGTGAAGGCATTCTGTAGTTTTCCTTCGTTATGAGATCATACACCTCACCAGTGTTGACACCTATAAAAGAATAGCAAATATTACTAGTTCAAGGGTCTACTAGTACACTAGTGGGTGTTTGGGGTCTTAGGCCCCTGATGTATTGTCAATAGCCCCTGATCTTTTGGAGTATGTTGCACTTGAATAAAAATAGGTTGTATAACATTTATTTTGTTATCTAAGTACTTAAAATTACCATTTACATCACACGCATACCACTTACGGCAGTTTTTGTGTTGCTCAGCTGTTCAGCAGTACCTGTTTCTACTGGCAGGTGGGAGTGGCACATGTTAAAAAGATCCCGCCACTGCATCATTCATTCATTAATTTTTTTAGAGGAGCTGAAGCTGATCAGGTAATAATACAACTGTTTCGCAAATTATTAAGTAAAACAACAATTGTACAAGCTTTCTAGATATGATATAGATATCTAGACAAAGTTATCTAGATATGGTATAGCCAGTCACATCTGTTTCTGTAATAGTTAAATCACAGTGTGTTCATGCATCTATTATTTTATAGCTATATTCTACTGTAACATGTTATGTCAGTTAGCATTGGATTATAAATCGACTTTCTTATGAAAAACCTAAGATGGCTGGAAGAACACATATAAACCATTTATTGCCGCAGTAGTGAAAATGATCAGTTAAAGCCTTTTTATGTTTACCTTTTTATGTTTATGTTTTATGTTTTTTTCATTCAACTACAGCAATAGCTGGATACCTTCATCCATATTAGGGATTTCCTGGAATGTTCAACTACTTTTGTGAGGCATGTATGTAATTTCTGCTCAAGTGTGAATGAAACAGGCATTACATGCATTTAAAGTGCTACAATGCCCACATCAACCTTTTTTGAGGAAAACTGGAAAAAAAAAATCAGCTTTCAAAGAAATTTGAAGGAAACATATGGACTTGTGTAAGCCCCTTATCCCTTCCAACCCTAGCAACGCCCCTGTGCACATCCATTTTTAGATCTCTCCAGAAATGTTCAATCAGGTTCAGGTCTGGGCTCTGGCTAAGCCACTCAAAGACATTCACAGGGTCATCCCGTTGCTCCTCCTTTGTTCTTTTGGCTGCATACTAAGGGTCATTGTCCTCTCTTATATGGTAATGATATTAATTAGGGGGCATTTTCTAAGTGGAGATCTGACAGCTGAGCACAATTTCAAAGTCATTTTTTATTTATAAATGTTACATCACAATGTTTTTCATGTACATGTTCGTTTCCTCTGAATCACACTTACAGACTTTTGCGAAATGACCTTAGAACAAATTTAGAATGGTTTCTGTGCAACATTTAAAAAACATGGCCCCTATATTTATTAATCATATTTCAACATTTACTATAAATGCATAATTAAAATTCCAAATGCTTGTTAACTTTATTTAATGCACTGTGAGTTAACATGAACTAACAATGAAATAAGTAGCATTACAAAGATAAATAAATACTGTAATAAATGTATTGTTTATTGTCTGTTCATGTTACTAAATACATTAACTAACATTAACTGATACAACCTTATTGTATTACCAAAAACCACTATAAACACCAAACAGAACTGCTAAATAAAAAAAAATTAAGTTTTGCATGTAGTTTCTTCCCTTCAAATTGTTTTACAACAGATTTTGAACTATAAATAATGTATGCCATAAAAATATAAATATTTAAAGTAAAAATAATGTTTATGATTTAAAAATATATTGTGTCAACCCCCCCCCCCCCCCCCCCCCCCAAACAAAGAGAATAAATGATTGTCTTGAACCTGACCTGGATAAGGTATTCCTCCATGAGTAACAATCTCATAAAGGAGAATCCCAAAGGACCAGACATCAGATTTACTGGAGTAAGTGCCATGACCAATGGCCTCAGGTGCTGTCCATTTATATGGTATTTTCTTGTCATCGCTTAAATAAACTGGCTCCTAGACATGAACAAAATTTATTAGATGTTACATTAGCTTAGGCTATGAACTTCATTTCCAGTTATAAACTCTGTGGGCAATTTAAGATAGTCCACATTGCTAGTTCTAGATTAAACTCCCTTTTGCATTCAGAACTGCCTAAAAGGCACAGAATTACATTTTCAGTGGGGACACACCAAGTCAACGCCATTGGGCTTCAACAGTTTCTGTTGGTGTTAGTTGTTTGCCGTCGACTTGGTGTCGCCAGTGTTCTGAGTGTTCAGTGTTCATTTTATCATACAACTCATACCACATACCATTCATATCACACCACTACACATTAATATTTAGGTGATAGCATTGATGAGTAGCATATTTTGTCATCAAAATGTACTTCATACTTTTTGAATGGGAGGTCAGTCAATCTGACACGTTAGAACACACAACATGTTAAAACGTCTTTAGTGTTTCCCTGTTTTCTATAAAACCAAACCAGAAATCATTAACAGACATCATTAACATGGTGACAAAGGACACAGTCTTGTCACTAGATAAAATTGCTTAGTTATCTAAATTTAAACATTCTTTGAAACATTTGGGATAATGAAAGCACATAAGTCTGCATAATATATACCACTCGTATAGTGTTTTTCTTATGTCTTGTGCCTTTAATTCTTTGTGGCATGGAATCAGTAAGATCCTGGAAATATTCATCAAAGATTTTGGCCCATATTATTAATAGCATCATGCATTTGCTGCAGATTTGTTGTTTGCACTATCAATAATCACCCCAAGCTCTACAGTAATAGTAACACTAATGGGCCAATTCTTAAGCACTTATTAACACCAATTCAGATACAGTTTGTGAAGCAAAAAAATAAATAATCAATCTTACCTTAATGATTCGAGCTAGGCCAAAATCAGCAATTTTGCAGACATATCCATCTCCTACAAGCACATTTCTGGCAGCGAGGTCCCTATGAATACTGTTATTTGCCTCTAAATATGCCATCCCATCTGCCACTTGAGCTGCCATGTCAATCAGAGACTCCATCTGCAATGATCTTCCCTCTGGATCTGCATGATCAGGAAGATATATATATATATATAATTTGTATTAAAAAGTGTATATATTTAAATCAATAAAATAAGAGCAGCCCATGCATAAAAAATTTAAGACTTCTTAAAATTATATCTATCAGACAGTGACTGACTTCTGAGGAAATGAAGCAAGTCGCCCTTTTCTATTAGTTCGGTGATGATGTAAAACGGTGAGGAGGAAGTGCACACAGCAAAGAGAGAAATCAGGTGCTTGTGACGTAAACGCTTCATGATCTGCACCTCCAACTGAAACTCCCTCAGCACAAGAGCATCTGTGTTTAAAAGATAAAAGCAGAAATATTATTTGTTGTTATATTTACTTCTAGCATAATATATCATGCATTTTTATTTATTATTAACAAAGATATATTTCATATCTATTCAAAATATTGTTAGAAATAATATTAGAAATCAGGACAGTCAGTAAAGCAATACTGGATATTAAGACATTTGTATTGTTTTAAAAACAAACTTTAGTGGGTTTTGTCTGGTGTAGACACACAATATAAGCTTAAAACAAAGGGAAAACATGCTTTATTATTATTATCTCAGTTGTCCTCAGAATATATCTGTGAAATTTTAGCACAAACAACTAACAGACAATTTATGAAGCCATGCTGTAAATTCCATTCAGGTAGAAGTAAAAAAATATAGATTGCTTTTACAGCGTTTGCCTTGAACATACACTCACTTTATTAGGTACAAGTACACTTCATTAGGTACACATTATTTATTTTCCAAGTGCTCCAAGAGCCAATCACATGGCAGTCACTCAATGCATTTAGGCATGGTCAAGACGATTTGCTGGAGTTCAAACTGTGCATGGCATGGTTGGTGGCAGACAGGCTAGTCTGAGTATTTCAGAAACTCTTGATCTACTGGGGTTTGCATGCACATCATCTCTAGGGTTTACAGAGAATGGTCTAAAAAAGAGAAAATATCAAGCGAGCAGCAGTTCTGTGTGCGCAAATGCCTTGTTGATGCCAGAGGTCAGATGAGAATGGCCAGACTGGTTTGAGCTGATAGAAGGGCAACAGTAACTTAAAAAAACCACTCGTTAGAACTGAGGTAAGCAGAAGAGTATCTCTGAATGCACAACACGTAGAACCTTAAGGCAATTGGGCTAGAGCAGCAGGAAACCACATCAGGTGCCACTCATGTCCGCTAAAAACAGAAAATCAAAGCTACAATTTGGATAGGCTCACCAATAATGGACAATAGAAGACTGGAGAAACATTGCCTAGTCCGATGAGTATCGAATTTTAAACAACATGAAAGCATGGATCCATGCTGCCTTGTATAAACGGTTGAGGCTGGTGGTAGTGTAATGGTTTGGGGGATATTATCTTTGGACACTTTGGGCCCATTAATACCAATTGAGCATGATGCTCAACACCACAGCCGACCTGAGTATTGTTGCTGACCATGTCCATCCCTTTATGACCACAGTGTACCCATCTTCTGATGGCTACTTCCAGCAATATAACGCACCATGTCATAAAGTGTGAAGGATCTCAGACTGGTTTCTTGCAATATTTCCAGTACCTAGCTGAATCTATACCACGAAGGATTAAGCAGTTCTAAAGGCAAAAGAGGGTCCAACCCGGTACTAGTAAGCTGTCCCTAATAAAGTGTCTAGTAATTGTATGTTAACTCCCTGAGGATAACTCAAATCAAAGTGTATTCAGAAACATTATTTACTGTTACAAAGGATCTTTCTCTGGAGTAAACTTATAAGTGATCTTTTCCATGCTCACACTAAAGAAATTTGGGAAAATAGGCCCTCTTTAGGTACATTTCAATTTAAATTGAAGAACATGACAATAAATGTGTGGCAGTGTATCTGTAGTACTGCGTTTATTCCACTTGGGTGAACCAAATTACAGTATTTCAGCCAGGCTCTGAGTTTTAAATAGCCATTTACAAAAGACTTTTTCTGCAGAGTATTTAGTTGCACATTTACTAGGGTAATGTTTAGGACACTATTATTGTGCATGACTTACATTGTGTTCATGTACCAGATTAAAAACAAGTGTTCACCAAAAATGCATTCATATCCTAAAGCTGCAAGGCAGGTAATTGCTTTCATAAGGAAACATTTATTTTGCCTGTATTATGCGATTTGTTTTCCCTCAATGTCACATTACTCATTTACATCTAAAACTGCTTTTCATTGTCATGCATGTTCAGTTCATTCCCTGAAGGAAATTCCTGAACACCGCGACTGACAAAAGCAAGAATTCCTGAGTTCCTGCCTGGAGTATTGTGTATCTTGCTTTTGAAGAGGTTTACTCTTGAGGAAAGGTGGTTCAAACACAGGCGTGAATGTCTCTTGTGTTAAAATAAAACCTTAACCTGTTATATCCTTTTATTAGACACTCAAGAGTCAGTTTATACTACAACAATGTCCCAAATACTAACTATATTTACAGCTAAAGTCAGAATTATTAGCCCTCCTGCTAAAATCTAAATCCTGCTAAAATCTTTAAAAAAAAACTCTACATTTTTTTAATGGAGAGAAGTTTTTTTTAACATATTTACTAAAAATTTTTTTTAATAATGAATTTATAATAAAAGAATTTAATATCTTTGCTATGAAGACAGTACTGTTACGATCACCAGCGATCTAACCACCGGAGGTCGCTGGTAAACAGAATATAAGATAAAATATAAAATATATATAATTATTATTATTATTGCTTAAGAGGGCTAATAATATTGACCTTAAAATTATTTTTAAAAAATGTTAAACTGCTATCATTCTGTTTTCATCTTAAAACAAATAAGACTTTTGTCAGAAGAAAAAAAATATTATAGGAAATACTGTGAAAAATTCCTTGCTCTCATAGCATAATTTGGGAAATATTTGAAAAAGAAAAAAAAAATGCCCAGGAGGGCTAATAATTTTGACTTCAACTGTATATACACATACAGACATCATTAATCAAAAATAAAACAATTGTTGTGACAGTTGGAGTGTACATCATTGCTAATGGAGTCTCTTAAAGGAATAGTCCTGCTCTAAGATCAATGATGTAATCAGTAGATGTGATAATATTTCTGATGCAATCTGTTGCTGATGGGCCACTGTCCTGAAAAGTTTACACTCCTAAAATTAAGGTTCCAAAAAGAAGGTTTTGCAGACCATGACATAAAATGTATTGGTTCCTAATAATGTACTTACATCAAAATATAAATACACATGTACTTAACGTGTTCTTAATGTATTGCAGAAGACATCTGACATTGAGGTGGGATATGCGTAAGGTTTGATGGTCTGGGTATTGTTTAAGATTGGGTTAAGATGTAAAGGATGATCAACAGTGTAATTGCAAAAATTGATTGCAGATGTAGATACATGAAGGTATTTAGTCAAGCAAAAGTATAATGTACAAACATGTATTTACACAATGCATACAGTATAACAAATTATTAATTTCAGTGTAAGTACATAGCAATTATACAAACTTAATATAAAGTTGGACCAGACTTCTTAAAAGAATCCTTTTCTTAGTGTTAAGAACATTTTAATGATCTAAAGAAACCTTTTTCAATGCACAGAGGTCTAGGTGAAATGGAAAGTTTCTTTTGACTGTAAAGTGTTTTATGGAACTATTGGAACCACTGATGCCAACAAACTACCTTTATTTTTAAGAGTCTATTCATATAAAACACACATTAACCAGGTAGTCTGTGTCTCCAAGACTTCTAGGGGATGTGTTGCAGCTAAAAGCTCCAGGAGTGAAAAATGGGCACTCATGTGTAGCCCTATATATATTTCTGAAGATTGCAAGTTATGACGCTGTTCCTTTTCACGCTTACCAGCTCACTGTTTAACAATGTGTGGACTGCTTTCCCGCTGTTACCAGCTTGTCCAGTTAGCTCATCATGTATGTTGGTGGACTTGATGCAGAGAGGAGCTGATCATGACAATGGGGTTCATGTCCGGTGAGGAACAGTGAAGAAAGCAGGTTAGATAAAAAAAGAGGCCCAAAAATAAAATAAACAAGTAACATGGGTAACAGGGTGAGAATGTGGTAAAATCTGAAAACGTGGTAAAAATCAAATGAGGGCTTTTCTTTTTTTTAGGTGGGTGGGTCAATCTGTGCTTTTTAAAACACTATTGGTTGGGTTTAGGAAAGGGGGATGGGTGAGGTTATCAGTCAGTTGGTCAGTCATTAAATCAGTCGAAAGTCGAAAGCGGCCTCTGGTGGATTTACGCAAGAAGAGCAGGTGCGAATGGCACTCGCAAGAGATATTTAAGATCTGAAAAAGTGTACACAGCGGCCTCTGGTGGATTGACAAAAGCAAAAACTGCAAAAAACGTAGCTCCTGGGACGTATTTTGTGCTCTCCAGAAATGTATGTAGGAGTACATAAATATAATGAGCCTGTTTTGATTATATGGATGTGAAAAGGACTTTTTTCTATTTTTGTTGTCTGAAAAAGAGAGAAGGTTCCTACGCTGCAAGAACAACACCAGACTGAAATGCTATTCATCCTTTTCAGGACTTTGTAGTACAGGGATTTGAATGTAACAAAAATATTCGGTCCCACTTTATATTAAGTGTCCTTAACTACTTTGTACTTGCATCAAAAAATAAATACAATGACTTAACATGTCGAAAATGTATTGCAGAACACTTCTGGTGCTGGGATACAGGTCAGGTTATGGACAGGATTGGTGGTATTGGTAGGTTTAAGGGAGGGTTAAGGTAAAAGGGATGGTCAACAGTATAATTACAAATGTAATTACAGAAATTAATTACAGATGTAATTACATACAGGTATTTAATCTAGCATAAGTACAATGTAAAAACATGTATTTACACAGTAAGTACATTGTAACAAATTATTAAGTTCAGTGTAAGTACATATTACTTAAGGCCACTTAATATAAAGTGAGACCAAATATTCTCATAATAAAAATAAAGAATTTATTTAGCACAATAAGAACAGGGTCAACTATCATTTTGGTGGGTAATGCTTGTATTCTAATATGAGCTCACCGTTGTTCTTGAGGATTTTTATGGCCACTTTAGAGTGATTTTTCCATTTGCCACTGTACACATCAGCAAAGTGACCACTGCCAAGCTGATTCTCCAGCTGAAATTCCTCTTTAGGCAGCTCCCATTCATCCGTTGAGGGAGGTGGCACATTCTCCGGCTTTATCTACAGTAAGATGATGCAATAGTGTCAAGAGGAAAGAAACTTACATGCACATTTGTTCTCAGACAAACTATATATATATATATACATATATATATACATATATATATATATATATATCACATATTTACAGTATTAAATCAGATGGTTTACAATCAGGCAGTATATTTGCTAGAGTACTATGCAATAGTTGTTTCTTGATGTTTGGCAGATATTTACGCTCTGATGCACATGCAATGGTGATGCAATTTCAAAATTAAGCTGAAATAGCAGAAATTTAGAAACTCTTGCACAGACTTCCTCTTTTGATCAAAGCTAAGCAAATTCTGAGAATACAGCACAATGTAAAACCAGTACAATGAGAGAGAACAAGCAAAAATGGAAAAAGAAAGAAAGTCTCACCCGAATGCAAGGCTCACTCAGTAGGTCCCCAATGGAGAGTGGGTGACTTTGATAATGTTCAATCACTTCTACTATACTGCTGAACTTAAACAACGCATCCACGTAGAACTGATCACCAGTCTGAAAGATCTTGAAGTGCTTTGCATTTTCCTTTGTCCTCACTAAGATAAAAATATTTAGAAATTCAGACAGCAGTTTTGGCCTTGAGGATTCCAATATATATATATATCTTATTCTGGGTTCCTACTTTAAGCCACATTCACTGACTTTTCCCTCCCTTTTACAGACTAAAAAGCTTGATTTCCATAACAAGGCTGTTGTTGTGCTTATTTATAATCAATATAGTATCAAATATTAAAAACAACTTTTGTAGCCTTTTTGGACAGAACTGTCTGTATGTATAGCGTGTCCACAGTCATATTGGAGTGATTTAAACACAACTCTCTTTTGTAAATTTTACTGACGTTAAACAACGCCAAAATCTCAGTGTTTTTGAGGACCACCGCAATGTGATGCAGGAGTGCGGTTTTCCCACCGAATTAATTGACAGGTGCCATGTCACCATAATAACATGTATACACATGTCCCGGAACATTTTTTGGGGATTAATCTGGGATTAAAGTATATGTTACAACTCTCTGTTATCAATGATTAATTTTATAAGTTTAAAATACATTTAAAACAGAGCATGTTTTTAATAAAGAGAGTAAAATCGCTTTCAAATTCTCAACCACTATAATCACCTTAGCCGCATGGTGTCAATAAATATGCATATGTGTGTGTGTGTGTGTGTGTGTGTGTGTGTGTGTGTGTGTGTGTGAGTGTGTGAACCTACACTGGTCTCATGGTTTGGTTATGATTATCATGCCATTGATTTGGTGCATCACAGTGCATTGACGATGCTTTCCATCCATAATTAGATTTTTTCATCACAACACAAGAATATTTTTTTATTAAAATCTATAAATAGATTAATATTTATATATTATTTGTAATACAATTTTGTCCTTTAATACAAGCAGTAAGATATATGTACCGACCTTTAATTTGACCTGCTCAAAGAAAACGCTTTTTAGAATGTATCAAACAAAACTCCAATACATGCACAGAAGACAGCACAAGCATTTATAGCAAATAAACTCATGTAAATATTATCTCGCTTGCTTTTTTAGCGCTGTCAAATGAGGTCTTACACCTCAATGATTGGTCTTTACCCGCTCAACAGAAAAGGCTGCGATTGGTTTTAGAAGTGAAAGCGCTGTTCACCAATGAGTGACGCGGGAAGAACAGCCGCAGTTATTGTCTATATGCACATAATACGCGATTATCAGTAATCCATAATAGACACAGTAGAGAAAACTTACATCTCAGACACGCTCGAGTTTGGATCCACAACTATCGTTTTAATAGCCAAGAGAAAAGGAAAAGTTACCTCACAAACATTTTACAGCTTTTCCCCGTAGTAGTAAAATAGTGGCTCGTGTGCTGTGCTTTCTTCAGTGTCAATGAAAGACTTTCCAGCAAACTTACAAGCAGTTGAACTGTGCATAATTATCTAATTTTTAAGTAGTAGGAGCATTTTTTTTTAATTCGCCCTTGCCTCCTTCGCCAAAGTATTCTACTACGACATCACGCATAGGAGATAAATGACGTCAGTTTGTAATAACCGGTTATGATTATTACTGAACCGATATCAAATTGTCCCCATCTGCATTACGGTGCACCGAAAAAAACAATTGCATATGACACCCCTAGTGTGTGTACTGCAAATGGCATTGGTGTAGGCTTATCGTTTCAGAAAGGCTTAAAAAGTACTCCACTGCAAATACATCAACTAAACTTACTTGGTAATTTTGACTCATGACCTTATTTCAGCTTCATCCGTGTCTGTTTCTATCACTGACGGCTGTTTATCTGACGTAACACAGGAGCAGTGTTGCCAACTAATTTCAATGACAAGGCGCTTAGCTCTGCTCGAAAAGTCGCTAAGTGTTGCTAGATTATGTCATACGTCAATTTGCATATTAGTGACATCATCACGTCCAGCAGTTTTTGTTTATTTAACAGCATATGGGTTTTTATATTTGCACTAACAGTTACACTTTACATATGCATATCAACCTAATTAAATGTATTGTTGTTTGGATAGAGTACATCTAGATGTTTAGTGAATTTGCAGTAATCTCTCTGACATAATAAACCCACACAAGTTTGGAAACGGTCACTAAAATATCTGTGATTATGAACAAGAAAAAAAAAAAAACGTGAAACGAAACGGTTAAATTTAAAAGAAAAGAGACGCAAATCGGCTTGACTGTACAAGGGAAATAACACAAACTTGCAGAGCTAAATCATTTGCCGTTGATACGCAGAGGGGTGATCTGCATATGTGAGAGACAGCTGTGGGGTACTGGGCCCCCTTTTAGTGCTCTGAGGCGGGGGAGGGGCTGACAACATCACCCGCAACTCGTTGAGAAGAGCAGGAATGGTACAATATGGACAGATGAGAATCTATAAATAAATCTCTAGTAACACCAGAAAAAGTTGCTAGATTTGTTGCTAGTCGCTTTTTAAAAGATTTGTCACTGGGGGTCTGAAAATTTGCTAAATATAGTGACAAAGTCGCTAAATTGGCAACACTGCACAGGAGAAGCAGACAAGCACATCTGAGTGGTGAGCAGAGAGAACCAGCTCATTTGGATTTAAAGGCACAGGCTACTAAAACAGCTACATTGTGAACAATGGACTTGCTGTAGTTTTTGTGGTTGCAAAATGGGCAAAGTTTTACAAATCTTTTATTTAGCTTTTCTATCATCTACTGTTTAAGGCCCAGTTTTTGAAGTGGTCATTTTGAAGCAAAAGCTTTTATAATTTATATTTGACATGTTTGGCTTAGTTACAGTTTTTTACAATTGCTATGACACTTTTATCAATACATTTAACAAGTTTCCTAAACTCTTAACACAGTTTGCACAACATCCGTCTTCGTGGGCTATACAATTAACACATTTCTTGTTGTTTTAACACAAAATGCATCCAGTTAACACAAATTAAAAATGCTTAATCATCTTTTACACATAAGCACAACCAAGAACAAAACAATGTAATTTTACAGTCAAATTTACAAATGCTTTAACACAGTATGTCAGAACAGATAACACCATGTTCTAAACAGAAATTATATAGAATAAAGTCATAGTGAACAGCTGTTCTAGTTGTGAATTTAAACACAAATATATTCCCTATATTTTATTCAATTGCCAATGAGAAACAGCATATTGTGGTTATATATATATATATATATATATATATATATATATATATATATATATATATATATATATATATATATATATATATAAAACCGCAATATGCTGTCTCTCATATATATATACATGTACAAATAGATACAAATATACAAATAGAGGACTCTTGAGGTTTTTGAAAGGAACAGTGAGCCCATCAAAGAACTCTGTCACCAATACGTCCATGTAAGATTATGCAATACAGTCCTTACAGTACAATACACAGTGTGTTTTGCAGTAAACTACTCTTTAAACCTGGGGTTCATTAGTACATACAGTACATATACAGTACAGCATTTGCATACACTGTGTCTAATTACTTTCAGAGAGTCATGAAGTTAGAGGCCAATGAAGTACCACATGAAATTTTCAATGTTGACAAGGCTGGGGATGTCGCCGTAGGAAAAACATAATAGGCCAAAGGGCCACAGTTACTGTGCCGGGCCACAGAAGATACCAAGTATAATGTGGATGAGAACATGTGGCAAAAGAACGGGCAGAATAGAAGATTACTTTGTTATTTTATTATAATTGTGGTGCTTTTTCTGTTTGCAGTGATGTTCTTCTAAAAAAAAGTCTGTACTGCAGCAATTCTGTGTCTGTATTTTTTTTTTACATTAAAGCAATTATTTTTCTTCGTTTTGTATAGAATTTTTGCAGTAAAAGAAAGAAAATGCATGCATTAACTTAACCCAACGAAACAAAACTGTAACGAGACTTCAAATATAAGGGCAGAGCTGACACAGAACCTAATGCAGTTTCTGTAATGTCAGCTGATGATAGTGTTTTTATTGTCAGTGTGTTCTGATTGACTGAATGTTTCTGTTGGAAGAGAACATGTGTTTGTGTTTTAAACAATAATTTCATTTTGAAACATGTTTGCAGTGTTTTGTTAGACATGGTGTAGTGTGTTCGTTTATTATTGTATTTTGTAAAGTAGTTTAGAGGTTTTTAGTTTATAATGTGTGATTTTGAGCATGAAATTAACTGTTTTGCCAATTGTGTGTTTTAGGTGTGTTGCTGCGTTAAGAGTTTAGCAAACTTGTTAAATGTATTGAAAAAAGTGTCACAGCCATTGTAAAAAACTGTAAGATATATTGTCTGCTGACTGCATTTGACTTTGTTGATGAGTGAGAAGTGTACAAGAAATAAAATGGGCTAACCATAACAATAAAAGTGAAACAACTAAAACATTTTTTACAAATATATAAATATTGATAAATGGAAACTAAAATTCAAAGTGACCTAAATTCAGTGTCTGAGAGAACCTTTTAAAGTTCCATGATGTTCCTCGAATTCCATGACCTGTGGGAACCCATTGTATAAAACTCACCAATAACTCTCATTAAACAACAACACACACACCTGACAGTACGTAGCCCATGTCGTCACTCTCACTGACCCGCACAAGAAAAGATCCATAATTATTTTCATCAGACATGAGGTGGCTCACTGCTCCAACACGATTCATCTTTCCAAAAAACCACCTAAAAGATCAGAGAAAAAAAATCTCTGCATCAGTTTAGATGTTTAAAAATGTTCTTTTAACTGATGATCCTGAAATATCAAGTTTAAATTGATACAGTGCAAGATTGAGAAACAAATCAAGCTTTAATAATACTCCCAAAACACTACAAAAGCATCAAAAACACCACTTTCGAAGTGCAAGTACAATGGTGTCAACATTTGAATAAGATTTGTTCAATTAATTGTTAGTCCAACTGATTCATAAAACCATCTAAATGATTTGTTTATGAATCAGACTAATCAGTTTCTTCTGTTCTTGGTTTTATGTTTACAGAAAGGATGATGATTCAAGGTATGTTTTCACAACACAGCTTTTTTACAACTCATTTTTTTATTACATTGGTTATTTATTTAAGTTACAAAAGTGTTTGAGGGTCTGAAAACAGTTTTTTTCCCCCTATGTAAACCTCAGAAACTCAAAAAATAAATAAAAACAAATTGGAAAATGATGCCATGTGCATGAGCAGATTGTTACATGCTTAATCTATTACAGCTTTGTCTGATCTGATTTTTTTCATAACTAAAACTAAAATGTGAACTACAGGGATGCATGTGATGTGAAGACAAAAGTGACATGGCAAAAAAAATGTTTTCATCTTTACATAAAACTTTACAAAAATGAAAAACTCTTTAAATAATAATATAATAACTGAAATTATATTAGATAATTATATGAGAGAAAATCCTATCACAGCTATGATCATAGTGACATGGAGGAACTACATCACTGAAATCAGTTTCAGATTTATACAAAACCACCTAAAACTACCCAGCTTTAAAGAGCTGGAATATTTAAAACAACAGATAACAACGATGCAAGCTTATGAACAGCAAGTTCTTGTCTGTTTGTACGTTAATAGATATTTTTTATCATTACATTTTTTATTATGCATGTATCACTATATTTGTAGTTTATTTGCAATATTCCAAACAAATCAGTTTTATGATACTGGTAGGCATACTGTTGCAAATTCCAAAACATTTTTGTATTGTATTCTTTTCTTTGAATTTTTATTCCATGTCTTATCTATTTATGTCATATGAACGTCACGCCCAGTACAAAAGTCAGAATTGTTATTGCATCTGAGATGATGTGGTTAACCAACAACTGGTTTACAGTCTTTGAAAAAAAATGATTTATTATTTGGAATAAAACTGAAATCATGAAATCTGGCAGCATTTAGAATAACCACTGAAATGCCCATTACATTTCATATACAACACAATGACTCCAAAACCTAAATAAAATAACTGAAATAATTGCAAGAGAATGTAATTTAGATCATTTAAAAAAATAGTTTGACCAAAAAAGGCAAATTTACTCGATATTTACTCAGCCTCAAGTGGTTCAAACCTTTCTTTCTCCTCTTGAACAGTTAAAATATATATTTTGAAGAATGCTGAAAACCTAACCAATGACTTTCATACACTCAAAAATAAATAAATAAATAAATATAAATATAAATATAAATATATATATATATATATATATATATATATATATATATATATATATATATATAATTTTTTCTTCGTTCAAACTTAAAAGGACAACTTAATTTCTCATATTCAATCCACAGAAATTAGTTTGAAGTGCTAATTAAACTTAATGAATTTGTGTTGGGACAACATGAATGAATAGTGTGGAACCCTGCGTTTTTTTACAGTGTAGTAAGAAAAATACAAGTCAATAGTTACAGGTTTCCAGCTTTCTTCAAAGTATATTTTGTTCATCAGAAAAAAGAAATTCTTAAACGTTGAAACAAATAAAAGTGAGTAAATGATGACAGGATCATCTTTTTTTTTGGCTTTTCAACTATCCCTGCACGTTTAATTGAATATGTACGCTGTAAAGTCAACACAGACTGCATTTAGGAATAGCTTTTTTCACACTCACGGTTGAGACTCTACGGAATCTCGAGCCAGATAATTGTAAGGAACAAAACCGGTGGTCACACGGCCGAATATGTCCTTTTTATTGGCAGTCCACCAGTCACCGGAACGGTCGGTAATCTCGAACTTATCTCCAGCTTTAAAGGACAACTCCTGGTCGTTGCGCGCCTTGAAGTCCCACAGTGCCATGTAAATAGCAGCATTGTTGTTTGCACTCGGTGGTAAAGGCGGCTTGATCTTCGGCTTCGAATAACGGCGTTCAGTCTCATTCTTGTCGAAGCCCTTGTTCGTAAAGTCACCGTCAACTTTCACGCTATTTTCCCCCTCCGCTTGTGGTGGTCCGTATATTTTGTCCCATATTGTCTTGAGACATGGGCAAGTTTTCCTACAACATTCCCCCATGAGGTAAAAAGCACCTGCTCTCGCGGATTATTCCCATATGAGCGCGATGCTTTGAGGAACTGTCACTAAAGTGAAACCTTCCGCATTTGAACCACGCCTGTGGACGACAATATGACACAAGTTCAAAGGCTAAACAGGCATACTTTATTATTTGAGTTTAATTGCTTTACAGGCTATCAGCATGCTTGCAGACTTCTCGTCAATGCGGGTACATGGTTCAGAAAACAAATGATAAAGAGACGGCAGAAACACGAATACTGAAAAAATACTTTATTCACAAGTGTCATCTGAAGAATTCATCTTATATAATAATGCACTGGAAGACAATTGACTTTTGACATGGATGATTTCTACGAAACCGATCACAAAGAAAGCTACCCAGGTAGTTTAGTCATATGGCTCCTGTGTTCACCACAGTGTTTCAAGATCAGTTTACCTGGTAGAAAACAGTTATTTGTGCAGCCTGCCTTCACATAGGCTCAAGACACTCAACAGTTATAACTTAAAATGGCCATAGTTTTCACCATCTTGACACCTGCCCGTACTCTGACAGGTGAGACTTTTGTAAACATAAACTCAGACCTGAAAGCTTCAGATCAAATAAGACCTCTTGTACCAACACTCTTTGAAATAAAGTTGTAAAAGCTGTCACAGCTTGTAAAGACTAAACCTTTGTTCCTTATTTACTTTACAAGAGTGCATAATGTTACATTAAAGGTACATCTGGGCTTGACAATCTTGAATCTGTTAACTCTGGGTATAGGAAATCCTGGGTTATCACAATTCACACCACTCACAAATATTCCTGGGTATTCACATGATTAATTGTTGTGTCAGCGATTGGAAATATGCAGTATGTGACCCATTGCACTATCCAGACTATAAAGGTAAGATTGAAACTCTTCTGTACACAAATTGGTGCCTTTTCCATCACTATTTGTCTTTAATTTAGATTATGTAAAACTATATAACACACAATTTTTGTGTGACTGTACAAAGGATTTAATTAGCTGACAGTTGCTCCAGGGTTTCATAAACTAGGGTAAACAGCAGTGGTAACCCTGGTTCCACATAAAATACATAAAACCTTCATTTACCCGTGGATAACAGCAGTGCTTAAAAACACAACTCAGGGTTAAGTGCAGTGTGAAAAGTATGAAATTTAACCAACTGTTCATACTAGTAACATAAAGTCAGCATGAAACTGAAGTTTAGTGCGTCAGTAATGACTTCAGTATGATGTTATTGCAGTATGCTGATGTACTTTTAAATGAAATAAAATATTGAGTAGTGGGCGGAATGAATCGTTACCTCATAACAAACTAATGGTAAGAGGGACGTAGTTAAAAATATAGTAGCTGAAGCCTTCAAACTAACCAACAGAGAAGGACCGCCACTCCAAATGCAGAGGCAAATGGTCCGACTTTGGTTGAAGATTACAAAACGTTTTTGGTAGCACTTTATTTTGATGGTACACTTGAGTATTAGTAGACCGTCTGCTTAATATCTGTTGATACTACTCCTTCAACAGACATTTAACTGACAATAAGAAACTTTGCAAGTACATGTTAACTTACACTAACCTAACACTAACCTAACAGTCTACTTATAATCCCATGAGAATTAGTTGTCATGTAGATGCAATGTAACTTACATTCAACAAATGGACCATCAAAATAAAGGGTGACCAAATTTTTCATTGGAAGTGTTCACCTAAAGCAGGGGTTCCCAAACTTTTCAACCCGCGACTCCCAATATCCTCTAAGGTGGTTATAAATACAAAAAAACATTTATGCAATGGCGCACACACACCATAGACCCAAGTCTATTCTTTGTTTGATTTTTTAATGAATGTCAGTGCTGTAAATGGGCCAGAACTTGGTGTTATAAAATCAATCTGCTGTATGTAAAGTTATTGCTGTGTCTTTCATATAATGTAATTACCCCTGGGTAGTTCCAATAGAACTAGTAACTATATGCTACTATAGTAACTATATAGTATATAGTAAATATAAATGACAATTTTTTCTCTTCAGTAGGTTATGGATAAAATATGGTAATTCTTATGGTTTAATAAAAATAAATTGATTTTTGGAAATCACCAAGCGACCCCCCTTCATTGTCCCACGACCCCCACTTTGAGATCCACTGACCTAAAGAATAACAATGTGTGCAAGCAAAATGAACTAAATTTTGATTAAACATAGACTTTAAGGTACATATTTAGCAAAGGTACCGCTGATACCGCCCAGTGACAGCTTTTATAACTTTTATCCCCAGAGTACTGCTTCAGAAACTGAATGGGCCAGATCAACTCTAGCTCAAAAAAAAAAAGTAAGTGCAGCTCAAAAGATGTGTATTATAATGGTGCATATCAGTGCTCAACATCTACTTAAATCCACTTATGATCAAGGGTTGCTATGACAAGCTACAGATAATCTGGCCCTGTCAGATTAAGGAGATGCACATTTCACCTTTTCACAATTTCTAATCCACTATTTCCTCCACTCTTCATGCTCTTTTATCCTCTTAAGCAAGCATTTACCATTGCACATAACTTCATTAAAACAAGCATTCAAAAAGAGAGTCTATCATATGTGCACTTTTGTCCATGCAAATCGTTCCTTTGTACGTATTTCTGTCCACATCTTCACACCTCAATGGTTTTGAAGTAAAGTCTGGAGTAGATGTTGTCCAGCTGACTGTGAAGGGCATGAAACGAGGGCCGTTTGGAAGCTTCGTTGTTCCAGCATTCCAACATAATGCGGTAGATGTTTGGTGGACAGTGGTTTGGGCACGCTAACCTGTAACCTGACGACAGGGCCTCCATCACTTCCTTATTAGTCTTCCCTGTGGGAAACAGATTGTGGTATTTGTGCATGAGATATATGCGCATCCTCTTAAGTTTTAGTAAAGACACAGCTGAAGTAGTTCCAAGTAGACCTTGACCACATTACAGTTTCAAATCACTAGATTGAAGCGTTTCAGTTTCATACATGGCCATACTTTAACATTTATCCAATCTTAAATTTGGGATTATTTTACCTTTATTTTCTAGATAATAAAAAGCGAATAAAATGAATATTAACACAATATAATATATCATAACAATCATACAATTAATAAAAACAATAAAGCAGGCTAATAAGGAGCAATTAGAGGGTGATTGATTTTCACAACATTTCCATAGTTATAATTGTTTTATATGTAGTCTTAATCACTGTTAACTCGGGCACTTACTGGAAAAAACCCAGGAATGTGGAGTGTTACAGGGAGTTATTACAAGACTTTTGAACATTTATGACTTTACATTAATTATAGATGTAATCAATGTCAATGAAGTGACCTTATATGGGTTTTCACAAAAAAGGGTTAATAAACAAAGTTCCACTATATGCAATCTGATGTTTATGCAACATACATACTATAAAAGTCACTGGATTTTAATTAGAGTGAGAAAATTCCCTAAATTATTGTTCAGTGTGTGTACAGGACACAAACTCACTGCTGCCTTGTGTTTGGCACTTGCTATTTTTTTATTTAATATTACAACATCAAACCCTTGTTATGCCGTGCAACTATTTCTAAACCAATAGATGCAGGTGTGGTGGGTTATAATTGCTAGCTTTAAATAAAGTTACCACCCCCGGCCCATGCAGTCCAGAAAACCACACAGTGCCTTCAAGTTATGTCAGATGAATCATATTTATGAGTTGAATGCACATGTTTGCCACTACAAGGTGGTTGTTACGAGTGGGAAATCGGACATTTTCTTTGAGCACAGAGTTTTCGAGTTGGTGTCGTGTCAGTGATGGCGGAATCACTGATCTATACTAGAGAATTATATAATCCACTATGTATCTTATTATATATAGATCAGTGGGTGGAATTCACTGATTAAACTCAAACTCTAGTGGGTTGTCAGTGATAAAACACAATGGGCTAAATGCACAGCAAGAGTTTATCAGCTATGGATAAACTTCTGGTGAAGATTTGATTTTCCGTTTTTTAGCATCAATAATGAAAATATAACGGAAATAAAATCAGTTAAATACACTTGAGCGTTCATTTAGTTGTTCAAGCGTAAAATGAGATGAAAGGCATTTAAAGTCCTCATGAACCAGAAGCTGCGACCGTTCGTATTGTTTTTCGTATTGTGATGCAGTTCTTAGAGAAACAAAATTTTAAATGAGAGAACAGTGGGCGTGGCTTGTTTTTTATATTGCGAGCTGATTGGATGTAGTAAAGTAGGTATTTCATTCAGAAAGATCGGGAAAAGAGTTTAGGGAGAGTTATCACAGCCAGACTCCTCCTGCTCACCATTTCTGTTTGATATCAAAACTGACAGTTGAAAGGGAGTGGTTAAATATGTTAGCTACGCCCAATTCCTAAAATATACATAATCTGACAAATTAACCGAAAAAATAACAGGAAGTGCATTTTCAGATATCAAATAAAGATTAGAAGGGCAAACTATTTTATTTTCTTAATGACTTACACAGATGAATTGGTCAATACAAAACTAACAATGTGAGCTAACAAAATTATATGGTTAGTTTTGATTTCATGGAAACTTTAAATGCAAGCACCATCAGGAGCAGCAGGTAAGTGCTGAAACTCCATGGAAAATACTGTGGTAAAATAAATTTTCATAATTAAAGACATGGAGCAGAACAAAGGAATTTCATGCAGTGCTTCTTGTCCAGTCTGAGACCCACTTTATATCTATATCCATCAGGCAGTGAATATCATCAAGAACCACATTTTAAAGGTGGCTATTTTAATATGGCATGAAAGTTCACATTGAGGTTGGGTTTTTGTTCATGAGTGTGGAAAGATGGGACGTGAGATTGACAAGCGGACTGGTGCAGTGGCAGCGGTAATGCGGTCGATGTACGGGCCCGTTGTGGTAAAGAAGGAGCTGAACCAAGAAGCAAAGCTTTCGATTTACCAATCAATCTACGTTCCTTCTCTCACCTACGGTCATGAGCTTTAATTCATGACCGAAAGGACAAGATCTCGGATACAAGCGGCTGAAATAAGTTTCCTTCGAAGGGTGGCAGGGTGCACTCTTATGGATAGGGTGAGGAGCTCTGACACCCAGGAGGAGCTCGGAGCTCGAGAGAAGTCAGCTGAGGTGACTTTGAATTTCCATAGCTTCTGAGAATCCTTAAAGGTCCACAAAATGATAAATAATGTTGCGACAAATTAGGATGTGACTGAATTGTTATTAAAAATAGTTATTAAAATAGTTTGACAACAAACAAATGTTTAGTGGCCAATGACATGACCACATTGAAATAGTCTATATTACACCAATAGAAAATCCTCATGAATCACATATTCAAGTATGTGTGTGTGTGTGGGTATTCTAATTTGGTCCCACTTTATATTAAGTGGCCTTAACTAATATGTACTTACACAGGATTTAATAGTTTGTTACAATGTATTTACTGTGTACCTATGCTTGATTAAATACTTGTATGTAATTACATCTGTAATTAACTTTTGTAATTACATTTGTAAATACACTGTTAACCATTCCTTACACCTTAACCCACCCTTAAACCTACCCATGCCACCAAACCTGTCCATAACCCAACCTCTATCCCTACTCAAAAGCACCACAAGTGTTCTCAAATATATTATAAAAACAGTAAGTTCATTGTATTTATTTTTTGATGTAAGTACATAGTAGTTAAGGACACTTAATATAATGTGAGACCTCAAATTTAAATGAACAGAGGCCCATACCATCATAGGGCATCTTTCCCCGTGACATCATCTCATACAGCAGCACTCCGAAAGACCAGACATCAGATTTGACGGAGAATCTCTGATAGAGAGCAGCTTCTGGAGCGGTCCAGCGCACAGGAATCTTGGTGGTTTTACTTGCTGTAAACACACTATCCTACACACAAACACATCATTATAAACTGGGAATCGACTTTACATGCATTTCTCTATCATAACATCCAACAGTTACCTTGATGATGCGCGCCAGACCAAAGTCAGCCACTTTACACACCAGGTCATTTCCAACCAGGATGTTTCGAGCTGCTAGATCTCTGTGGACAATGTGCCGATCCTCCAGATAAGCCATACCTTCTGCTATCTGAGCAGCCATGTAGATCAAATGAGCCGAGGTCAACAGCTGACCCTCCGCTGCTGCTCCGAGAGATGGATAAACACTGATCAGTAGGAGCATGAGTCTGAATGTTTGAGAGCACACCAAGCATATGGGATAGAAAATAATCCGATAATAAAAATCTGCAATCACATTCAGGTTGATTGCTAACTTGGATAAAACAGAATTTGGGTAGTTGACAAGTGTTTTGAGGAAAAGAATGTTATATTTATGTAGTTTGAAGTCGAATGTGTTTTTAAAATGATTTTACTGAATTGTACCTTAAACACGTCCTATGGTATGACAGAAAAACATTAGGAAAAACAGCTCTTAATAATGGGCATCACGGTGGCGCAGTGGGTAGCACGATCACCTCATAGCAAGAAGATCGCTGGTTCGAGCCCAGGCTGGGTGAGTTGATATTTCTGTGTGGAGCTTGCATGTTCTCCCCGTGTTCGTGTGGGTTTCCTCTGGTTTCCCCCATAGTCCAAAGACATATGGTATAGGTGAATTGGCTAAATAGTCTGTAGTGTATGTGTGTGAATGAGTGTGCATGTTTCCCAGTGATAGGGTGCAGCTGGAAGAGCATCCGCTGAGTAAAGCATATGCCGGATAAGCTGGCAACCCATTCCGCTGTGACGACCCCAAATTAATAAAGGGACTAAGCCAAAAAGAAAAAGAATAAAAAGATTGAATGAACTCCTAATAATATATACAATTACTGTGAGATCGATTTATCTTTATTGTTAGACACTTCATAATTTTCATATAGTGCTATTTACCTAATAGTAAATTATGAATAATGTTTTTTTCTCCATGACTTGATGGACATTTCAATAAATATTAAAACCAAAGGACAACAAAACAACAATTTTGTATTAATTCCAAAAAAGAGAAATATGTAATATATTCTAAGACATGAACTTAACAGGTGCATGTCAGATGTGTGCTGAACAATATTTATACATGGATAAAAGTCAAACATAAATTTCTTCACCAATGTTTCTGTGGAAGACTTGGATTAAACCACTTAATTCAAATGCAATTGTTATTATGAATGTCTGCATCAGAGTTCTGGCACAGAGAAGATTCTTTTGGTTGCTACCGTTGCCGATGTTGGTCAATGGTTTTTTTTTTTCTTTCTCTGTTGAATTAATTTGACTGAACATGGCATGGATTCATTTAACATTCAAATTCATTCATTAATATTTCTTCGACTTAGTCCTTTTATTCATCTGGGGTCACCACAGTGGAATGAACCACCAAATTATCCAGGATATGTTTTACACAGCGAATGTCCTTCCTGCTGCAACCCAGTACTAGGAAACATCCATAGACTCTCACATGCACACACATACACTATGGCCAATTTAGCTTATTCAGTTCCATAGATATATACACTAAATATCACATACGGAATTAGCATACATCAATAGCGCCACCATATTTGTAGAGTGTTTCCAGGACAAAAGTCATTCAACCTCACAAGTAAGACAGTGTGACAATGTGAAGATAATGGACTTTAGCGCTGTATACGAGTGTAGCAACGAGCAACCAAATAAAGCAAAGCAGAAAGGCAGAACATTTCATAGGTAAGAGTTAGTTGTTTACGTTTTTTTATGTTATGAACTTTTGTGCAAAAAAGTAGCGTTATTGATGATAATAGAGTCACTTACTGCATTCACCATAAGACAAAGTAGCTCCAACTTGCATTAAATACTATGGTATTTTTGTTGAATAAAATAGATAAACAATGTAAATGAAATACGACAACGAGACGCTGCGCTGCCAGAAACTTGGATTATTGTCGGCTCAGTGAACGAGTCGTTCATAATGGAGATTCATTCACAAACAAATCGCTTTCTCCATCTGAATGAGAAGTGAAAGAATGAGAGGGGGTGTGTTTCAGGACATGGATTAGATCAAATTAAATAGGCAAAGTGGATAGTACATTTCCATGCACACAAACACTTGATCTTTGTCAGGAAATGCCTGTGCAGTTACTTATCCATCAATATAGAAAAGTGATCAAAAATTATAATTTTTCGTAATTTAACAAAAATATTTGCATAATGACCATTGGGAAAACTCCCCATCATAGATATATGTGTATTTGTGTATTTCTCTTCCAGTCCTCCACTGCACCTTAGTCCCGCATTCATTTCAATGGAGCGCTACCCTGTGTGAAAATGGTGGCTCTATTGACGCATTTCTTCCAATAGACAACAATAGAGTAGGCAGCATCTAGTGTAAATATCTATGATTTAATTCACCTATACTGCAGGTCATTGAACTGTGGGGGAAACCGGAGCACCCAGGGGAAACCCATGACAACAAGAGGAGAACATGCAAATTCCACAAATAAATAATGCCAACTGGCCCAGCCGGGACTCCAACCAGCGACCTTCTTACTGTGAGGCGACAGTACTAAACACTAAGGGCTCTATTTTGACGATCCATGTGCAAACTGCAAAGCGCAGGGCGCAAACGCATTAAAGGCATGTCAGAATCCACTTTTGCTAATATAAGGACGAAAAAATCCACTTTGCGCAGTGGCACATGGCCTAAAAGGGTTGAGCTTATTTTCTAAATGAGTTATAGGTGTGTTTTGAGAATGACGCAACTGATTCTTAAAGGGAATAGAATATGAGACTCTGATTGGTTTATTCTCAAAACACACTTATAACTCATTAAGAGAATAAGCTCAACCCTGTTAGACTATGCGGCACTGCGCAAAGAAGATTTTTCTGTTCTTAAAATATCAAAAGTTAATTCGGACATGCCCTTAATGCTTTAGACTTTGTGCCTGGATCTTCAAAATAGAGCCCTAAATGATTTTGCTCAGAGAAAACTGTTGTATTTGCAACTCTTTGCCTATGTGCAATTATTAACCAATGACCTTTATCATATATTGCTGATATGCTGATGGCTTTGATTCACTCCAATATTGACCAATAAATATTGGTAGCTGATACATCAATACATTCCTAGTTCTGGTCAAATGTTCAATCAATGGAGAGACAGAAAGTTCTTTTTTTTTTTTATAAATATTTCAATTTGTGTTCCAAAAATGAAAAAAAAAAATCATATAAGTAAATTAGTTTTTAAAGGTCAATAAACCATTTAAACCATTATTTACTACAGGCCTTTAAGTAATAAAGCGAAGACACTAATTTTAAGAACTAACGCATCAGTTCACAGAAATGAAAATGAAACACTTTTAAGCATTTAAGTGGTCATACAGCATTATGAGAGCTATATTTATTTTAAAGGAAGTGAGCTTTATGTCAAGAATATAAACACATTTGTGCTCAAAGACTTCTTATAACCATAAAACCCTGCAGTGATATAAAGCTATTAATGTTTAATGCCAGTGTGGACGTGATTGTCTGATAAGAGAAAAAAGACATTTCGTAAATTCGTACACTCGTAAATTCTCTCTCCGATCATATACAGTAATCTTGAGTAATGTTATTGAACACATGCCAGCACAAGATACGAATGTCACTTACATGAAAGGTATGATTTGAGACTTCCTTTCGCCATGAGCTCTGTGACAATGTAGACGGGTTCGCCTCGTGAGCACAGAGCCAGCAGCTCGATCAGTTTGGGGTGGTGCAGGTTCTTCAGTGCGTGAACCTCCTTCACAAACTCATCCAGCTTTGTGTCCTCTATAGAGCGCAGACAGAGAATAAAGGTTGGAAAGTTAAAAAAAAATGTATGTCTATTTATTTTTTAGTTAACACTTTTCAATTAGGTCCCATTTACAAAGAAAGGAATAATATACAGCCATTCGGTTGTTTCCGCAAATAAATCCCAGACAGATAAGGACTTTTATTGTGCTGAATATGTCCAGATGGATAAACAGCTATGAGGAAAAATAAGAGAGCACTTAGAAATTTTTAGTATAATTGGATTAGCATTTTTTAGTTCCATGTTGGAGTATAACGTAATCTATGATTTGTTCTGCTAACTAGTTGCAGTTTTTTTTTATTTAAAATAAAAATGTCAATTGTCAATAAGAGCATCAAATGACCATTGGTCAAAATACCAAATAATATTCGATTTTTATCAAATGAAACAAACAAGCTGTATGAATGGTATATTTTTCTAAAACAAACGAATGTAATGGCCTGGAAATTGGATGAATGGATTCAAAGACGGTAAAACTCATTGTTTTAATTCTAGATGACTTGTAAAATTTTTATGACTTGTAATTATTTTTTTAACACAAAGACTATTGTTACAAACTATGATGTTTCATTTTTACATAAATGCACACGCAGAACAAAGATGAAAAAGATTTGACCTACAGTTGAAGTCAGAATTATTAGCCTCCCTGAACTATTAGCACCCCTGTTTATTTTTTCCCCCAATTTCTGTTTAATGGAGAGAAGGTTTTTTCAACACATTTCTAAACATAATAATTTTAATAATTAATTTCCAATAACTGATTTATTTTATCTTTGCCATGATTATAGAAAATAATATCTGACTAGATATTTTTAAAACACTTCTATACAGCTTAAAGTGACATTTAAAGGCTTAACTAAATTAATTAGGTTAACTAGGCAGGTTATGGTAATTAGGCAAGTTATTGTATAAAGATAGTTTGTTCTGTAGACTATCGAAAAAATATATAGCTTAAAGGGGCTAATCATTTTGACCTTAAAATAGTGTTTAAAAAAAATAAAAACTTCTTTTATTCAAGCCAAAATAAAACACTCTGTTAAACATTATTTGGGAAATATCTTGAAAAGAAGAAAAAAGTCAAAGGGGGGCTAATAATTCTGACTTTAACTGTACATGGTAAATCATAAGAAATGTTCAAGTTTATTACAGCATATCATAAAACACGCCATAGTTTCAATTTATTTTTATATCTAGGTAAAGTAGATGCAGCTTATACAGCACTAATAATGTGAGAGCATGTTTTTGGCCAAGAACTAATAAAACTAATTTTAGATAATCTTAATAGTTTGTTAAACTAGAATTAGTAGGCAAAACTACTTCTATTATAAATATACAATCACACAGCACTTTTCGCTCCATAGACTTCCACGAATGCGACAGACCAGAAGCGCAAGCACTTGTTTCGCGTTTCATGGCATTCGAAAGTTCAAGCTTGATGAATTCTCAACTGCGAAATCACTTCAGGTAATTGCGTGAGTCCAATAAAAGACTATTTAAAGTAAGAAATTTAAAATATAGAGCAATCGCTCACTTGTATTTGTGTCAAATCATATTGTTTAACCCTGCCCTTTTCTCTGGCCATACGACAGAATTTTACAAGCACAAGCTCTAGTGTGGCTGCAGCTGAAGTCACTTTGGACAAAATGTCTGCTAAATGACTAAATGTAAATGTAATTTCCATGACTTTTCCAAAACTTTTCCAGGCCTGAAAAACGCCATGTCAAAATTCCATGACTTTACCAGGTTTTCCATGACCGTATGAACCCTGAATTATGGTGGTATTGTAAATCTAACTGAACAATACTTTTTTTTTGGTTTACATGCTAATAGTTAATGTTTGGTTAACAAGCGTCAATTGTCATTTAAAAGATATTCAAAATGAACAACCTTAATTTTTGGTAAAGTATTTTTAGGAACCTAAACCAGTATAGAATAATGACGTGTGTCGATTGAAAATGATGTAAAAGTCACACGAATTCCTACATAAATGTTCATGTTCAAGTCGGATTGCAAAACATCAGTTTTGTATCAGATTTAATACCATATATGAAAGTGGCACAAATCAGAATTGAAAAGATCAGATTCTGTCATGACAAAAACAGATCCGAGATTACATGTGGGCAGAAAAATTAGATTTGGGTCACATTTTCCTGCAGTGTGAATGTGAGTTCAACATACATTGAGAATTTATTTCTGTATCATTCATACTAGACACTAGAGGGTGAACAAGTGCATAAACTCTACATATTGACTTTTAAAGAAAATACATCAGCTATCATGGCAGCTAAGCAAAGAAGATGAAGATGATAAAAATTCGATCAAACATGAAGACAATAAACAAACACGGTGTAATATCAGGATTATATTTATAATGCAATGCTAATTGACCTAGCCTTTATTACTTGTAATTATAAATACTTCTATAAAATAGCATGATTAGTTATTTCATACTGATGTTATGTCTTAAGTAAATCTTTTTTTTTTATCGACTAGTTATACCAATTACAGTTTTTTTTTTACATCTTCATTATAATCATTTTCATTACATCAATTATTTTTGTCATGGGGATAATTTTTACCAATATATCGCAAACAATAAGATTTCCCCAATCCCTAAAGTAAATTTTGGTGGACATAAAATGACAAATGTCACAAATATGAGCATTAGTGAGGAATTCTGTGAGCTTTTTGTGTGTGTCATTTTGGTTTGTCACTTTAAAACAGTGAATTTTGTGTAATCTGTTACCTTGTTTGAGCATTTTGATGGCCACTTTCTTCTTTTGTGTTTTCCAGATGGCTTCCCAGACCTCTCCAAAATGGCCTTCTCCAAGCTTCTTGACCAGCATAAACTCCTCTCTGGGTCTTTCCCATGGCTCCATGTCAAATAACTCCCTCTGCACAAGGACAAACACGAAACAAAGGTTACCAGACACCTCTTCCAGGAACCAAGCCCTTACATCACATTACTCTAAACACAGTGAGTAGAAGACTAGGGAACGGTTCCACTTTGTTAACTGTGTAAACATGAGGCAGAAAAAAGAGAAAGAGAGACCGTTTGTTCACTGAGGAGTTTGCTTTGGACATGCAGCTTGAAATGTAGGACAAGAAAATGATATGTATTTTGTCATTTGCTTTACATAATTAAACAGAAAATGGTTTTGACAAATATGACATATGGCTAGATCCACATATGTTCTTATCTAAATCCTTAGGTAAAATCTAAGATCTTAAATTCTAAGGTAAAGCAAGTGAAAAAACAAGCCCCCTTAAAATAACACATTTAATTAATGGAACCATGTCTTAATTTAGTTTTTAGAGTACAACATCAATAAATTATTATAAATCAAAAACATATTCCAGATTACAATTTTATCAGTCATTTTAAAATAATAATTTTTTAATATTTTTAAAAATATATTTTTTCATCAATACAAAAAGTCCAATTATATTGGCAAAAGCTAGTAATTTGAAGGATCGTGACAATGTCTAAAATATAAAATGACAATTAATGTTTATTTTAGGGCTGCATTGTGATCTGTCTGTCATCTAATGATTCTTGTCCTAAATATGAATACATTATTAAGTATTGGTTAGAAAGTGTTTAATTTTTACAAGAATGCACTGTTACGCAGAACAATGATGGAAAATTATTTGACCTATACCCATTTTATTTTTGCTAAAATATAAAAAAAATTATTGACTCTTTACAGTTATTCATTCAATGTATATATAAAAACACTGTAATTCTGATACACGCAATATAATCGGATGTTTCATCTTTGGTCAAAATATATAATAATAATTGTAATTGTTTATAAAAATGAGTGTAAAACATAACTGGATGAGTCGGCATGAGTTTTTGCTTCATATTAATTTCCAAAATGTTTTGAAAAATGAACAAATGCTTAACTGATTCATATGTGCACTGTCATATTTAAATGTATTACTGTGTACATTTAAGGCAAGTTTTTCACTGATATGGGAAGTTTCATTAAGGCCCTATCCCTAAAAAAATTATTTTATATACTATTAATTTATATCTTAAGCTTTGCGCTTGGTTCAGATACACACTATTTTTGTGTGTGAAACTTAATTTTCGATAACAGGTCTGCATTTTAAATACAAAAATGACAATGCAGTTTTACATAACTAAATTTAACAGGCAAAAAAAACCACAAACGTAATACAAAGTCATCATCGAAACAACCAACTTAAAAGACAACTTTTAATCTAAAACTGTCCATATTGTGATGCTTTTATTATCCAAAGTTAACGTGTTCAAGAAAGACTAAGCCCTTAAAAGGGGTTATAGCAATGCTGCTTATTTACCTTAGAGAGAATTTTATTAAATAATGAAGGTAATCTTATGTACCATTTTTAATGTAATGTATTCTATAGGATAGCTTTCTATGGGTAAACAATCAAGACACTTAAATTAAAAAAAACTACATGATGTCATTAAGAAAGCCAAAGTACGACTGATTTCAGAAAAAAAGATCATAAATCAACATTGAAGGAGCCACTGAAGGTGTGTGTTTGTATTGTTTTATCTCCATACACCTATATTTATCTATTGCATAATTCCATCTAGCACCGTCTCTCTTTTATTCCTCTATGTTTAAAAGCTGTGTATAAAAAAAGCTCCTGTGCTTTATTGTTAAGTGTCAAAGGGTGAAAGAATCAATCATGGAGGACCAAAAGAAAAAGCTTTCTGTCCCAGACACTGTGCTGCTTGTTGTCTGCAAAGACACGCTGCTATAAATGACCGATTCTTGCCTCCCAACACTCCTCATTGTCATTTATAAACCAGCCAGATATCCTACGTCAAACAGACGTAACACTGATATTGTGCAGTCTGAACCTGACATTAGACTTTAAAGGGGTCATGTGATGTGTTTTCATATTTTCTTTAGTGTATGTAGCTGTTTAAATATGTGTAAGATCTGCAGTTTCACAGCTCAAAGTCACACAAAATATTTATTTCTGTTTAACTGTCGAAAAAAAAACACCTCAGTCAAACTGTCCTTTACATATCTACATCACAGAGTGAAAGTATTTGCATGCCGTCAAATGTTTACACAAAGACAGATGTGTGGTTTTAGTATTGCATTAGTTTTGTTACCTCCATGTCAGTTTAAGTGGTTCTATAAACGTGGGGTTCCTACCAACTCTTATAAAGTGTTCTTAGTAGGTCCTCATGGAATTTGTGCGAGCAGAATTCCGCAGTTTTTTAGCCCATGAGTGAGTAAATGTGTCTCAGTGGATCTACAGTTTATAAATTATTAGCCCTCCTCTGAAATATTTACTCTTTTTTATATTTCTCAAAACAGAAATATCTCTTTTTTAAATATTAAATTATCCCTTATTTAAATATAAGTGATAATTAATTGAACAAGGAATTTTTCACAGTATTTCAGAGAATATTTTTTCTTCTAGAGCTTAAATAATAATCTTATTTGTTTTATTTTGGCTGGAATATAATCAGTTTGTAATTTTTTCAAGCTTCTACGGGGCAATAATCCTAGCCCCCTTTAAAGCTCTATATTTTTTTCAATATGCTACAGAACAAACCATCATTATACAATGACTTGCCTGATTAATCTAACTTGCCTAATAACCTAGTTAAGCATTAAATATCACTTTAAGATGAATTATAATGTCTTGAAAAATATCTAGTAAAATCTAAAAAACACATATACAAAAAAATTTATTTAACAGGAGGGCTATCAATTCTGACTTTAACTATATGTGTCCACGGCCAGGGGCATCTCTAGACCCCATCGACAGTGCCCCAGTAAATGCTTTGAGTTAGAGTATATAAGTGTATTTATTAAGAGTCGTAATGAAGACATTATTCTCTATGTACAACCATGTTGGTTGAGGGGGCCTGTGTCTCAGTAGAGCTTTATGTCCAGTAACACCCCTGTCCACGGCTCTATTATTTAGCCTCAGTGAGGAGGAGAGAAAAGCAGTCTATCACTACGAGCCCAAACCCAGATGGACAAAACACACACACACACAAAAAAATTATATATATATATATATATATATATATATATATATATATATATATATATATATATATATATATATATATATATATATATATATATATATATATATATATATATTATGCGCGAAGCCACTGATTAAAAGGAAGGAGAGATTAGTGACCGCTGAGACTGACTGGAGCCTTCGCCGTGGGCTACTTCTGCAGAAACAGGCCGCTTCTCAATATATCTCTAACTGGATCACTAATGCAGAACTGATACCATGAAATGAAATGCACATTTATGAGAGATAGTTTCACACTAACAAAACGAGAATAGTTAATGCAAAAATAAAGTCTTGTCATTATTTACTGACACCTCCACTAGTTTGTTTCTTCTGTACGAAACATTCTTCAAAATATCTTCTTTTTTGTGCTCAACAGAAAGTTATAAAGGATTGGAACCGCTCATGGGTTCATTAAATTGTGAATAAACGTTGTTTTTTTATGTGAACTGTCCCTTTAAGAGCTGAAGGTTGTGTGTGTGTGTGTGTATATATGTGTGTATGAATATTAGGAGTGTCATACTCGCTGTACACACGGCTGGTCTATGTGGCATCCCAGGCTTCTGGAGTTTTGCTGGTAGTATCTGATGAGCTCGTCCAGAGTGCCAAAAGAGATCTTCTCAGACACGAAGTAAGCACCAATTGGCGAGCGATGAATACGGAAATGGAAGACACTGTTTTCACTTCTGGCTGTGAAGCAGAAAAATCAAATAAGAAATTTCCAGCATGAATATTTTAGGAAACTAAAGGTTTTGAAGTTTTTCTAACTGATTGATTATTTTGCAACATGGTATAAAGCTATTTGATTAAATATGTGAAAAACTGCTAAACAATATCAGAAAGCTTTGATTTATTAATGCAATCATAAGCATTTTTTTTAAATATTTTTCTGCCTTCCATGAAACACTTAAGAGTGTAAAAGTATAAAAGCTTTCAAAAGGCAATGATTAATCAGAAATGTTCAATAATTTCTTAATCAGTATTACTGACATAAAATATCACTAGTTCTTTTCTGTATTATGTAACATGTTGCCTTAAAAATGTTTGATTAGCTGGATCGTTCAGTAATAACATTTCAAAATGACTTCTGTGATTCTGGAAAAAAACGAGTGATTCCAGCAGGGGCGTAGCAAACGGGGGGTACTGGGGGGATACGTCCCCTCACTTTTAGAGACAGACCATTAAGAAACAGGTGATTAATAAATAAATGAACGTAAACTTTTGGATCTTCAGTGAGTGTTGTCCTGTTTATAGTTTTTCTAGTCATGTTTTGATGATTGTTTTGTAACTTTTTGTACTTACATCATCGCTTTGTTTTTGCATTTTTCAATGCCCTTCATGATACCCGAGTTCTTGTTTTTTGACCTCATTGATTTTTGCCTGCACGAATAATCTTTTTTCATTAAAAATTGCATTTGGATCCAACCTCTTGTCCTTGCTCCCTTGACATCCGGTGACAGAAAGATTCCGCCACTATGGATCCAGCACAGGGAAAAATTACTCGCCTGCAACAAGGTAACCGCTCCATCGAACAGCATGTGGAGGAATTTTTGAAGTTGGCTCACAAAAGTAATGTGGACGATTTATGTCTGATGATTTTTTTTTCGTGGAGGATTATCGAAGCCCCTTCGCTCCATAATGCCAATGCACACCCCAGATTTGACTTTCTTTCATTACATCGAATTGGCTCTGTCTTTGTCAGATTCTTCCTCCACCATTATTTTTAAAGTGGAGGAGAATCCTGGTGATATTTGTAAAGGATTAAAGTGACATAATGTACAAATTACTGTACAAACTATTACATTGAAAAAATCTGAATATGATCCTACATACTCCAATTAACATTTGATTGAAAAAATACCTCGTCTTTTCCATTCAAACCAGAAGTTTACATACACTTTAAAAAAAGGAACATAACCATTTTTTTTAAATGTAATTGTAATTCATGATAGTAATGATAAAAATGATAGTAATTCATACTAAACGTTTAATTTTTTAGGTCTGTTAGAATCATACTCAACGTTTACTTTTTTAGGTCCGTTAGAAATACCTAAATGATTTATATTTGCTAAATGCCAGAATAATGAGAGAAAAAAAATTGAGCATTTTTTTATCAATTTCTAGACAGTCAAAAGTTTACCTACATTTCCTTGTTATTTTTTAGCTTTGCTTAAAAACTGTACAACTTTGGTCAAATGTTTTGGGTATCCTTCCACAAGCTTTTCACAATAGTTTGCAGGAATTTTGGCCCATTCTTCCTGACAGAACTTTTTCAACTCTGTCCATAAATTTTCTGTAGGACTGAGGTCAGGGCTTTCTGATGGCCACTACAAAACATTCACTCTGTTGTCCTTAAAGCACATTTTAACTAATTTGGCAGTATGTTTAGGGTCATGGTCTGTTTGGAAGACCTATTTGTGGCCAAGTTTTAATTTCCTGGCTGTTGAGACGTTGCTTCAGTATTTCTACAAAATGTTCTTTCTTCATGATGCCATCTATGCATGTGAAGTGGACCAGTACCTCCTGCAGCAAAACAGCCCCACAACATGTTGCGGCCGCCCCCATTCTTTACAGTTGGGATGGTGTTCCTAGGCTTGTAAGCTTTCCCCTTTGTCCTCCAAATGTAACACTGGTCATTATGGCCCAACAGTTCAAACTTAGTTTCATCAGACCACAGGACATGTCTCCAAAAATTATTCTTTTCAAAGTGTAATTTAACAAATTGTAATCTGGCTTTTTTTGTTGATACTGGCTTGTAGATTTTCCCATTTTGTCACAAAAGGAAGCAGTGTGATTGAGGTTTTCCTTAAATACTGTTTTACAGTTGTGCCTCCAATTAACTCAAATGTTGTCAATTAGCCAATCAGCAACTTCCAAAACCTTGACACCATCATCTGAGCTTTTTCAGAGGCATAATAACCTTATTGTATGTAAACTTGACTTTCAAGAAAAACAATCTCAAAAAATCTCGGTAACACTTTATAATAACTACACACTATAAATGATTTATTAAGCATTAGCAAAGAGTGAATTCATTATCTGTCAAGCATTAACTCTACATTAATAAGCGTTAGTAAGCAGTTTATAACTGCAGCGACAAATGCTCAATTCTTGACTTATTTATACAAACATATTTATAATGTGCTTAATACTTTTACTTTCATACTTTGTTAATGATTTATTTGTCATTACTAAATTAAGTATCCATTATTTACAAACCATTTGTATTTAAGAGTAGTTGAGGGTTTTTAGAATCATTCAGATTGAGTTAGTAAATGATTATTAAACTATGGAAATCAACGTTTATATGTCTTATTAACCAGGCATATTTTAATGGTTAATTTGTATGTTAATAAATGCTTTATTAACTCAACTTCATGCAGTTTTGTGACCTGATCTAATGTGAGGACTATTTATGCTTTATAAATCCCTTATAAATGACAAATAAAGGCTCAGAAAAATGGCAAACTATATTATTCAAATGAAACTGTACTTCAAATAAAAAATAAATCTTTGCAACCTTATCTAAAATCAGTGTAGAGTTAAAACATTGAATCTTATTATATTGTTAAATTATTATATTGTTGTTGTTGTTTTATCCAGTTGGATGTCGGATTTTGATACTCCTGTTATTCAGCAATGTTTATACTTTACAGTAATTTTACTTTTTAGAAAGATTGCAAAGATTATTGTTCATTTGATTATGAGCCTTAAATGGTCATTTATAAGGAATTTATAAAGCATAAATAGTCCTCACTTTAGATTATCACAAAACTGCATGAAGTTGAGTTAATAAAGCATTTATTAACATATTAGTTAACTATTAATATATGCCTGAATAATAAGATATATAAATGTTGATTTCAATAGTTTATTAATCATTTACTAACTCATTCCGAATTTTTCAAAAACCCCTCAACTACTCTTAAATACAAATGGTTTGTAAATAATGTGATACTCAATTTAGAAATGAAAATAAATCTTTAACAAAGTATGAAAATACAATTAATAAGCATGTTATATAGGTGCTTATAAGTCAAGAATTAAACATTTGTAGCTGCATTTATAAACTGCTTATTAACGTTTATTAAAGTAGAGTTAATGCTTAACAAATAATGAATTCACTAGATGCTAATGCTTAATAAATGATTTATAGTGTGTAGTATTATAAAGTGTTACCAAAATCTCTCATTATTCTGATATTAAGCATAACAGAAACAAATTTGATAATCCTAACTTATCTAAAAGAGAAAACGTTTAGTCACATTAACATCTGACTTTTTTTAAATGGTTAAGTGCCTTTTTATACAGTGTATGTAAACAGTTTATGTAAACTTCATAAGCTCATATATAAACAGAACTACTTCTAAAATGAAATCTCAGGTTTGACCATATAAGGAATGGTTATGAAGGTAACACTTTTTTTTTGATGGCCCATTTGAGTATTAGTAGACTGTCTGCTTAATATCTGTTGATGTGCTCCTTCAACAGGCATGTAACTGGCTATAAGAAACTTTGCAAGTACTTATCAACTTAAAGTAACCCTAACCCCAACCCCAACCAAACAGTCTACTTAAAATAATGAGAATAAATTGTCATGTAGATACAGTGTAACTAAATTTCAAGGAACAGACCATCAAACTAAAGTGTGACCTTTGTGAATAGTAATGAGCTCTACTCTGACACTCTACAGCTCGCCTGCTCTCACACATACACATGCACAGTGTGATGTAACCTGAAATACACACATGCAAAATAATCATACTTTGTCTTGTCCAAAAACATTTTTTCAAAGTGAGTAGATGCCTTGTCAAACAACCATTACAACTTAAGTCTAGAAGAGGTGAACGTTAGGAGAGAGTGAGCTATCTGTATAAATCTACTTCTCCAATACTGATGCTGAGTTGTGTGTTGTGGATGATATATGTGCTAAATTAAATTATATTAAAACAAAAAGAAGCATGAGAGATGCATTTAAAGTTGTATTTTGTGGGTCAAACATATATGAAAATAAGACTGGCAGAATTGAATTACCTCATCATTAACAGATTTTATAAAGTATAATCAATTATTAATTATTTATTGATCAGGCAAATAAGATAACTGTCTACAAACAACATTCACTGCAGATTCTATTTGACTCCTTTATAGAAAGAACAGCAATTGCAAGTTTTAAAGACAATATGCATCCCCTTAACTCAGCTTTTGAAGTAGAGACTATCAGGACACAGGTTGAAAATTCCTAAAGCCTGAAGAAATGCTGATAAAAATCACTTATCATAATTGCAGTTGTTGTCTTAAATCAGATCACTGTTCAAAGTGAATGGAGTGGTTTGTCAAGAATGATCTGCAGTAATATGTATGGGGCTAATTTGGTTTTTAAGTTTTTAACTTATGCTGTTGTCTTGATGAGTGTTGCTATTGTGCGATTGTTGTATGGCTGTATTTATGCAGTTGTTGTCTTAAATCCAGTGTTAAAGACACATTTCCTTCTGTGCCAAGGAGAACACATAATAAAGTTAAAACTAAACTAATGGTTTCCTTTCACCCAAGAAAAATCACAAGAAAAGCTGAGTGATATGACATGATGCATGAACGTGTATTAAACACTGATATTCAGCAGATATGTATACATATTGAACTAACACAAGGAATTGATGGAAAAAAGAAACCCTTGCTATTAGTGACACCGGTGACTGTTAAGTGAACTTAAATTATGTTCACCCTAAAAAAGTAATTGATATAACCATTTACTCACCCTCCACTAGTTTAAAAACCTGTTTAAGTTTCATTCTTCAGTCGAAGATAAGGGAAGATACATTGAAGAATGTTGAAAGAAAACATTGACTTCCATAGTATTTTAGTTCCTTCTATGGAAGTCAATGGCTGCTTTTTTTCTCCAACATTCTTCAATATATCTTGTTTTGTGTTGAAAAGAAGAAAGGAATCCACTGGAGTGTGAATAAAGTGGTGAGGATTTGTAACTCTTCTTTTAAGTTAAGTGCACTTAAAAAAGCATATTTTTGCCCTTTGATTAGAAGTAAAATTAGTTAATCAATACATTTTGCAGAAATATCTTGAGAGCGCTTGATAATATCTTTCATTGAAATATAATAAATGCATATAACAGCCCAGGCTGCATTTGATTGGCCACAACCAAGATTATAAAATGATGCATTTTTGACCCTTATTTTCTGAGTATAAATGTAAACTGCTGACTAATAGTGTTTCATGCACTTTTGTGCATCATGTCACAGCATACCATCATAAAAAAACAGCAGCTGACTTCCAGAGTATTTTATGTTCCTTATTTTCTAAGTATAACCCAGCTTATTGCATTTTCTATGTATGGTGGACTCTTATTTTGAAAACTGGACAGGCTTTCAGAAATAGTAGGAAGCAGGCAGCCATGCATGGACCCTATTATCTCGTCTGTTCACAGTTTCTCAGATCACAAAATTCTGCAATTATACATTTATTCAGTGTCACCTCAAATAGTCTGTTAGTTACAATGTTTGTTAGTTTAACATTTATATTGTAAAAAATTTCTACACGCTTTTAATGAGGCAACAAATATATCTAACTGTTAAACGTCAGTGTGTAATGCACGTTTATTATGCATCATGTCACATCACTCAGCTTTTACTGTGATTTTTTTTGGAGTGAAAGGACACCGATTAGGAATGCTCAAAAGAACCGATTAACCGTTATCCGAAAGAGTGCGTTTGTAGATTAATGGTATCAGCTAAACGATTAAAAACTATTATTTTATATATTTTTAAAGTTCAGCTAGAAACTGATCACAGGGAGCGTGCTTTTTGCATTGAGAGGTGCTTCTTTTGAATGGTTTACTAACAGCTGCGCTGCTTATGTGCCCTGTGCGTCTTGCTGTTGCGGAATATGTGCTCGAGTGGAAAAAGCATGTTCCCTCAGTCACATCTTTTTCATTCTTCAGTCAACTGAAAGCAGAGACGGGGTTTCCTATGAGGTACCTGCAGTGTTTGTGTTGTCAAGACGACTTTAATGATGAACTTTTAATGATGGAGGAGAGATTGAGATAATGATTGTGGTCGCTGTTATCCAGAGCTGTATGACTTTCAAATCTTGAATATCACAATGTTATTAAAACTAGAATTATAACAACACTGACAGCAACACTCGCGCACAATCACTACGCAGCGGATTCGGTCGTTTCCTAGTGACATAAAAAAAGAGCATCACGCTTTTTTTTTCTTGTCAACAAAAAAAGACAGTGTGGTGCACCTTGGTTTTTGGGACGGAAAAGTGTGCTTGGTGTGATCGGCCCCTAAATGTGCAACAGTGCAACATATATTTGTTAACTCGCAGTACAGTAACACGTGCAACCACACTTGCCTACAGACATATTTTGCCAAAAAAGCTAAATGAAAGAAGGATATTTCTGGTCACAGTTTGATACAGAGTTGACACAAACCAGCGCTGTAGCTGATCGCCTCTGTGCTGCCTGGAGCCACGTCATAAACTTAATAAATAGGCTATTGATGATTTACTCTACATCCAACAAACCAACCTTTTTCTATTTGTAAACTAGTTATTTATAGTTCCTATAAACAATCAATTTTTAAATTAGCCTACCTAATCTACGAATCAAACAACTCCAAAGATTTTCAAAGATTGAATTTCATCACACGCAGAGCACTTGTTTAAGCATTTGTTTAATTCTTTTTATTTAGTTTATTCTTTATTTCTATGCTGTTGGAAACACTGCAGGTGAGTGAAGCTGCTCTGTTGTTTATGCTGTCGTTCGCATGTTAAATGAATCAGTATATTAAAATGAAATAGCCTATTTAGTGTCACACAAAATAGGCACGTCAATTATTGATTTATTTTTTGATTAAATAATATTTGAATATTAATCTGACCAGTTAACTTAATATTCGGTTAACGAGCGGCGGTAGTCAGTTGGCAAAATTAACCGAAATTAGCATTCCTAACCCCGATACACTTTATAATACCCATCTGTTTATGCAGACATTAATTTAAATTGCTAACCAGGTTTTCATACATGTTAAACTCAAAAAATACATCACTGTCTGTCCCTTTTATTACATAGAATTATAATTTAGCCTATATTTTATTCATAACACTTAACACTTAAGGAGCAGTAATGGAACAAACCGACTACAAATAGCCCACTCCTAACATGAACCTCTTCTCCACTTCAGTTAAAATGACTGTCATTAACAAGACATCTGGTCAGTGTGTTCAAATGTGTTTTGACAACTGAAGTATGATTATTGTACATATGTGTATAAATATGCACATCAGAGACATGAGCCGAGCGCAGCATGCGAGAAGAGCTCATTAATGTTCATCATGACCCTTCCAAATAAGGTCAAAACTGAGCTTTCACTATAAGGCCAATTTCTAGGGATTTAAATGGACTTGTAAAAAACATTTCTACAGATTTTTTACACCTACTCAAGCCACACACCTTTAATGTAGATATAAGAGATCAGTTTCAACATAAAGTATCAATACATACCATTATCCCTTATTTTTTTTCTCGACCAGAAATAAAGGTATTTAAAAGCATTTTATAATTTCTAACAAGATGAGCAAAAGTTAATTATTTTAAACCTGTTTTTGGGGTATATGAAAACATGGTGTTTTTAAGATCCTAAACAGGATGTAATGTGAGTAACAAACACCCGCTACCCTCCTGTTGAAAAAAAAATGCTTAGTCAGTTGCACATGGAAGACCAATATGGGGTTTCAAGCTGTGGGTTAGAAAGGATAGAGAGAGAAACAGAAAGAAAAAGAGAAAGATATGCTGGTCTGAATGGATGGAGGATAAGCTGAAAGTGGATGTCTTATGCAGAAAAATAATAAGATTAATAAAGCGGAGGCTACAGAACAGATGAGATGAGAAAAGAAAGAAGATGAAAATGATCTATAAGAGAAAGACAAGGAAAAGTGTAGAAGCTGCAGGTCTGGACAACATTCAAACGACAGAAATAAGGGGACGTACCAGAGATAGTGTATTCATCGCTGTGGCTCTCGCTGATCCTCACCAGGAAGGAGCCAGTTTTATTCTCTGAAGACAAAAGCAGCTTCTCAGCCTTTTGTCTGTTGATATTTCCATAGTACCATCTGTAAAGCAGACGCACAGAGAAGAGCTGAATATCTCAACCAATCAATGATTACTTCATAAGCTGTCCAGATTCAAATACTCTACATATTTTATAGAAAACAAACAAAAACATCTAGAAATAAACAAAAAAATAATTTAATTTATTATTCATCCATTTTCTTTTCGGCTTAGTCTCTTTGTTAATCAGGGGTCGCTACAGCAGAATGAACCGCCTAATTTGTTATAGAATATAAAAACACATTTTTTTGTTATATTGTTCAACAATGAAAAGACTAAGTTTTTGTTTTTGCCACGTTGATATTACATAATATTTTACCATTAATTTTGTAAGACACTAGTATTTAGCTTAAATTTAATTTTAAAAACGTAAATAAGTTTTGTGGGGTTTGGAAAAGGTTTTGAAACCACTAAAAATTTCTGTTATACCGTTCCTAAGGTATATGTCTGGTTTTTATGTGTTGTAAAGAAATCTGTGTTTTTAAAACTAATGAAGATAGCAGAAGTTAATGATTTATTTTAATTATTTAGCCTGACACACTTACTGTGTTCACACCGAAAGCGGTCCGAGCGTCCAAGGTCGCTCTGGCTGGCCTGTGGACAATGCTGTCTGCCTTGAGCTCCGGCGGTGAGAACGTCAAAATTCGCTACATTGATCTCGTATTTAAAGGGGATGTTGCAGCATATCAGTTTCATTCCCGCATAAAACAAGCTTTCTTGCATGAAAATGTTGCGCACTTCTGATCAAATTCATTTAACAATAGAAGATCAAGTTGCATGTGGTGTGGCTTTGCTCCACTTAATTATCCAATATGTCCATATGTCTGAAATATCCTGAAGCAGCAATACTGTTTTGTATAGTCGCATGAGATTGCCGCTTTTTTAAAGATAAATATATGTATAACATTTAATGCACATCAGTAACTCACCAGTAACTTTTTAATGTATGTTCCTGTGAGAAAACATTAAATAATTGGAAATCCGGCAACCGCAATAATCAAACCCCTGGGAACAACTGTGGTTTGAACCAAAGTTCACAGGTCTGTGTTCTCTGGACTGCTCTCAAGCGGTGGGCTTCTTCCTTCTGATTGCTTGCCATCGAACCGCTTCATAGGTCAATACCATAAAGTAGACCTGATTTCAACTCTCCTCAACGCCCACACCAGTGAAGATGCACCACGCTGCTCCTCGCTGCCGGCTCTCATTGAAAATGAATGGCTTCCGGCTACTTTGACGCTCTCGTCGCTTTTGGTGTGAACGTAAGGTTACTGTTATGGGGAGGGGGTGGGGGTTTGTTGTTTTTTTTACCCAGACATTTAACATAACTTATTTTAAAGCATGATTAATTACAATACTATGATGTTTTTATCCAAGGTTATACCGTCAGAAACTTATAGCGACCCATGCCTGTCTGTAACCGATCAATAAAATTATCATTCTAAAGAGTCTTATAATATTGATCTTAGTTTTTGTACTTTTTTTATTCCAGTCAAACAAAAAGAAATTAACCTAAAAAGATCAATATAATAGGGAATATAATATAACAATATATTCCAATAAAATAGGGAATACTGAGAAAAATTTCCTCGGCCTGTTACAACATCACTTTGGAAATAAAAAATTTCACAGTAAAAAAAATTGTCAACTGTATGTAATAAAGCTCAACGATACTGGAAAAAGCTGACATTGCAATATTTTTTACTGCGATAAAAACTGTGATATGAATGTAATTTCACCAGATGACTTGAATAGCCCGTTTTGTAATTAATTCATAATTTTCGATTTAGAAATAAATGATTTATGATTTTTGGCCAGTTAAACAGTATTACGAAAAAAAAAAAAAAAAAAAAAAAAAAAAAAATATATATATATATATATATATATATATATATATATATATATATATATATATATATATATATATATACAAATATAAATAATAATTCCCAGTGCTGGGTCGCAGCTGGAAGGGCATCTGCTGCGTAAAACATATGTTGGATTAATTGGCGGTTCATTCCACTGTGGTGACCCCTGATTAATAAAGGGACTAAGCCAAAGAGAAAATGAATGAATGAATGAATAAATTAATAATAATAATATTAATGATAATAATAATAATAAAACTATCATTAATATTAAATAAAAAAATTATATAATGTACAATTAATCTATAGTTGTTGTAAAACAAACTTCTAATTTATTGTGCCCAAATGGCTTAAATCTTGAAATGCTTACACAGTCACAGGCTTTATAATAATAATAATAATAATAACAAAAAAATATATATTAATAATAATAAACTTTCACCCTGAGGTATAAACATGAAATGACTCCACTATGTTGTTAACCATTTTGTCTGGTCAACTTTAATGCCTGTGATGTGACTATTGCAGACTCACAGATCGCTAAAACGATATATTGTGTAAAACAGTCAGACTATATGTATATTTATTACTGCCTAAGTAAAACCATCAGAACTACATTTCAATGCCATAAAGTTACTTTTCTGCAATATAAATCAATTTTGATGTTGATAGATAAAAACAGCACACTTTTTAGCTAATAGCTTTGAACGAGCAGCTACAATAATAATAGCATACAGTAATCAGGATAATAATAAGATACATGTTCAATCCCTTATTTTTATATTACAGGCATCGCAACAACATGTATTTTACTGTAATTATAGCTGACACATTCTTACATAATTATGTCAACGTGTGCATTGTATGAGCACTGTAACATAAAAAGCTGTTGACTACAAACATCTGAAATACAGTAAGAGACAAATATTTCATAACAGTAGCATATTATAATGTCAGATATACTAAAGATTACAAAAAACAAAATGCTTAATCAGTATATGGTATGAGTATATAGAAGCACTCAGAAATGAACAGATTTCATACACAACTACAGGGACAATTGAAAATATATACTGGGAGGTTCTTAATTCACTATCACACAAACATTGTTATAAACTCAAGCCTCTGATGTCCTTCATTTGCTCATATTTAATCAAATGAGAAAAAGATATAGGTTCATATTTTGTCCACATGAACCACATTCGGCTAGGCACAGTAAACACTGCAGAGTCATGCAAAGTGTTGCCATGTTAAATATGGGTGCGGCAGGTGCACATGCTTGTTTAGCACAATCCCATGGTGCTTCAGTTTCAGTGAAACTCTGGCTGGTGACAGGTGCGCACAACACTGACATAACAACCCTGCTACCTGTCCACACTATCACCAGGTCTGTGTAGCGAACACAATCGACTGACCCTGTTACAGTAACCCAAGAGAAGAAAAGGATAGCGCAAATAACAGCAGACAGACCATTGTTTACATAGACAATGATAAAAGCCTGCAGGTATATGAACAGTTCTGTTAAGTTAAGAACAATAAAGGTCAGGATTTGACCTACACTGTAAAACCCAACAGCTAACCTTATCAAATGAAATGAGTGTAGTTAACTCAAAACTGACTGAAAGTTAATTCTACTTATTTGAAAAGAGCTTGGCGGTTCATTCCGCTGTGGTGACCCAAGATTAATAAAGGGACTAAGCCGAAAAGAAAATGAATGAATGAAAAGAGCTTTGAACTCAGTGAAGAAAGTAATGAGTTAAACAGCTCATTACTTCAGCTTAAATGGAGTAAGTTCACAGTACTCATTAGGATTAGTTTTGGAACTTAAATGGTTTGTTGCCATCGGTTTCGGATTCGGAAATCGGGTTACCTTAAATCTTTGGGTTTTACAGTGTATTGTTACAATTTGAAATATACAGTGGTTTTAAGTGTGTTTTAGAAATCGTTCGGAATTTTTACACATTTTCTGTGACTGGTTTAGCAATATTAGCTACACTTAAATTCTGGGTTCAACACAATTTCTTCATGCAGTCCCAACTCGAATCAATTAAAATAACTAACAGATTTAAGTGAATTAAATAGGCCTGTCATGATAAGGATTGTTGTGTGATATATTGTCACAGAAATCATTGCAATGAGCGATATTTTTGTCACATTGATCATTTTATGATTATATAAACGCATAATAATGCAAATAGCCATAATCACTTTAAAATACTTAAGTTATTTAGATTCTATAAGTTGATGTTAAAAAAGTAAATGTCCAATTATATATAGTATTAAATGTCCCAGTAGGTAAATGTCCAATTATAACTTTGACAGCGGTGAGGTAGAATGTAGGGATGCACGATATGTCAGCGGCCATATCGATATTGGCCGATAAATGCTATTTTTAAGGTTGTCGTTACTGGTCTGATATCAAAATTAGGCCGATATCTTTGTGCCGATAACTTATTTAATTGTACAGAACTGCCTGCCTTGCACATGTGGAATTTGTTCAGACTTGTCAATCGCACTATAACAGAGCTTTCCTCATTGTTTATTCCTTCAAAGTTCATCCTTTCTTTGTGTGCTATTGCTGTGCACTAATAACTCAGTAAGTAACCATATTCCTTATCATTTAGATGTTTTAGATAGAGTGTAAAGTTGTTCACTGCACAAAAATGTAACATTTTGAAATATTTATATTTATCGGCTAATATACCGATTATCGGCCTCCATATTTTAGGTGTTATTGGTTATCGATATCGGCAAAATATTTGTGCATCCCTATTGGAATGTAAATGTCATTGTAAAATGGCTATTTGTAAATTTGTAAATGTAAAACAACTAATTTATTAAAACAATTAATTTGTCCCCAAAAAAACTAATTGTTTTGTTTCAGCTCATTTTAAATAGTTTAAACAAGTAGCAAAAGTCATTTCTGAACGTATTGATTTACACCATTTTAAAGGATATTTTCCCAAAAAATGAAAATTCTGTCATCATTTACTCACCTTCAGTTTGCTCTTATTTTAGTTTGTTTCATCTGTTGAATGCAAAATATTGGAAAGCGGTAACTAGAGTCTTCTATAGTATTTATTTTTCTATGGATGTTAATGGTTACATTCTTCAAAATATCTTGTTTTGTGCTTGACAGAAAAAAGAAACTCAAAGGTTTGGAACCACTTGATAGTGAAAAAATTGCAAGTAAATGCTTTATTTTTGAGTGAAATGTCTGTTTAACTAAAACACTAAAAGGTTATAATAATATATAATAAAGAAATACACAATCACAAACCCTACTTGAAAATAATGTCTGGAGTGTTATTTGAATTTGGATGTTTAACCTTTAAATTTGAGAAGATCGATGATTAATGTTGACGTCAGTGAGACACTATTTGACATCACTACTTAGATGCTAGTTTTAATGTTACCTTATTTTCTGCATCTTGTCAGCTGTTTCAAAACCAATGCAGGCATTTTCTGTTGACATAAGAATATGAACTGTTTTCTGTGTCATGGAAAATGACTTCAAAATTATTGACTGGAAAATGTTGGAAGTGTCACATTTCATGACTCCACATATTTATGGAAACCCCCACATTGAGGATAAAACAAGCCCTTTTTGTCTTTGACCATCACTCATTTTTAGTACTAAGTACTCGCGCATTAAGAGAGTGATATTAAACCATGATTTCTTTAAACACTGACGATGCAACTACATATGGGTGAACAGATTTCCCCCAAACCCTAACACTAACCTAACACTAACAGACCTATAGAATATAATCATGGGCACACTAAATAACGTTAAAGGAATTGTTCACTCAGAAATGTACTCTTCCTCCACTTATTTTAAACATGTTTGAGTTTCTTTCTTCTGTCGAACACAAATAAAGATATACTGAAGAATTTTGAAGAAAAAAAAACAGCCATTGACTTTAATAGTCATTTTCATTCATAGTATAGATGTCAATGGCTGCTTTTCCCCCAATATTATTCAGAATATCATGTTTTGTTGTCTACAGGAAAAAGAAGTGCATGAATGTTTAGAACTCCTGGCTTGCTTGTGAGTAAATGATGATGATGATGAAAACTATTGTAAAGAAAATGCTTAATGTGGCTTATATAGATCTGCATATCTATGTGCATCATCAATAATAGGCCTATTTATTATCTGATCATCCTCTTAATACATTAAGCCATCATATTTTTTTATAGATTGAAATACTATTATAGATTGTTCATACATTTTCTTTATTAGAGATGAATCAACGTAAATATTTGTGGCTTGAATCGAAAGTTCTGACTGATGTGTGTGGTTCTAATAATATGTTGCCCTCCCAGGTATCCAGGCCTGCAAATATTCAGTTTCATTCATTCATTCATTCATTCATTCATTCATTCATACATACATTCCACGAATGCCTGTCAAAACCTCTGACACAACAGACTTACAAAAATAGCCTTGGTTTTATTATAGTAAATGTGTAACCACGTCTCTTTGGTGTATTGATACTATTGTGCAAGTTTTACTACAAATATCATGATTGAAATGGCAAAACCATGTTCAATTAACTTGTAACATAATTTTGTTACATTTTTGCAGTAAAGCCATTGTTATAATATTGTGAGGGTTTGGTTTTTAACCCTAAATTAGTGTTTAAGCTACCCAAAACCATTTTCACAAGCCAATTTCATAGACCATAAACCTAAAAGAGGCCTATTTACATTTTAATAGTGCATTGGCGGAATTCTAAAGAGCAATGTTTCTGTGAATTTAGCATAAAAACAACAGAAGTCAATTGAAAGTTCAACCATTGAGAAAACAAATGTAGCCAACGTGTGTGGCTGACTCCAGCTATTCCTTCGACTCTTGGAGAATGTGCACTGAAAGTCAACAAAATGAATAGTAAAACCAATTTAGTTTTGTATCTCGCTATAGTCACGCACAGCACTTACTTGTAGTTAGCGAATTCGTCTTTCAAGAGGGCCACATAATTGGCAGGGATCAGTCCGGACTCCAGGGACCCCGTCAGCTTCTTGGCGAACACATAATCTCCCCTCTTTTCTATGACTGACAGTTTGTCCCCTTCCTTCACCGACAGCTCTTCCTCACTGCGGGCTACAAAGTCGAACAGAGCCGCGTACAGCTGCGCGGGCTTCTTCTTGGGCGCCGGGACCCGGATATCACCTGAAACGGTACGAATGTCGTCCGGACGATGGAGGTTCGGATAGTTTTCGGGCCATATGCTGTCCCATAACCGCTTCAGGCATGGCATACAGCAGCGACAGCACGTCTCCATCCCAGCGCGCTCTCTCCACGGACTCCAGCGTAGCCAGAATATTTGGCCGCCGTCCACCGAGCGAAACGGGTTGAGAGCAAAATTAAAGAGGCGTGTGGGTCTCTCACCGAGGGTGACCGACTGACTCTGTACCAGGATCGCCTTTGTTGAGCTAAAGCACGGGCTGCTGCGATCATAGCGGAGGATCAGGTGAAACCGGTTCTGCTTCAGGATGGATCAAGGTATGCGGAAAAGACATGCTGGATTGTTCAACGAGACTTGAAGACGATGAGAGGATGGATGTGGTGGTTGGAGAACATGCTCTCTTCATCTGCATCTGTCCATGGCGTCCCTCTTCTGCCCTATAATGAGCGGTGCAGTGCGCCGCAGTGTTTGGTGCCGCTCTTCTCTCCGCTCCGGAGCAAAACGCTTCGCAGTACGTAAACTTGGCGGAGAGCGACGCTTCGCTCCTGTAGTGCGATCATCTGTTCACTGGAAAGCAAGCGCCGCACACTTGAGCTGGCAAAAGCAGCGTGTGTTTATTTTTAGATCCACTCATTAAACGTAGGCTCTGCAATTATTAAAATACACCTCCCTTCTGTAAGAGGAATATTTGCGTGCACATCAGATGCATCAGGGGAATCGTGCAAGAGAGAAATAACACTGTTCGTGTTCACGTTATTATTACTGTACATGACGGGGACTTTCATTGAACGTGCACATATTGGCTCCTTTTAAAACCACTACCCGAAAATAATGGAGGTGACGTCATGCTTGTATTAAACTCCTCTGGAGCTGTTTGTCCCTAAAAGACATTGAAAGCAAAACAGCTATAAGGATGTGTACGATTTTGGAATCATTTTTTATACGAATTTCTTTAAATTTATACGTCCCCTGTAATTAAAACATATAATCTCCATTGATTTGATGTAAAAATAATGTAAGTACTGTATTCCTCAATATTTTGTATGCTATTGTTGTTATACAATAAAACATCTTTGCAGCTGTTTGTTCCTTAGGCTACTTTTGTTTTAATTTTATTTACTTATTTAGCTGTTGTTGTACATATTGCTTTGTTCATTTAACAAATAAAAAATAGCTGATTTGGGGAAATTAATCTCTTTCGCTTTTTATCACAGGGAATCTTAATACTATTGTCTGGAACTTCATTTTAAAAGATACAAATCACGCTATACAAACCAATAGACTACCAATTAACTGCTTATTAATAGTTAGTAAGGTAGCCTAGTAGTTGGGTTTGGATATGAGTATAGGGATGTAGAATAAGATCTTCATTTTTAAGTACCAATAAACAGTTAATAAGCCAGTAGTTAATAGTGTGAATTGTTAGTTAAACTAAAGTATTACCAAAAACGATATAGGCATATTCAGTGTAAATTACAGGAAATAACAAATGACTATACATATCCTGCTTTTTAAATCTTTTTTTTTTTCATAATTTTATGTTCTTTTAAGTCCCCGTCCTGAAGTATTTCATCTAAAAATAGACAGTTTACTTACCCTTAATTTACTCACAGACAATTTACACACCCTCAGTTTGTGACTTTCTTCTATAGATATATTTAGAAGACTGTTGGGAACAACAAAGTTAACAGTAATCGTTGTCTTTCAAAGTAAAATATATATAAAATATATATAAAAAATAACCATACATAACATATCACATATATAAAATCATGTTTTGTGTTCGATAAAAAAGGGTGAGTGCATTTTTGCTGAATTATCCCTTTATTACATCCCTCAATATTTTGCATAGGTTTGCATAATTTTCTCAAATTGCAAGGTTACTGCAATTAAAACTCCAGTATATATGTTGTTGATTTGCATGTACAGGACTACTGATACTTTACATATTAATCACTCCCTAAACATGAGAGAAAGAACATTCTAGAATAGGTCATATTCTAGTCTTTGGCTCAGTTTTAAATTTTTTAATAACATAAAAGCAACCGGACTGACATTTTTACTCTGATGAGCAGGTATTTTGACAAAATAAATAACCTTACATTTCTTTCTTCTCTTGAAAACAAAAGAAAATAGTTTAAAGAATGTTGGACAGGGAAGCTATTATCCATAGTATCTTCCCCCCTACTATGGATGTCAGTGGCTAACAGTTTCCAACATTCTTTAAAACAACTTCATTTGTGTTTTATAGAAAAAAATAGCTTACTTGAGGACAGGTAAATGCTAAGTAAATGTAATTTTTTTTTGGTGAACTATCCCTTTAAGTACAGTATCTCACAGTAAATACATGCTTAATGTGTGTGGGGAAGGATAAAATAGGACCATAATATAATATAATATAATATAATATAATATAATATAATATAATATAATATAATATAATATAATATAATATAATTGTGAGGGAAGTGGGAAAACGGATGAAATCTATATTCTACACCAGCAATGCTACTGGCCGCAGTTCACTTCCCAGCCACAGGTGTCGCTAAAAGCAAGAGTTTTACATCAAGCACTTATAAAGGGATAGTTCACCCAAAAATGAAATGCCTGCCACCATTACCTCACCACCACTCGTTCCAATCCTGTTCGAGTTTCTCTCTTTTGTTGAAAAGAAGAAGATATTTTGAAGAATTTTCAAAACAGGTAGCTATTTAAATTAGTATATGAAAGTGGCAACCAATATCCAACATTCTTTAAAATAAGTTCACCAGAAGAGAGAAACTATTACAGATTTGGAACTGTTTGAGTGTGAATAAACGGTAAGAAACATCTCGGTTTTTGGAATCAACTGATATCTAAGCACCAGAGATTAGCCCTTAAAATATAACGGGGTATATGCCGAGCTAATGTGTTTCCCATGCTGATACAATTCCGGTGACCTGTTATCGTGATTTTTTTTCCATTTTATATGGTTCCTTTTAAAGTATCGATGTTGTAATGTAATTCAAATACAATCAGTTAAACAGACTTTGGCATCCATTTAGTTGCTCAAGCGTATAACGAGACAAAAAGCCGTTTGCTCGCACGCGCCCGTCAGAATCGGCAGGTTAGCGCAGAAGCTCCATTGAATATACTGGGGTAAAATAAATGCTCATATTATAAAGACATGGCTGGGAAAATGTAATTTACTGCAGTGCTTCTTATACAATCTGAGTCCCTCTTTATATCGGATATCACTCAGCCAGTGGAGATCGTTGATTTTTAAAGAAAACAGACCTTAAGCGCACCGATTTTGCAATGGCATACTGTTCGCCGGAAACGATTAACCCAGGTTACTGGCAAATTAAAAGTCCTATTAGCATGCTTCGGCATATACCCTATATGAGATAAACTAAGTTAAAAAGTACTGATGTTTTTTTTTTAATCTTATGTCAAGGGTTTCACATTTGACCTAGTCTGATCCAATATATTGATGCTGATTCAAGGTGGGAAAAAAATGCTACACAGTTTGATATATAGCACACGGTTTTATTAGTATATTTAGCTTTGTGACGTACAGCTTGGGAGAAAAAAAAAGTCACAATGTCATTTCAGCAGTGACATCCCATTGGAGAAAGCTTCATCTCAAATCATTGGTTTTCATTAATGAAAGTGATATGTTAGGAGCCGCCCATGCTGTTTTGAATTAAACAACAAAAATCCATTTTTTAGTCTTCGTTTTCATTCAATCGTTCAGTTTCTTCACATATGTATGTATCAACACTTTTCTAAAGAATTAAAATATTTAGCCACATGTACTGAAAAAAAGTATTCACCGTCATATATTTATATATATATATAACACAATAAATATAAAAAAAGATTTATTTCATATATATTATGGTATTAAAGGGGGAAATGGGTTGCCAATATTTTCACCTAAAAAACAGCAATCATTTACCTGAGGTTTTCACTCTGCTGTTCTTGTCCTCTAATACTTGACGTCTGCACCCGACGAAGGGTGTGATAATGGCTTTTAATCATAAAGGAACAGACGGCCACGTTGTCCCTAACGCTCAGAGAGAGAGAAAAAGAAAAAGATTCATTACAACCAGCCTTCTTCATTTTGTGTATCTGTTGACAGCAGTGATTGGGGTCAATGACGAGGGTCTCCCAGACTGTAAATGCATGGAAATTGCTGCAAGTCCCATTTCCCTTCACTAAAAAAGCAATCAGATCGAATTAAGCAATCAAAAGAAGAAGGGAAGAGAAAAGAAAAGGGGAACATCGACAACAAAAATAAGCGAGAGAGAGAGAAAAATCTCCAAAAATCTGTACATGTAAACATCACACTTCCACTGAGTCCAAAATGAGAAGGAAAGAGACAGTTTCACATTGGTTTTCGGTATACATATAAAATCAGGAGGAAACCGAGACGGGATGGAAAAGATCCAAAGCACCAACAAATCAGAAAAGAGAACAGACAGGGAACCACGTGAATTTGAAAGCAGCTGTACACCACTGTGGTAGAAAAATAAAAGTCAACTTGTCTTTTTTTGTTGTTCAGAGCTATACATCTGATCAAACCAGAGCATTTCGTGTAGTTTAGCAGCAACCATAACCAGCGCCACACCTGAACGCAAAGCCTGAACCCGTATGATGAGCGATGTCTGACCGTTTTTAATATCACAGTAGATCGCGGTACTGCTTGAACGAACAAAACTAAACTAAAAAGGCTCTGAGGTACAAGCTGAAGGGGTTTTCAATACAATAAAGGGACATTAATGACAATCAGTTGTGTTCAGCCCCTTTAAAGGCACGGCGCTAATCAGAAAACAGATTTATTTTTTTAAACAATTTTTTCCAGAACATACAGTACTGAGATAGTCGTTCTTTGGGGTGTGTGTTTGGGGAGATTCAGGCTCTCAGTGGGACTAATACTGTGTCGTCTATACTTTCGGATGTGAGCGTGGTTTTGGCTGGCTGCGTGGCATGTTGACATCCTCGTCTGGAATGTGTAGGCATACAGGACACACGTCACATGTGATGTCGGTACAAAACGGTTCTGAAAAGACCACTTGCGATACAAAAAGAATTACAAAATAATAGTAATCGAGATAATCATAATAAAAATAGGAGTCAGATAAAAAGGTTTTTTTTTTGTTTTCGACAGTGGGCCACAAGGAGTCCTGGGATCTGAGAGTGAGACAGAGATGCTCTGATTATGGCTGAAATCCCCCCTCACTCTCCCGCCCCGGGACGCGCTGCGCTGAACAAGCACACACAGAACACAGAGCATGGAAACAAAACCGTCGACAAGTTTACACCTTGTTCAAGATTGTCGTTTGCCTCGTTTTACAGTTTGTTTGTTTGTTTGTTTTTTCTCAGTAGTGAGCTGGAGAGTTTCTGATGTGTTTTTAAGCGTCTCCACCACACTGATGCGCTTTGCAGTCTCATCTCCATCAGATGTGTGTTTGAAATCCACAGAAGAGTGTGTGAGGTTGATGTGTGATCAGTAGAGTGTGATGGCAGTGGGACTCGTGTTAGACCTCCATGAGAGAAAGACAGATGACCGAGAGACAGAGAATCATCTACAACCTGACCTCTCAACATCAGTGTTTACCAGTGAACACCATGAGAACTATGTGGAAAAGATCATGAGCAGGTGTAGGAGAGATGAACACAACACAGAAATCAAAGAGAGGATGTCTGTATTTGGATGTGCGCAGTATTTTTTTTCCAATTTTTTGTCCAAATATCTAAACATTCTGAAGTCAAGATAAACGACTTAAGATTTAAAATAGCATTAGACTTAAGATATAGCTTTGTTTTCTTCAGAAATAAAAATAAGATTAACTCACACTGCAAAAATATATTAGTTGATTTTACTTTAAAAAGATGATTAAACTTACTGATTTTAATATGATTAGTTGACTCTAAAAAGGGAGTTAACCTGTTGCCTTCAAATTATTAAGTAAATTAGCTATGTGCATAAATATACACAATTAAGTCAACTTAAGTATTCCAAGTAACAATGGGTTTAGTCACTTTTTTTAAGTAAAGTCAACTTGTCGCTTTTTAAAATAATAAATTTTTTACTATATAATTTGGATTGACAGCACATGTACAGCAAATCCTCACAACGCATACAAATGTTTCAAAAATGCGCTGCATTTTCTCACTATGAAAAAAATAAAACGTGCTGCATTTTCAAACAACGTAAACAAATTCTGAAAACGTGCTGATTTTCATACAATGCAAACAAATTAATAAAACATGCTGCATTTTCTCACAACGCAAAAATAAAATAAAATGCACTGCATTTACTCACAACGTAAACATATTACGGAAACGCTCTGCATTTTCACACAACGCAAACATTTAATAAAACGCTCTGCATTTTCTCACAATGCAAACAAATGAATAAAATGTGCTGCATATACTCACAACACTTTTAAATAGCATAGAACACAACAGAAATGTTTCAAGGGGACCCTAAAAAATGACAGACCCGGCTATTTAGGTTATGGATATTTAGGCTAATAAATACTAAAGACACTAGAACCGGGATATTAAAACAAACAAACAAACAAACAAAAAATTCACCTTTCAAAGATCACCTACAACTTTACAGAGCAATATTTACAGCACAGCAGCGTCCATCACGTTTGAGTCCACTTGAAGCATTTTCGTTGCGTTCCAATGTTTTTAAAAGCGCTGTGTGAAAACGCAGTGTGTTTTAAAGTTTTTTGTTTGCGTTGTGGGCAAATGTAGCTCATTTTTGTAAATTGTTTGCGTTGTGAATATTTGCAGCATGTTTTATTCATTTGTTTGTGCTGCAGGAGATTGCAGCACATTTCTGATATGTATGCATTGTGAGGATTTGCAGCACATGTGCTGCCAAACAGATGAAGATCTTTTTTAATTTGCTGGCATTTTTGTAATAGCACATGTTTTCTTAAATTGCAGCACATGAAGCTCTCTCCGCCACCATACAAAATCATGAAATGTATTTTGCTTTAAACTTGTGAAGATATTTGGACAGAAAAACATGTCAAAACACTAAAAGGTGTGTGTGTGTGTGTGTGTGTGTAGGTAAATAGTATTTATACATGCCTGTGCATAATTTACAGCAGTTCTCATTTATGTAAAACAAAACGGAATCATATTTTAATATGTAACTTCAGCATTTTGAAATTACATACAAACTAAACTTCTTAGTAGTTCAATACAAACTATTACAGTTTTTTTTTTTACTGTCAATTCCTACTGCAATACATTTGTTTAAAATACTGGTGTTTAATCAAAATATCTTATGACTAAATGTCTATAACTTATATCACCAATATTCTGATTTTTCAAATACAAAATTGTAATTTCAATTACAAAAAGTGTTATTTAAAGAATATCTCTGATATGTTAGTCCTATGAAGGAAAAAAATGAGGTGATTGACATTACAATTATGCCATGCAAAAATCTTGCTTCTATATATAGAAGTAATTTTCTTTACACATCTCTTATTTATTTTTAAATGAAGATGTTCAAGATGTTCAATATGGACTCTCCCCTAAAAAACACCCTAATTACTCTAGTTCACTTTAAACATTCCGTTAAAGAAGGTAGTCTGAAATGATGAGAGAGGTCAGGGTCTCACAGCGACATTAAACAGATATAGTGAGGCCTCACGCTGTCGATTTTGCATATGTCCTCACATCTATAGCACAACATTCCACTTCACAAATCAAAAGTGGCTGGACTGTGAAGGTCTACCATAAATATAACACATTAAGGAATGATTACCGAACGTGTAGCACTGTGTTGTTTTGAGCGAGGCTGTCAAAAAAATTTGCACACAAATGCGTCTAAAGAGGGCAGTGAAGTCTCTGGTCACACTCACTCCTCATCATCGTGGCTTTCAATCATGCGGTCCCGGTCATCTGATCACGGATGTACTGATTCTGAAGGCTCCTCAGCAGGGGTCATGAAAGACTCTCTGTGTTCGTCGGTCTCCTTTAGGGCCAGAAATAAATGTGTTTGATTATCTTCTGCATTGCGATATCGGTTCTCCATCCCCCACGAGCAGTGCAACCCAATCACAGATCAGCACTGCCTCTGTGTGCAAATGGAGCAAATTACAGTGACATTACTGTCATTCAGTCCCTAAACAAATCTACACTCGCTAACTACACGATTTCAAACCTCTCCTGCTAAATATTCACTTCACTAAAGACCTTGAAAGTGTGTCGTATGCGTGTTCATGTGCGTGTGTGTTGCGCCAAGCTCTTGTGCCAAAGACGATTCGATCCCAGTTGATCGCGAGATTTAAGCACACAACAAATCAAACGAAAACAAACACAAGCAGCCCTCAGTGTTAAATCAAACGCTCGGCAGTTTTTTTTTTTATCTTTCGTTTGGATTTGGCTTCCATTTAGTCTTTTTTTGCCTTGTTTTTGTCGCCTTGAGGTGCTCTGGTTGTGTTTGGGAGGCTTGAGGTTTCAGGTCTGTGGCGTTACGTTGGAGTCCATAGCAGCAGAGTGGATTAATGGCCATTAAGAAAAGTCAACAGATAAAAAGACTAACATCTTCCATTCCGGATCCCGCCTCTCCCTGGAGAGGAACGTCGAGGAGAAATGGAAGGACAGGGGAGAACAGGAGGCGACCCGTACAGTGGGGAAAAAAAAAACAAAGAGAGTGTTGGCATCTGCGAAACCGGTCCCAAAACAAGTCCAGTGTTTTTTCTGCAATCAATACCTTGAATTGGATCGGATATATACTCATATATACACAAGACATTAGGAGGAGGTGGAAAAAAAAATCTGCACTTCAATTACAGAAACCAATTCACTCCCACTCTCTGCTTTCCATGTCCAAATCAGTGGACCGCAAAGTCGAGGACGGACAGGCGATAATTTTCTTCTCCCACATACAGAGAAGGGGACGCTGTGAGAGAGAGAGACGGGCTGAGGTATTTCCAGGTGAGCTTCCACCTGCGTATCTATATGCATAAATTAATGATTCAGAGGTCAGAACGAATGGAAAAGTGCTTCAGGACACAGCGAGTGCTTATTTACAGCAAATACAAAGGTCTCTTAAGTTTTTTCTTCTTTGTTTCTTTCCATTACGCCTCCAAATCAAAAGTGTCTTCATGGAGTTAGTGCTGTCAGGAGGATTGGCCTCCTTTGAAGTAGCTAAAAACAAAGAACATGAGGAATCGATGGCTCTCGGAGGGACGTGGAGAAGGCTTGAAAGGCAGGAGCTTTAGCACTGCAGTGTCCTTCAGAGGTTCCTTTCCACGCTGAAGCCATGAAAGCAGAAGCTGCGTGTTTTCTCTTTAAGAGCCAGATGCTTTTCCTCAGAGAGAATGATGATGATGATGATGGGTCAGTTGTGTGTAGTCGAGAGAGAGAGCGAGAGTGCTGCAGACGGGTTCAGTTCTGTTGCAGTATGAGGTTTTCCAGCTCATCTGCCGATCGCAGCAGGAAGGCCGCAGACTCGCGGTATCCTGCGATCAGCTGACGCACCGCCGCCACTTCTGTATGGCTGAGCTGAGTTGAGGCTCCGCCCCCATTCCTGCCCAGACTGCTGGAGCTGGACGAGGATGAGTTCGAGGCCAGAGATTTCATGCTGAGATCAGTAGGCCCTGAAAGGAGAGAGTAAAATGTAATTACACACATGAAAAGGGATAAAAACACAGACATGGTAGATCTAAGGGGAGGATAAAAAAATATTGATTTTATGATAAACTGCTAACTGCATTTGAATGATCTCGGTATCAATTCTTAAAAACCCAAGACTGCACTCGTTTCAAGCTCTAATCTCAAGTCCCACAGGAAATTATGTCAGTTAAAATGTTATTTTTACTGGAAACAACCAGCATCTGATACTATTTAATGACTCTTTTAAACCAATTCTTTCATTCATTCATTGTCTTTAGCTCAGTCCCTTAATTAATCAGGGATTGCCACAGCAGAATGAACCACCAACTTATCCAGGACATGTTTTACACAGCGGATGCCCTCTCAGCTGCAATCCATTACTGGGAAACATCCATACACTCTCATTCACACACATACACTACGGACAATTTAGTTTATTTAATTGACCTATAGCGCATGTCTTTGCTTTGTGGGGGAAACCGGAGCACTCAGAAGAAATCCACGCAAACACGGGGAGAAAAGAGTGGCTTTATAATTAAGTTTCATAATACTTTACACATTTTTATATTTACAATTAAATTAAAAACTTCATTTCAAAGTTACTTTAGTTAGTTTCGACTGACTTCGCAGATGGTTTTTAGTTGCAATCATTAAAAACTAAATGTAGCAACTGTAATTAATAGTTTTTGTCATGTTATTATGATCAATTTATTTGTAATTTGAGAGGTGAAACATTTCCTGTTTAACTGCTAAAAGTATTTTTTTACTAGCCATGACAATGTGCATTATTTTATTAAAAACAGACAAAACAAATTGAGAAAGCACATCTATGCAAATATTATTAATATTTTATTATATTAAACATTATACAATTAGGCTGTCTAGTTTTTCATAATAATGGCACAATCAGTGTTGCCAGATTGGGTGTTTTCATACCTTTGCGGTTTAGAAATGTAACTTTTTATGCAACTTTAACATAACATAAGTGTGTGCTCCAACGCCATTTACAGTAGTTAGTTGTAACCAGTGGATAGCGCAAACCATGTGGGCCCACACGTAAGAAGAGGTGAAAGAAAGTTGCATCAAAATCTGACTCCCCGGACAAATCTGACTCCCCTTCGCGTGCACGAGCATCAAGCAGCGCCTGCAGTCAAACTCACAGCGGTTTATCATGACACTTTTACTGATAATTTTTCTGTAATTGACAGCAAGAACAAACACAAAAGTATTGTCTGATGGACAAGCAGTACCTAATTATGTTTAAAAGAATTTAAAACGCCAAATAGGACAAATTTATTACCCATTTCGATTCCCCAATACTCTAACATTAAGTGCAGTGTGTAAGTGAGAGGGGGGCAGTGTTTCAATGAGACCTGGTTATGTTGTGGTTCTGTGACTGGTAGTGTTGGTTGCTGTATGGTTAAACATTATGAAAGTTAAAGTAATTAGGTTATTTAGATTTAAATAAAAAAAAAAATTACATAAAATTGCGTTTTGGCAGGCTTTGGACAGCTATTGGGCTGGAAAAAGTCAGCTATATCTGGCAACACTATACAATAAATACTATATACTACAAATTATTACAACAACTGTAAAATTATGTAACAATTTATCAAAGCTTTATTTTTGACTGTAACAGAGCTCCATATAAAATAATACCAATATTAGTAATGGGCTCTATGCACAGCTAAAGTTTTAAAGTCAACGATCAACTTCCGATGAAAGCTTAATGTGACTATTTTTCATTTCATAAGGTTGTTTACAGCATCAATGTTGTAATGTAATTACATTAGATTCAGTTAAATAGACTTAAGCGTTCATTTAGTTGTTGAATTGTAAAACGAGATGAAAGACGGTGTAACCGCTAGCGCCGTAAGTAGCAACAGACTAGTGCAGAAATGCTATTGAAAATACTGGGGTAAAATTAATTGTAAAATTTTAAAAACATGGTGGGGAAATGGAGTTTACTGCAGTGCTTCTTGTCTTAAGCGTGACAATGTTGTAATGGAAAGACAAAAGTCTGAAAATTAAAAGTCTGTGTGCATATATAGCCCATTTATTGAAGCTGGGAAAGTCTATATAGGTAAATTAATGAACAATAAATAATTTGATGCTATCCAAACATTTCAAAACTGCTTCAATGAAAACAAAACTTACTGAGAGAAATATATATATATATATGTGTGTATATATATATATATATATATATATATATATAATTTATTTACATCTTGACAGTACATTTTACCAAATTTTAATATGTCAAATACTATTTAAATATTCTTAACCCTATACTGCACACATTATGATAGATCTATACAAATATTCGACTGTTTTTCTTTTTTTAGAACGGCTTAACTTGACGTGCAGTAAAAAAAAAAATTGGGGAAATTGTTTTTAAGGTAAATAAAATAATACTAATATTAGTAGTTGAAGCTATAGGAAAGCCTATATAGATAAATTAATGAACTATAAATAATTTATTTATAGTTTTATTTTATTTATAATTTCCCATACTTTAATATGCCAAAAACTATATTATTATTCTTAATTATAATAAAAGAAGTTCCAAAAATACCCGTTTATGGCCCCCCTAATAAGAACCATTGCTTAAGCATCATACATTTGTTATTTGTTTGGGTCAGACTTACAAAGGCACATTTTGTATCCTTCACAGCTAAGGCAACAGTGTGATTAAGCATTAATGATATTTTCAGATCAGTTACCGTTGGTCTGTGCAGTAGCTGTGTTCAGAGTCACCGGGTGCTGCATGCTGGCACACAGTCCTCCATAACCGCGGTAGCTGTAGTTCAGGCCTCCATTAATATAGAGCTGGTCCTGGCTGTAGGCTGAGGCTGCGAGAGAGTAAGCGGAGTGGGTCAGTGAGACCGGCTCACGAGAGACCGCCTTATCCAAAGATACCGGCTCCTCCTGGGGGACAAACACACCAATATATCAGACCCGCTTTTTAAATAAAGACACATGAACGTACATAGCAAAGTTATGCAAGGCTCCTTACGTGTGCCTGGTAGACATCCATGCGCATTCTTTTGGCAGCTTTGCGTGATTCGCTCTCGCAGGCGGCTGCTAGGATGTTTTCAGCCATAGCTGAGGTCAGGTGGGGAGGTGTGGGTCGAGTCTGCTGATACACATACACACACAGATACACAAGCACATGCAGGCAGACACACACAGCACAGTTAACTTCTGTGGACTAATTGTATGGGTCATAGTGAGAACATTCTTTTCAATTTGATATGTTAAGTGTGTAATGCTCAGCTGTTTTACTTCAAAGTTGGTTTGTGTTGTTTATGTTAGGGCTGCAATAATTTGATGAAAACTGTTCAAATAATTTTGATATAAAATATGTTTTCTAATATTTTTGAAAAATATGACTCCAGTCACATGACACTTCAGAAACCATTCCAAAATAGTTATTGCTCAATAAATATCACTTCTTAAAATCATCAAAATCTAGATAATTTTTTTTGTTAAATGTGAAACATTTTCTGGTTTCTTTGATTTAAATCTTAATTAATGAATGCTTTTACTTCAGCTTTGATCTATTTAATGCATCCTTGAAAGAACAAAAGAACTTACAACAAACATAAATACTTACTGACTCTAAATCAGGGGTGGGCCAACTCGTTCCTGGAGGGCTGGTGTCCCGCATAAATTATCTACAACACTAATCAAACACACCTGGACATGCTAATCCGTGTCTTCAAGATCACTAGAAATCTATAAGCAGGTGTGTGTGATTAGAGTTGGAGCTAAAATGTGCAGGACACCGACCCTCCAGGACCGCGTTTGCCCAGATCTGCTCTAAATGTTTTAGTTGAACAAAAAGTACACAGTACTGTATGTACAGTTGAAATCAGAATTATTATCCTCCCTTTGAATTTTGTTTCTTTTTTAAATATTTCCCAAATGATGTTTATCAGAGCAAGGAAATTTTCACAGTATGTCTGATAATATTTTTTCTTCTGGAGAAAGTCTTATTTGTTTTATTTTGGCTAGAATAAAAGCAGTTTTTAATTTTTAAAAAAACATTTTATGGTCATTATTATTAGCCCCTTTAAGCAATATTTTTTCCCGTTAGTCTACAGAACAAACCACAGTTATACAATAACTTGCCTAATTACCCTAACCTGCCTAGTTCACCTAATTAACCTAGTGAAGCCTTTAAATGTTACTTTAAGCTGTATAAAAGTGTCTTGTAATATATCTAGTCAAATATTATTTACTGTCATCATGGCAAAGATAAAAGAAATCAGCTATTAGAAATGAATTATTAAAACTATTATGTTTAGAAATGGGTGACGCAGTGGCGCAGTAGGTAGTGCTGTCGCCTCACAGCAAAAAGGTTGCTGCTTCGAACCTCGGCTCAGTTCGTGTTTCTGTGTGGAGTTTGCATGTTCTCCCTGTGTTCGCGTGAGTTTCCTCCGGGTGCTCCGGTTTCCCCCACAGTCCAAAGACATGCGGTACAGGTGAATTAAGTAGGCTAAATTGTCTGTAGTGTGTGTGTGTGTGTGTGGATGTTTCCTAGAGATGGGCTGCGGCTGGAAGGGCATCCGCTGCGTAAAAATGTGCTGGAAAAGTTAGCGGTTAATTCCGCTGTGGTGACCCTAGATTAATAAAGGGACTAAGCTGACAAGAAAATGAATGAATGAATGTTTAGAAATGTGTTAAAGAAATCTCTCCGTTAAACAGAAATTGAAAAAAAAATTAGGAGGGGGGCTAGTAATTCTTACTGTATATGTACAAACAATAGTGTGCACATACAATTTTTATGGCAAGGTTTTCTGAAAAAATTTGACAAAATGATGGACATTATGTCTTGTTATATTGTGAATACAGCACAATTAATAAGTGTTAACATTTTAAAAAATGTGGCTATACATTTCGTTGAATACATTTCCATAACACCTCTAAATTCATTCTAAAATTTGGACAAATGAATTTCCTCTGGTAAATGTGACTAATTTTATCGACTTTTATACACCGCATTATTTAATGTGCATGAAAACAGAAACATATTAATTCAGAATGTTTGCTTTATAATTAAACAAAACTACAATCTAAAAATATGTTAATAATAATAAATAAGTTGTAATGAAATATGGACAAATAAACAGCTTAAAACTGAGTTAAAAATGTATTTAAAAACCTTTCATTACATTTCCCAGTATCTGCAATGTATAGTATTGACCACCAGGGAGCAATATAAGCCATCTAACCATCGCAGAAGGGACAGCTCAGTTTAGCAGTGCATGTACCTCCATGCCGTTTTTCTTCATGCGGCGGCAGGATTTGAGGTAGGTGCGGATGCGTTTGCGAGCGCGCTCCTGAAACTCCGGGAACTGACGGCTGCAGGACTCTATAATGGCCTGGATCTTCTCTTTAGGCTGTTTAGAGATTGGCACCATCCGGTCCAGATTCTCATCCACAAAGAGACGTACAAACATCTAAACAGAGAACGAAAAAACAGCTCAATTTCAACAAATGAAATCTTTTAAATGTGAAATGTATTGAGAATTTGCAGTTTGACTCATGATTCAAAAGGCCATGACAGACCACATGGTTTACAAGAAGACTGTACAGCTCTTTATGCAGACTTGAATGACTACTCACATTGAAGGCCTTCAACCGCTCTGGATCCACTCCTTCGACATCATTGATCTTATCGCTATCGTCGTGGTCATCATGGTCATCGTCATCATCATCTGCCGCCTGAGAGCGACCGACAGTCAGATCCTCAGCACATATCTCCATCTTTATCGAATCATAGCTGCCTGAGCTGTATTGAGGAGACTACACAAACACACAAAGGAACCAAGGTAAGCCATCTGTGTGCCAGAGCCAATAGACGCCTTTCAAAGGAGGACACGGACTGAAAGATGTATCAGAAAGTTGATGTGTATTATGATGAAAAGATGAAAACCGATTCTTCAAGGTCTAACCGTCTTATTTAGACGTTCTTGGTGCCCAGCTCTGCGTTTCAGATTGAGAATCCGCTCATTTGAAAGAAAGTTTTGAGCTCTTCTTTTTTACAAAAACAATACAATTAAAAAGGAAGACGGAAGCAATAAAGGTTGACCGTGGAAAGGAGGAATGAAATGAACGTTTCTATTCAGACCGGAGCCTTGCACTGAGTGTTCAAACCTCTTCTGCTCTTCAAGCTGAATGGAAAACGCTGCACTGCCAAACTAGCTAAACCAATGAATGAGGCTTAATTGAGCTCCTTTCACGACTGTTGGTTCAACTGGCTTTGTACGCGCAAAACAACTCACAATATGTTTTGTGCAAAGGGTGAAGGAAAAGTAACAGTGGCAAGTGTGCAGATACTGTATTAATGAGAAGTCAATCCATAATAAAGTCGAAAGTTGTTACTAAATAAAAAAAAAATTCTGATGCCATTGAAAGGTGATTACCAACAGCATGGATGTTATTTTGATCACCGTTTTAGCATAAGCAAATGTATGTACCTTGTTGTTGTAGTCCCTGATGTCTCTGTCAAGGCGCAGCTCTGTGGATTTGGGGTATTTTCTGCGCAGCTCCTCTGTGTGTTCGGGGGTAAAGGTTGCCAGCATGGCGGCAGCAGTGGGCAGAGCCTGACTCAGTCTGTCACTGAGGTTGACGGGTTGCTGGTCCTCTGAGGATGAGGATGAGGAAGTGGTGCTGAAGTCGAGTGGTGCTGCGGTGCTGTTTCCGTTAACCTCTGCGTATGAGCCCGATCCTGGTCCTGTACTGTCATTCACACCAGCCGCGCCGACCGAAGGAGGAGTCAGTGTACGAATGCCATTGCCACTACCACTTTCAGAAGATGAGTCATCTGAAAATACACACAATATTAAGCTAAATTAGTTTTACAACACACTGGACAATAAAATACATTATTATATAGGATAGGATATCAGGATAATTTCTCCAAAATATATTATCATTAGCTTCCTAAACATTCAATTACTGGTCAGAAAAATAGGTGGCTATGACCAAAACGTTAAATATCGAGATCCTCAAACAACTAATACAAAATTCAATTTGTTCCTACAACCTTTGTGCAAATGAACAAAGTAATTGTTTACTTACAATTGTTTTATTTGAGGGGGAAAAAAACGTATTTTAACACACAAATAAACTGCTGGTCATATTTTACTGTGTGTTAAATGCATTCTGCTCCAAGCAAATAGCTAACAGCTCAATTTTTTTTGCACAGGAAACTTTTGACTACAAGTGCGATTACTATTTGTTGCTGTCTTGGATTTTTTTATGTGACCAATCTTTTACTGAACAGTTGGAAATAATCTGGCACACATTGTTATAGACAAGGTTAGCAACCAACTGCATTTTCTATTAATACCACACCACACCCACCTCACCCTTAGCGAAAATGATAAATAATTAAACAAAAAAGGAAACAAATCAGAGCCAAAAACAAGAAAAGACAAAAATTTGTATAAAAAAAAGTTACAATACATATAAATAAATAAAATAAAAAATAAAAATAAAGTAAAAAAAATTAAAATAAATTTACCTCTGTATTTAACTTCTTACAAGAACACTTTTAACAAAGATAGATACATTGGACTTTTACACATACAGTAGGTTAAATAAAATGAAAAGAAAAAAATCACAATAGCATATCTTTTATATTAGTTATTGCATGTATCCATGAAGTAATAGTTTTTGCCAAAGCGCCATGCATCCTTGCCACAGACAGTTCCATATTTGCAATGTCCAAGAACATATATGTTGCTGTCTTGGATGATGACCCTTTTAACGTACATATTTTATGATTCCCCTTGCCAGGACTTCTTCTTGTCATGCTAACAATGTTAGCATGCTAATGTACTACACAGGAAGTACTAGTAACATCCACAGATGAAAGTCAGGCTGTATCTGCATGCAATACGAAGTCTGTTTTACCAGATGGCAGCTGATAGAGTAACAGTGCTATTTACACTGTCCAGTTTAACAAGCTGGAGGTATGAACAGGGCCGTATTTAACCAATAAGCAAGATAAGTGAGCCCAGGAAATCTGAGGGTCCCCCAATTAAATACCTAGAAGTATAAATTATACATATAAATTACGTATGACACCATTGTTTATCATATTTTGTATGATGAGTGTCTAAACAAATAAAAGGTTAATGCTTTTACATCTGCGCAAATGTATCCCCCATGCTCAATCATGGAGAAGCCCAGCAGTCAAATTAGGTAAAGATTTAGTTTTACAAATGAAATAGTTTATATAATGTATATACTTTTTAGTAGTGAAATCATTTTAAGAAAACAAATCATTTAAAAAGTTTCACAAGATGCTTTACATGTTGTTATTATCAATTTGCATTAAGACAAAATGTAGAAAAGAAGTGATCGAGTGATGTTAATCCATTAAAAAACATAAATTAAAGTAAATAAGGTGCATTTTAGAACTTTCGGGCCCCGTGGCTGGAATTGCTTAGGGCCCCCAAATCACTAAATCTGCCCCTGGGTATGAATGAGATTACACTTCGATAAATAAACACACTCCAGATACACACATCAAAAATACAAGTGCTCTTTTAATCAATGACATGGACACTTCATGTATTGCATTAAATCTTTTTTTTTAATTATATGTAGGGTGACACAGTGACTCAGTGGTTAGCACTGTTGCCTCACAGCAAGAAAGTCACTGGTTCGAGATTCCAGTCAGTTGACATTTCTGTGTGGAGTTTGCATGTTCTCCCTGTGTTTGCTGTGGGTTTCCTTCAGGTGCTCTAGTTTCCTCCACAGTGCAAAGACATGCACTATAGGTGAATTGAATAAGCTAAATTGGCCGTAGCATATGTGTTTGAATAAGTGTGTGTGGTTGTTTCCCAGTATAAGGTTGCAGCTAGAAGGGCATCCACTGTGTAAAACATCTGCTGGATAAGTTGGGGGTTTATTCCGCTGTGGAGACTAAGCCGAAAGCATAATGAATGAATCAATATATGTATATATGTATTGCATTATATTGTGTCATAGCCTTATGAAAAGAAGTGCACTTGATTTTACTGAATGTGCACTTGTAATGTACTACAAATCTTAAAAAGTGTATTTTAGAAGACATACAGATTAAATAACTGGCTAACTGAAGTAATAAAGAATTTATTTACATATGTTATTAATCAGAGATACCCGAACTAGGGCCCGTGGGCCAAAGTTGGCTCATGGTAACCCATGATTTGGCCCTTCATCCCATCTGAAAATAGACAGAGAATGATGGGGATGGTTTAGAGATTTTCAGTTCAAATGTAATGTAACCTTTTATTTGTGTGTTTTAATTTTAAGCTACTTGAACTGAAATTAAATGTGAAATTTAAATGCTGTTATTTAGTTTAAAATGTGCATACTGTCAGGAAAATGCAGAGACTTTGGTAAGCAAATTAAGGCAAAGGCAGACTGTCCTTGACCAGTGTCAGCAGTGTGCACCACAATGTTATAAATGTGATTATGTTTTTATTGCAATTGCAGTTAGAATTACATAAGTTACACTGCATTAGTAAGTACGATTTAGGATGACTTTCATTTTAAATATTATAAAATAAATTAGGAAATTACCCATGGCAACTTTAATGTAAAAAAGTTTAGTATATTTATCTTCGGCCTAGGGCTGTTAATGATATTTGGTTTTGGCCTTTTATATAAAAAAGTTTGGGCACCCCTGTTATAAATAATGTTCAGTTCCTAGCACAGACTGTTCTTTTTGCAATTATTTTATGAATCACCAATAATTAGTTTTACCTACATAGTTTTGGGGTGAACTATCCCCTATAAGGTGCACTAACTGTATCTAATACAAATATAAACTGTCATAATTTTGTATTTAATTATACTTAAAAAGCCTTATATTCATTATGTTAATTTAAAGTATTTAATCTTTTATTCTAAACACTTCTTTAAGTGTTAAAAGCCATCAAAAACATGACTGGCTGACAAATCTAAATGCAAAGAGCTGAAAAAAAGGACATGCACACGCACTTGTAATGTCTACACACAGCTATAGGGGGAAACAACAGTGAGGGCAGAATTGGGGTCAGCCTACAGTGCCAGCAGGAAAAAGCGAGAGAGAGGAAAGAAAGAAATATATAGAGAGAGGGAGGACAGGATGGATTGGATGTAGAGGCGAGGGCACGGGCCGGGATGGAGATTGGATGAGCAACGGGAGGGGAGGGGGGTGATGTGGAGTGAGTTCGGGAGGCAGGTCAGAGTCAGGGGCAGTGAACATGGATGGAGGAAGGGAGAGGAGGATTGGGGGAGGGGGAAACCATCACTGGAGGACACTGGAGCAGAGGATGGGAGAGGGAGGACGATGAAGGAAAGCCGGGTGGTACGGAAAGGGAGAAGGGCAGAAAGAAAGACGGATGGAAGAATAAGCCCCAGAGTGAGAGGGAGTGTGTGGAGGGGGCGAGTGTGGCAGAGACAGCCGCATATTTATTGGAGTATAAAGAGTATTCATGCAGGGAGAGGAAGGCCGGACTAATGCCTGCCAGCTCTGCTAAAAAGCTCTAAAGCGTCCACATATACACACACACACACTCCCACTTTTTCTTGCTATTCCCTCTGTCGTTGCTTTTTCAGGAGAGGTGTTTGAATGACAGATGTGAGAGCTGCTCGTGTAATGTCCATGAATGTGTGAGTGTGTTCTGCGGTGGACGTGTGTCTCCTGTGCACTGATGTGCTGAATACACTATTTGCTTGAGTCTGCTCGGTGAACGGCTGCAGCAGTCAGGCTTTTGAAATGCAGATACTGGACTGAGGCTGTAGCTGGAGCATTTCTTTCAGGTATGTTTCAGCCAGCTGACAAATGGGGGATGCACTGGCGCTCTGTGTTTAGGGGTGTGTGATATTTGACAGCTGTGATGTCATCATTTTTTGTTCTAACACTAAGAGAATGTCTCATTTTATCTTTCTCTTTACAAAAAACAAAACAAAAACAAACAAAAATACACCTTGAGGATCTAAAAGCATTCACTGACTGATGAAACCTATTATAATACAGTTAGATTGAAACTATAACTATAAATAAAATGATTATGAAATTATGAAAGCACAAAATATCCTTACTATGATGTTTTATTACTATTATTAGTAATTATTATTATTATAATTATTAATTAACAATAAATTAATAATAATGATAACAACAACAACACTAATATAATACCAACAACAATAATAAAACAACAACAATAACAATAATAATAACAATAATGATAATAATAATAGCAATAGCAATAATAATAATAATAATAATAATAATAATAATAATAATTCTAATTCCTTACATCTATATAGCGCTTTTCTGGACACTTAAAGCACTTTACACATTTTTTGGGGGAATCTGCTCATCCACCATTTTTAAGAGTGGTGTTAGTGAGGCAAGCAGGGAGCACTCAACCAGCAGTATGTGTGGGCCCTAATACCCCAGTATAGTGAGGGGACTCTACACTTCGTAGTGAGTGCCATCATTTGGATAAGACAATAAACCTGACATTCTGTGGTCGTTAAAAATTCCAGGATGTCCTTCAAAAAGTAGGAGTTTAACCTCGGCATCCAGACCAAATTTGCCCACTGGCCTCTGTCCATCATGGCCTTCTAACCATCTCCATATCATAATTGGCTTCATCATTCTGTCTCCTCTCCGTTAAACAAATATGATATTCAAAACATTTACACAAACAAATATACTGTGCGGTTCCTGAATTCATTTAAGAAAATCGTTTAAGAAAATGATTCAATGATTAATTTGTTCTTCATTTTTAAATCATAAGTCATTTTGAAAGAAACATTTGAATGAATGATTTA